CCATCCCTGTCTCCTGTGGCAGCGAGTTCCACAGTTTAACTATGCGCTAATCGAAGAAGTCGTTTCTTTTCTCAGTCCCGAATCTTCCAATCTTCACAGGATGTTCATGAGTTCTACCAGAAGCATTTTTACTCGATATTATAGGCCAAGACATTAATAGACAAGATGTCAAACTGTCCTTATATGCAACAACAGCGGCAAAAGCAATTTCTTTCCCTCTTTGTTTTCTCATGATCCTTTAACTTAATATACTATAACTTTAAATTTTCATCTGTTATCAATCCTTTTTTACATACACCTTTATAGCATTACTGCTTAAACCACCTAGCTTCATTCCAACATCATTCTAACGTTCATTAATTTTGCAATATTTCTATAAATAGTCTTTAAATTTCTTCCAATCTTCTTCCACCGACTCTTCTCCCTGGTCTCGGATTCTGCCAGTCATTTCCGCCAATTCCATGTAGTCCATCACCTTCATCTGCCATTCTTCCAGAGTGGGTAGGTCTTGTGTCTTCCAATACTTTGCAATAAGTTTTCTTGCTGCTGTTGTGGCATACATAAAGAAAGTTCTGACTTAATTGCTGACTTAACTAATTGAAATTGGAATACAAAAAAGGGAGGTATGAGGAGGTCAGGGAAACAAGTATATGAATGTAAGCTATGGAAAGATTGATCCATTTTTCTTTTTTTTTCTTTTTAAGTGTCTTTTATTCTTTTATTCTGTATTTTGTATTTTGCTTGTATTGCTTGTATTTTTACTTTTTGTTTTTGTGTAATTCTTTCTTTCTCTGAAATTTTAATAAATATCATTTTAAAAAAAACAACAGCGGCAAAAGTATTGTTAGCCCAGAAATGGAAGCAAGAAGAAATTCTGACAAAAGAAGAATGGCAGACAAAATTAATGGACTATGCAGAATTGGACAAATTGACAGGAAGGATTCGAAACCTGCGGGACCAGAGATTTACAGAAGATTGGAAGAAGTATATGAATTGTTTGAAGAGCAACTGCAATCAACAAATTTCGCTAGTAGGACTAGAAGAAGTTTTGTAAGGAGAAATATATGAAGTGTTACAAAGTAGAAAAAGATAGAGATATTGGTTATGAGTTTGAAATGTGAATAGGGAAAATAAGAAATGCATACTAAGAGATTAGATTGGAAAATTTTCAGACAGGACTGATGGAAGTAAAAAAAAATTGAATAAGATGTAAAAGTATGTTTATTTACTGTTGAAAATGATATGTTAAAAAACTAATTAAAAAAATTATATATAGGATGTCCACGAGTTCTAGCGTTAAAATCTAGTTAAAATCCCAGGTTCAAAGAAGAGGAATTTGGCAAACTGGCTTCGTAAACACAGAGGCCTGTATCATAACTGCTCAGAATCTCAGAGTGAGTCAGTTCATGCAATTGTAGGTTACTTGGGGAGATTATTAACACACTTCTACAACTCGTCCAGGATTTAACAGCAGCCTCGCTGGACCAGACCAAAGGTCCATCTCATTTAGCTTTGCCCAACCTGGTGCAATCTAACAGAACACATTTTTTTTTATGTTAGTTTCTCTGACGTATGCGTTTCTTTCCACACTTTACCCTAGTCAATGTATCTCTGAGCACATTACTTGGTTGGAGAACCAGATTGCAAAATTCAGAGAAGCACGAATTTCAACGGATGGCTGAGTTTCGGTTCATGCATTGTTCCGGAAAGTGTGATTTTGGGAAGGTTTGCTTTTAACCTGGATAGCTCAGTTGGCTAGAGCAGGCATAGGCAAACTTGGCCCTCCAGATATTTTTGGGACTACAATTCCCATCTTCCCTGACCCATGAGGGATCATGGGAGTTGTAGTCCCAAAACATCTGGAGGGCCGAGCTTGCCTATGCCTGGGCTAGAGTGTGGTGCTGATAATGCCAAGGTTGCAGGTTCGATCCCTGCATATTCCTGCACTGCAGAGAGTTGGACTGGATTATTCTCAGGGTCCCTGCCAACTCTACAATTCTATGATATGAGAAAGGAATCTAATTTCTGCCCCACCCCTTTCTCCAGGTGAGCCCCTGTGCAAAACACAAAAAGATCAACAGAAGCGTGGGTTACTGGGATTTGGAAATACTCCCAACCCCTTCATCTTGAGATCTGCAAGAGCTCTCAAGAGATGGATGGCAAGGGGACCCAAATGAGCCCTTGAGAACTCAAGCACTTTTTGCTCAATACTCTGTCAAAGAAAGTCATCTATTCAGCCAGATGATGCATTCAGCTTTGGGGAGCATTGCATTTGCTTTTCTGATTATAAGGCAAGAGCTTCTATCCCATTTTCGAACTTTCGTTTCGCACTGCGGTGCTTGTTGCGTCATGGAACTGCAGTTGTTTTTTTTTAAATTATATTTATTAAGATTTTACAACAAGTTTTAGCATAATCAAAAATTCAAATTAGATTTTACATTTTCAGTTAAACCCCCCCCAACTTCTCTTTCTGGTTTATAGCATACAGTGGTACCTCGGTTACAGACGCTTCAGGTTACAGACGCTTGAGGTTCCAGACTCTTTTAACCCAGAAATAGTACCTTGGGTTAAGAACTTTGCTTCAGGATGAGAACAGAAATCGTGTTCCGTCGGCGCGGCAGCAGAAGGAGGCCCCATTAGCTAAAGTGGTGCTCAGGTTAAGAACAGTTTCAGGTTAAGAACGGACCTCCGGAACGAATTAAGTACTTAACTTATTATTATTATTATTACTTATTATTAAGTACTTAACCACTGTATTTATTTCTTCTGCGTATAATTTATATGCCTTATGTACTAAAATGAACGTTGTACCTTGTTAGTCTGTTCTTAACATTTTAACCTCATTTTTCTATTTTCTATTTATATTTGTCCATTGTAAGTGTATTACTCGAATCCTGCAAGTGAGTTCATTTCAATGCATTGTTTCCGTAAATACATCATAAAAGGTTCTCAATCTTTTTTGAAGTCATGGTTGTCCTTATCTTTGAATCCCTCAGTTAGCTTCACCATTTCAGCATATTCCATCAACTTTTCTTGCTATTGTTTTTCGTTGGTATTTCATCGCTTTTCCATCTTTGAGCTAATAAAATTCTAGCTGCTGTTGTCGCATACATAAATAGATTCTTCTTGTCTTTTGGTAAATCTTGACCTACAATACCTAATAAAAACGCTTCTGGTCTTTTTAACAAAGGTTATCTTAAACGTTTTTTTCATTTCATTGTAAATCATATCCCAATAATTATTTTACAATTCCACCACATATGAAAAAGGTACCTTCCTTTTCTTTGTATTTTCAGCACTTGTTGGAACTTTTTCAACACATTTTTGCCATTTTCACCGGTGTAATATACCATCTATACATCATTTTCATATACAGTGGTACCTCGGGTTAAGTACTTAATTCGTTCCGGAGGGCCGTTCTTAATATGAAACTGTTCTTAACCTGAAGCACCACTTTAGCTAATGGGGCCTGCTGCTGTCACTGCACCACCGCTGCATGATTTCTGTTCTCATCCTGAAGCAAAGTTCTTAACGCGAGGTAATATTTCTGGGTTAGCAGAATCTGTAACCTGAAGCGTATGTAACCTGAAGCATATGTAACCCAAGGTACCACTGTAATTCTCTTTCAGCAATATAAAATCCGTAAATTTTAAATTATTTTTCCATAACTTTCCCCAATCTTCCATTTGTATATTGTGTCCTATATCTTGTGACTTTATCTGGAACTGCAGCTTTTTGACTGATAAGGGGCATGGTGTGATGTACTAAAGACCATCAGTAGGCATTGATGCTAATCCTCTGCCCTTTGTGCTTCTGTTATAGGATTTTTCCTGATTTCCGAGAACTCCGGAGGAGGCCCTTCTCTTAATCCCACCACCCACACAGGCGCTCTTGCTGGGCACACAGAAAAGGGCCTTCTTGGTGGCTGCTCCCAGACTGTGAAACTCCCTCCCAGGAAAAGCTAGACTGGCTCCATCCTTGTTCTCTTTCTGCCAGCAGGCAAAGGCTGTTTTATTCCCACAGGCCTTTGCGAACTGTCTTTTTTTCTTTTTCTTTCTAATGAAAGGACTTTTAAGAGTGCTGTGCTGTTTTTATTATCTCTATTTCAATAGATTTGTGTTATATACTGTTTAAACTCTATTCTAGTTTAATTACTTTTTAAAGATTACCTTTTATATGATTTTAGCTATTTGTATTTTATCTGTCTAGCTTTAATTTGTGTAAGATGCCTTGGGTCCTGGTCTGGGGGGAAAGGTGGGATGATGATGATGATGATGATGATGGTGCCAGGTTAATAATAATAGTCCCAGGTTACGAGGACTACCGATGGATTTATTTTTTTCTGGAATCAAGGAACATGGAAATGAGTGTTAAACATGCTATATATCACATTAGTTTTCCAGAAGTGGCTTTTATGCCGTGTGAAAGCTCAAGCACAATGTGGGAATTAGCAGTTAGGCAAACTCTGGGGAAATGGAATTAACAGCTACATGAATGAAGCTGGGCATGACCCAGCTCATTAGAAAGCCTGTTTTCAATGCTTAATAATAATAATAATTTTTTATTTATACCCTGCCCATCTGGCTGGGTCTCCCCAGCCACCCTGGGCGGCTTCCAACAAAGTATTAAAATACAGTGGTCTGTTAAACATTCAAAGCTCCCCTAAACAGAGCTGCCTTCAGATGTCTTCTAAAAGTCTGGTAGTTGTTTTTCTCTTTGACATCTGGTGGGAGGGTGTTCCACAGGGTGGGTGCCACTACCGAGAAGGACCTCTGCCTGGTTCCCTGTAACTTGGCTTCTCGCAGTGAGGGAACCTCCAGAAGGCCCTCAGCACTGGACCTCAGTGTCTGGGCAGAACAATAGGAGTGGAGGCGCTCCTTCAGGTATACTGGACCTGACTCTCTGGGCAGCTCCCAACACTCTGGGCGGCTCCCAACAGAACAAGTATAGCTCCCCACGGAACATTCGCACCCCAAAGCTTTGACCCCATTTCTTTGCTAAGAGTGTGGAAACTGAAGCAATGCAGGCGGTGGCCAACCTGAGAGAACACCCTTACTCCCACAGAGCAATGAGGCAAAGAAGCTTCAGATCATACAGAGTCTCAAAGCACCTTAGAGACTAAAACCTTGTATTAAGAACATAAGGAGAGCCTGGTGGGTCAGGTCACTGGCCCACCTAGTCCAGCCTCCTGCTCTCACAGTGGCCGCCGAAATGCCTGGGGGAAACCCACAAGCAGGACCTGAGCACAAGAGCAACATTCTCCCCACCTGTGGTTCCTAGCAGCTAGTATTCAAAAGCATTGCTGCCTCCAACTGTGGCTAGCATGAATTTGTCCACCCTCTTTTAAAGTTATATAAGTTGGAGGCCACCACTGCGTCTTGTGGGAGTGAGTTCCACAGTTTAACTAAGCACCGTTTGAAGTGCTTCCTTTTATGTGTCCTGCCAAGGCTTAGGGCAGAATAAGCATGCTGACAATTCATTTCAGAAATCATTGACAATAAAAATATAATAATACTATTAATTTATTATTTACACCCCACCCATCTAGCAGGGTTTCCCCAGCCACTCTGGGTGGCTCCCAACAGAACTAAAAGCACAATAAAACATCAGACATTAAAAACTTCCCTAAACAGGGCTGCCTTCACGAAACAACTCTTGCGCCCAACTGGGAACGCTGTGCAGCCTAAGGCTGTTATCCTACATAAGCATAAGGTAAAGGGCAAAGGGACCCCAACCATTAGGTCCAGTCGTGACCAACTCTGGGGTTCCAGCACTCATCTCGCTTTATTGGCCGAGGGAGCCGGCGTACAGCTTCCGGGTCATGTGGCCAGCATGACTAAGCCGCTTCTAGCGACCCAGAGCAGTGCTTGGAGAAGCTGTTTACCTTCCCGCCGGAGCGGTACCTATTTATCTACTTGCACTTTGACGTGCTTTCGAACTGCTAGGTTGGCAGGAGCAGGGACCGAGCAATGGGAGCTCACCCCGTCGCAGGGATTCGAACCACCGACCTTCTGATTGGCAAGTCCTAGGCTCTTTGGATTAACCCACAGCGTGCATAAAACCTTTTCAGCTCAGTTAAGACCAGTTTCTCAGGCTTAGGATCTGGCTTCCACAACAATGCAATGTGGAGTTGGGCAAATCTTGCTCCATTCAGCCTGGTGGATCAGGTTGCGAAACCAGTCCTGCAAGACTTCACGGAAGGTTCTAATCTGAAGGTTGAGATCTTTCAAACAGTTGAACTACCAGAGATTATTTCCAAAAAATCTGTTGGTCCTGGGATGGAACCTTTTAATGCAAATTAAAGCTGGCTTGCAGACTTTACACGCCCAACCAAAAAACCCAGCAGAGGTGACATCTCAGCATTCAGAACTACAGTTCCCGCGATTCTTTAATCACCAGGACTATTAAAAGTGGTACAGTTGAGCTTTAAACGTACAGTGTGAATGTGGCCTAGGTCTGGAGGTGAGGACCAGCTTCAAATCCCCGCCCAGCCACTGGGCGACCTCAGGCCAATCGCTCTCAACCTATCCTTCCTTGCAAGGGTGTCGCAAGGAGGTGATGAACGAAATAAACACACTGACCGTTGGCAACAGCAATAGTTGATTACACAAAACAAGCTCTGGGGGCAAAGGGCAGCATATAAGTGTAAGAAGATAAAATAGTTTGACATGGGAGAGTGACAACCAGCGCTCAGTTCTAGGATGGGCAAAGTCAGGAGATTCCTTGCAAGAAAATGGTACAGTGCCCTGGCCCATCTCTGCAAACAGAAGAATTAAGCCACCTTCCTCCAAACTGGTGCTGTTGAAATGCTACAACTCCCATCACCCTCCACCAGCGCTGCCATGCATTTTAACAAACTAATAACATGTATTTCAAAAAGCAAAAGAAGATTCTTAAAAAACGGACAGACAAAACTAGTTTGCTTAGAATGGATTTCCAGTGAAAACCTGCTTTGCTTAGAATGGATTTCCACTGAGTTCAGCAGAACTTGCATGCCTAGGATCCCAAGATTAGTGATTCACAATGGCTACTCAGAAGTAAGTCCTGCTGAATGCCATGGGGTCCTGCTCCGCATAAGTTAAGACTGCATGATTCTAAAACAGGACTACCCGGCTTCTGAAATGCTTTCTCTGGAGTAAGCCCCAACTAAGTTCAATGGGACTTGCTTCCTAAGAAATTAAGTTTTAAGGTAACAGGAGGCTGTTTCTGGGCAGCCACCTGACTGAATGCTTACTCGGGAGTAAGCCCTACAGACTTAAATAGGTATTTCTCCGCAGCAAATGCAGTTTCCGGGGATTGGATCCAATGTCAGCCCTACTCAGAGTAGACTTATTGAAGTGAATGGACATCACTAAGTTTCGTTCATTCCAACGGGTCTCCTTCAAGTAGAACTTAGTTGAACCGCAGCAGTTGTTTCCAGAACACGTTTACTCGGGAGTAAATCCCATTGAGTTGAGTGGGGTTCTTACTCCCGAGTAAAAGCATGCCGAGGTTCGCAGCCCACGCACCTGGAGACGGCTTTCGTGAGCACCGGGTAGAGGCGCAGCAGGAGCAAGTAGCGCGCCAGCAGCTTCTGGGGCAGCGGCCCCGATTCGGGCTTGGAAAGCGCCGGAGACATCGCGCAGACGAGCCGGACGGAGGAGCAAAGAAAAAAGCGCTCCGGGAGGTCCACTGCGCATGCGCTTCAGCGGCTGCCACCGAGAAGCTGGGCTAGCCACGCCCACGCAGCGGTATCTACCCCCGAAATGAGCCAATCAGAGGGGAGAGGGCGGGCATTACGACACAATAAGTGGGCGTGGCGTAGAAAGCAGGCGAAACAGTCACACACAAGAGTCCTAAACTTTTGCGCCTGGGAGGGGGCGGAGCCGGACGCGAATGTGGGCGGGACGGTTAGCTGAGGCGAAAAAAATTACCCAATGAAAAGAGGGATAAGGAGCCGGGTGGTGCGCGTAGGGGCGGAGCTAGCCTTGCTTGTGAGGAGATTTTGACAGCGAGCGGGAAGGCGGAGCCACTTCTTTCTTTCTTTTCTCCTCAGGGTGGATTCCTCTTCTGCTACTGGCTGCGGGAGGATAGGGGGCGGTCCCACTGGCGGAACCATGATTGGCGGCGGCTCTCGGATGACAGCGGGTCGCGCCGCTTGTTTGCTCGCTCGCGGGAACGGGGAATCTCGCGCGGTTTCTGAGAGCGCGCGAAACTCAGTCTGGCCGGGATGGCGTATTGGAGAGGCGGCGGGCGGCGTCGCCGGTGGGGAACGGAGGCCCCCGCAGAAGGCGGCGAGGGAGAGGCGCCGCCGCGGTGAGGAAAGGGGGGCGGAGGGGCCCCCTCAGAACATGTACAGAGTGTCATTTGGCAGGAATTGGGGCTTTTATGGGCGGGTGGGGAGCACCTGAGCATGTGCAGAGTGCGTTCGCCGCAAGTGCAGAGTTGCCCCTGAACTTGTGCAGAGTGCATTTCTTCCGAATCCGTTGGGGAAGGGATTGGCATTTGTGGATCCTCTGTACATGTGCAGAGTGCATTCACGGTCACAGGAACCCGGATGTACTCATAGTGTATTTCTTGGGAAAGGGATTGGCATTTGTGTAAGAACATGGAAAATAACTGCCCTGAGACCTCCGGGTACAGGGCGGTATATAAATTCAATTAATAATAATAATAAAATTAAATTCCCCAGAGTGACAGGGGAAACCTAGCCAGATGGGCAGGGTATAAATACAATTTGTATTTTATTTTATTTTATTTTATTTTATTTTATTTTATTTACACCCCACATATCTGACTGGGTTTCCCAGCCACTCTGGGCGGCTCCCAACAGAATATTAAAAACACAATAAAACATCAAACTTTACAAACTTCCCTAAACAGGGCTGCCTTCAAATGTCTTCTAAAAGTCAGATAGTTGTTTATTTCTGATAGTTGTTTATTTCAGATAGTTGACATCTGATGGGAGGGCGTTTCACAGGGTGGGCACCACTACCGAGAAGGCCCTCTGCCTGGTTCCCTGTAACCTCATGATAATAATAATCTGGGTATATGAACCTGAAAATGTATCCCAGATTGGATCTCCTTAACTACTAGAAGGAGCTATAGGCCAGAACCTTTTCCATAGTGCCTCACTCCCATCGATCCCAAGTGGGATCAGACAAGCCCCATTGCACGCTAATTTAATTAATTTCTGTATATTATTATTATATTTCTATATTGCCCTTCATCCGAAGATCCCAGAGTGGTTTTCAATATAAAAACACAAAGATGCATAACGTAGTAACAAAACAAACCAATAAACCCCCACATACAGTTTAAAGGACCATATATTATTTAATTAGCCAAAGGCCTAGGAGAACAGGAATGTTTTTACCTTAAACAAGATTTTTATGGGCTTTGGGAATAATTAAAATATGCAAGGTGGGCGTTATTTTTAAGCTCCACCCCCCCCCCCCGTTTATTTTGTAGTGTGTTACTGTATAACTTGGTTAGAAATGGATATTTTAAATGTTTAATTATTTGCTGTATTTTTAATGGGTTTGTGCTGTATATGGCTGCAAACTGCCTTGGAAGGCATTTTTGCCTAAAAAGTGGTTTTAAAAGTCTATTAACTAAATAAAATAATGTCAAAGAGCACCTGCCATTTTTGTCAACAAATGAAGGCGTCTCGGATGCCTGCAATGGGTTTTTCCTATAGTATCTAGAGCTGAAGTAAACACCAGCCTGTAAAATAAACACACACAAAAGTGTGTACAGAGAACATGTACAGATTGAATTTCCCTCACCCTTGAAATTTTTCGGCTCTTGGTCCTACAACCTGTTTTTTGTTGCCATGGGTGATCAGTTTTTATTTTTCATTAAATGTATTTATTTGAAGCATTTTGTGTCTTGCTTTATCTGAAAAAGCTCAGAACAGCTTGTGAAAATCAGTAATAAGGTAAATTAAGTAAGCGTGAGTAATTCCCACGCCAATTTTACATTATAAAATACAGTTATTTACGCTAGTTGGAGAATAAAGTATTTTTATCTCCAACCACTAGTAAATCTATTTGCTTCTAGCTTATGGGGTATTCAAACATATTTTTGCAGCCTTTAGGACTAGAAGCCTGTTTTTCCTTTTTTTTATTTGAAAGTTGAGTCATGGGGAACCCACTTATGTCCCTGGCTACAACCACTTCGGTAAGCTGTGTAGCAAAAGTTTTTTTTCTTTTCACTGTTCTCAGTGTTTGCTCCAGCTTCTGTTTTATGTGGTGCTGATGTTTCTTCCCTTCTCTTGCCACAGGGATGATAGCGCCTCGTTTTCTGCCCTCAAGCGTTTGGAGCGCACCCAGTGGACTGACAAGATCGATGCGCAATTCGGGTTTGAGAGGATGAAAGAACCAGGCGAAAGGACAGGATGGTTGATCAACATGCACCCTGTGGGTACCGGCACGTTTTCCTTTAGCATCTCATGTGTAAAGCTCATACATGATTGTTTTGCTAAAGAGCCTGTGTTCAGCAGCAGCAGCAGCAGCAGCTAGAGTATTGGGCTAGGACCTGAGAGACCAGGGTTCAAATGCCTTCTCGGCTGTTCTGGTGATAAAAGGGGACAGGGAGAGCCATAGATGCCACCTTCAGTTCCTTGTAAGAAATGAAATAACAATAGCATGCTTAAATTAGTTTATTTCTGTGGTTGCCATGGAGGGAGGTGTGAGAAATTGAATTAAGAGCAGGCCATTCCAAAGACGGCGTCATTGGAAGGTTCATTATGGAGAATGAATGTTGTCTGCAGTTGGCTAAGATAGGGACAGAAAATGACATTTGATTTTACTGCCCCAGTTGAAAAATCTACTAATAAGGTTCATTGCATGACTATGCTTAGCCCCACTCACTTGTCCTGTCAGGGTGACATCACAGTAATACACTGTATGATGCAACAAACCCCAGATTGCCCTTAATGTTACTCAAGAATTTCTCAATGTCAACCTAAACAGCCTGGAGCCTTCATTTCACCACACAGGCAGCTTAGTACTTCACACAATTAAAGTTTTATACGGCTTATCTGTGGTTACTTTTCCTCCATTCTTTCCAGGCGTGGCCCGCAATTTAAAGCTTCATGTCTGAGCACCCTTTTTTTCCCCTCCAGACTTTTCCCCATGAAAACTCGCTCTTTAAAGCTCAATCAGAGCAAATGTTAAATTCATGGAAAACGTGAATTGATGTTTCCTCTGATTGAACTTTAAAGAGTGGGTTTTTGCAGGGAAAGTTCAGGGCAAATGAAAACACTTAGACATAGAGCGGAGCAAAAGGTAAGTGTGAATAAACTCATGGCTGATGTAACTCTTCGCTTAAATTGAGTCCTGAAACGATATAAAGGGACAACAACATGAAATTAAAATGAAAATTTCTTTTTCAAGAAACGATGTGATTCCAGGACACTGAGAATCCTGCTCCAAGGTGAAACATTGCTATTATTGGTAGTCGCAGATTAGTACAAGTAAGGAGTCGGACAACAATATAGACGTAAAATGAAGAGTCCTATGTTGAGGAAATGGCATTGTCTGTCTGTTTGATTGATCTTGCTGCCCTTGTCTGATTTAGACGGAGGTGTTAGATGAGGATAAACGTTTGGTCAGCGCTGTGGATTACTATTTCATACAGGAGGACGGAAGCAGGTTTAAGGTGAGTCCAGCAGAGCAGTGTGAGACCAATTAATGGCAGACCACATTAAGAGCCTACTGGAAATTTGAGGAGGGAGCGGGGGGGGGGGGGACATTTTAACGTACGCCAAATCAAGCTTCTCGCCTCCCTTTCGATGTGGGAGTCTGCAGAGCAGTGGTTTTCATACTATGTCTTCGTGAGCCCAGAACCCAGAGAGTGATCTAATTTGGCCTATTTATTTATCTTCTATTCGTAAACAAAGCTAAGCTGTCAACTGAGCCTGATGTTGTACTTACAATTCATTGTTGCTACTGAACTTAAAAAATTGAAAATCTTCCACAGAAAAGTTAAGCACCAGAAAACTTTTCAGTACATTTTCCTCCCTGCCTTCGTAATGTATGATTGCGTGGGGCTCACTATTTTTTGTTTGTTTCCTAGGTGGCACTGCCCTATAGGCCATACTTCTACATTGCAACCCAAAAGGTTAGTATAGACATCCCAGAGACTTGTACCTGAAACTGCAATTCTTGAATGAACCCTTCCACCATTTGAAATGCTTTAGCTCTAAGCATGCCATACAAGGAAGGAGGAGGGATGAGGCAGGCTGAAAAGCTCTGATTTCATGACCACTATGCTTGGTTTGTGATTTAACACTGAAGGGGTTCCTTGGAAATGAAGGGCTCTCAATGAGAAGCTTAGCTGCTGGTGAGCCTCTGAGCCCAATTCAAGGGCTCATACTACCATATAAGGTCCTAAATGGGTTGGGACCCAAATACCTAAAAATATCCCAATATCAACAATCTTGTTGGGCAGGTGAGGCCTTGTTGCCGGTGCCATCACCGGGGGCTGCCTAGCTGGCGTTAACACATCACAGGGCTTAACACATGACTTCTGAATAAGTTGCAGTATTGGGGGCTTTTCAGTTTAGAAAAAGGGGATGCACATTGATAGAGGCGTTTAAGGCGGTGTGGAGGGACTGGAAGTTTCCCTCTTGGGGAAACAGCGGGGTCACGTCCAAGGAACGTCGGAAGAGACGCATCCAAGGACTTCTCGGTGGTAGTTCCCCATTTGAGGAATGCCCTTCCTGCTGAAGTGTGTTTGCTTCCCTTGTTGTAGACATCCAGGAGGTGATTAAAAACATCCATGTCCTGTCTCCCCTCCCCCCGGCATTTGATGGCTGACATGCACTGTTCCTGGCAGCCCTAAGATAACTGGCTGATAGCATGTTTTTAAACCGTAAAAAAATAAAGAAAGAAAGACTATGGATGTGTTTGCTCTTTCAGGAGGACTGCTAGGGTATAAATGAAATAAGTAATAATAATCAGTAATGGGTGTCTTTTTTGAAGCTTGCCTAGCACTACTGCAATGTCCAATTTCAGGAGATTGTTGGGCACATTTTAGTTGCATTCTCAGATCAACAGGGAGGCCCAGCAAGGCAAAGCTTCCTACTTGATTTGAGTGGACCCCTTCCATTGGCCTAAATTCCTCCACAGTGTACAAGGCTGACCTTTGACACCTGGTAGACAGCTATAGGATCCCCTCCAGTCTTCTAGCTGTGAATTGTTTTAACTGATTCTGATGCTATAATTCTGGGACCTTATGGTGAAGGTAGGGTAAAAAAATCCAGCTTATAACAATTGTTTAGACTATACTACGTGGCAACTGTTCCCTGAGGATAGAGCGTGTGGAAATAATTATGATTGTGTGGGGTTTGGGCCTGTGGCCTCTCTTCTTAGCGTCGCTGATGCCTGGTTGTCTCTTCAGGGTTGTGACCGAGAAGTGTCGTCCTTCCTTTCCAAGAAGTTCCAGGGCAAAATAGCAAAACTGGACACTGTACCCAAAGAGGACTTGGACCTGGTGAGAAATGCCTTTGCTGATACGGCTGTAAATGTTTTAGTTGCCCAAGCATTTAGGAAAGGAGGGGTGAATTGATGGAGTATGCAGAGATGGCAAAACTGACGGGGAAGATCCGAAACCAGGAAGATGCAAGCATTTTCTAAAGACTGGAGTAAATACGTAATTTATTGAAACATGTAATTTACCCCTGTAAACAGGGATGTAATAACACTTGTAATGTGGAATTATTTATGATAATTGTGGTTATATAACAAATGGATACATGGAACCCATGGAGGGAGGGAAGGAGGTCCGAAGGTTCAAAAGAACCTTGTATTTTAATGTTTGAAACGGTTATGTTTTATACGTATAAAATTATTAAAAACTCAATAAAAAATTATTGGGGGGGGGAGAGGAGGGGTGAAGGGGTTCCAAAAATCTGTGGTCTACAAGCTTCCCCTTTCTAAGTGTGACTCCAACATTGTGCTGACATCGTTCAGCACCAGGCAAATAGTTTTTCGTTTCCCCCTTTTTTTCTTTGCTATTTGTACATCACCTTGAAATTTGTGTGTATGTAAGACAATTAATTGGGACGCGGGTGGCGCTGTGGGTAAAAGCCTCAGTGCCTAGGACTTGCCGATCGAAAGGTCGGCGGTCGAATTCCCGCGGCGGAGTGCGCTCCCGTTGCTCGGTCCCAGCGCCTGCCAACCTAACAGTTCGAAAGCACCCCCGGGTGCAAGTAGATAAATAGGGACCGCTTACTGGTGGGAAGGTATACGGTGTTTCTGTGTGCTGCGCTGGCTCGCCAGATGCAGCTTTGTCACGCTGGCCACGTGACCCGGAAGTGTCTCCGGACAGCGCTGGCCCCCGGCCTCTTAAGTGAGATGGGCACACAACCCTAGAGTCAGACACGACTGGCCCGTACGGGCAGGGGTACCTTTACCTTTAAGACAATTAATTAATGGTAATCACCCCTCTAGTCTTCAGTTGGTATTATTTTGCTTCATCTTTACTTCCTCCCCCCACTAGTCCACACACATCTCTTAAATGAATTCTTCTTTAAAGCTTGCCTTCTTTTAATGCTCTCTCTCTTTTCCTTTCAGCCAAATCACCTGGTCGGCCTGAAGCGGACCTACCTCAAGCTTTCTTTCAACACGGTGGATGACCTGGTAAAGGTGCGCAAGGAGATCACACCTGCTGTGAAGAAAAACAGGGAACGGGACCAAGCGATGGACACTTACACCGCTATGCTGACCAGGTAGAGGAGCTGCCTTAGGCCCACTGTCATTTCCATTTGGACTGAGTCAAAAAGACCCATTTGAGCTGTCTTGCGGTGATGGAGAACGTCCATACTGTGGGCCAGATTGTGCCCGCCAGGTCTCCCCATTTGGCCCGCCAAACTGCTTTGGCCAAAGCACAGCCACATGCCTTACATCTGAGGTCCTATATGACATCAGTAATGGAGCGGATAAAGACATGCCTGGTCCAAAAGGGGCTTTGCAGGCACTGCTGATCACTGGGGCTTCTAAAGTGTTGTGCTTTTGCTGGCATGGTTTAACTTAAATGCATGGGTAAATGCAGGTTGCCTGACATCACTGTGATGACTTGTGGTAGACAGGTGGGGGAGACAAGGCCCACCGCGAACAGATGCAGTTCCCTGTGAAAAAAATATTTGATTTTAAATAAAATAAACAAAATACAAACAATTCAAAGTCAAAATACCAAGATTACTCTGAATCTTCTGACTTCCCCCCCATCCTTTCCATGGGTCCTAATGATAATACTTACAACTGGATATCAATATTTAGAAGAGTTTGGATTTGATATCCCACTTTATCACTACCCGAAGGAGTCTCAAAGCGACTAACCATCTCCTTTCCCTTCCTCCCCCACTACAAATACTCTGTGAGGTAAGTGAGGCTGAGAGATTTCAGAGAAGTGTGACTAGCCCAAAGTCACCCAGCAGCTGCATGTGGAAGAGCAGGGAAGCGAACCCAGTTCACCAGATTATGAGTCTACCGCTCTTAACCACTACACCACACTGGCTCTCTGTGAAAAAAATTATCCAAATTTTTATCGTCCTAAATTACCCATACTTTCTGTTACTTTACAAGTGTGGTTAAAATCCTGCTAATGTTTTAACCTGCTTACAGTGGTCTCGTATGTAAATTATAAACTTTTCCCATTCCTTACTAAATTTCTTGTCTTCTTGATTTCTGAGCTTCCCAGTTAATTTTGCCATTTCGGCATAATCCATCAACTTGGTTTGCCATTCTTCTCTAGTCAGGGTTGTTTCTTCCTTCCATCTCTGGGCTACAGACAGATGCAGTTCCCTATCCCTGCTCTATTGCTTCCTCCTCACAGAGTTTCTGGCTTATTAGAAATGAGGTGTGTGTGTTTGGACTTGCAAGGGATTATCCTGGTGCAACCCAGACAGGTGATCTGCTGCCCTAGTTACTAGTCCATGAGCTGGGAGTGTCCCCAGCAAGCCTCAAACATTTCTTCCAGGCTCTGCCCAGACTCGTTGCTGCCAAGCCAATAGGGCTGCTTTCCTCTGATGATCTCTCATCCTTTGGCTCTCCCATCAAGCAAGCCACAAAGCTTACAGAGCCAAACATCTGGAGGCTCCATAAAGAAGATTTCTGCATCCAAGTGGGAGACTGGAAGAACCAGATCATGGGCCTTAAATGTGGTTTATGCACATTTCTGAGTGATGGGGAAAGAAGCCCCAGAGATCAGCTCCTGCACTGCTGCAACTATCAATAGTAGTAATCATCATCATAATTATACCGCTGATATGCCAAAATGGCTTCTAAGCCATTTACAGTTGCAGAACAATACTTCACTTGCCTGTCAATCCTGTGTGCAGGTAGTCCTGATAATCTAAACCAGCTCCTTCTCCTTTGCAGTGCCCTTGCTGGGAACAGCCTGTCCAGCAAGGAAGAGGCTCCCTCCAAGAAGACTGCTGACCAGATGGACAACATAGTGGACATGCGGGAGTACGACGTCCCCTACCACATCCGCCTGTCGATTGATCTGAAGATCCACGTGGTGAGCGGCAACTGGGGGAGACCTGCCTTCTTTCCTACCTTGATTCCCGAACAGCTAGATACAAAAGCATTGTGCCAAAAGTTCTAAAAATGCATTTCCAGATTTTTAATTGTGGCGGGTAGGGGTTGAGCCTTTGCTACTGGCTGTGGACCCTACCTTGGCGTGACTCTCCCGGTCCCTCTCCTCCCATGACAGGCTCACTGGTACAATGTCCGCTACCGAGGCAGCAGCTTCCCTCCTGAAATCACCCGCCGAGACGACCTGGTTGAACGGCCAGTGAGTATTCCTGTGGGGCAGAGCTCCTGTCTCAGCACCTGTGTGTGTGTGTTTCCTTCAATTGCCAGCTTTGTTTTGGTTTATTATGCTGCATCTGTCACCAATAGCCAAATGTCTTCAGGATTCCTGGGTGCTGTGTGAGTCTACAGTCTGGGTGGGGAACCTGAGGCCTAAGGGCAGAATGAGGCCCTCCCTAGTTTATCTGTTTTGCCCCTCAGGACTCTCCACGGGCCACACCTCTGGCCCAACCCGCTGTTAGCATTTGGCCCTCAGAAAGTTACCCATAAAGGCATGTGGCCCTCAAGCTGGAAAAAACTGCCAGTCCCGGGCTCTTCTTCTTTGGCAATCACTCGTAGCCGAGTAAGATTGTCTTCCATAAACACGGTTTTAACAGTGAGTCCGCAAGTGACTCTGGAGGCCAATTCTGGATCCACACGTCCTTCCACAGTGGGGCGGGACATAGGTTTCTGGGCAGGAGTTGATCACAGTGAGGGTTTGTCAAGCGTGCCTTCCTCTTAGTTCGTTTCTCCCTTTCATCCTGAGTTCGAGCGTCTTCAAAGTCTATTACACCTTTGATAAAGGCTGTTCTCCAACTGGAGCACTCACAGGCCAGTATTTCCCAATTTTCAGTGTTTATACTACATTTTTTTTAGATTTGCCTTGAGAGAGTCTTTAAACCTCTTTTGTTGACCACCAGCATTACATTTTCCATTTTTAAGTTTGGAATAGAGTAGTTGCTTTGGAAGACGATAATCATGCATCCGAACAACATGACCAGTCCAACGAAGTTGATGTTGAAGAATCATTGCTTCGACACTGGTGATCTTTGCTTCTTCCAGTACACTGGCATTAGTTCGGCTGTCTTCCCAAGTGATATGTAAAAAATTTCAGAGACACCGTTGATGGAATCTTTCAAGGAGTTGGAGATGGGGTTGATAAGTGGTCCAGGCTCTACAGCATCCCAAAGCCTGTGGGCCCAAATGTCTCTAGCGCCTCTAGCATGGGCCAGGTGCACTTGCAGGAAGTGGATTTTGCAGATCAAGGGTGGAGAACCTGTGGCCTTCCAGCTGCTTATTGGACTACAACTCCCATTATCCCTCTTGGCCACGCTAGCTAAGGATGATGGAAGCTGGAGTCCAACAAGATCTGGAGGGCCAGAGGTTCCTGCATCCCTCTTGTTGATGAAGAGATGTTATTGATGTATTGCCCTGAGTGGAGCCCAGCATCCAGTAGTGACTTGGAAATTCCAATTCTTCCTAGGATCCTGTCGTCCTGGCCTTTGACATCGAGACCACCAAACTCCCTTTAAAGTTTCCTGATGCAGAAACGGACCAGATCATGATGATCTCCTACATGATTGATGGCCAGGTAAATCAGGGCAGCCGCCTCAATGACTAGTGGGGTTGCAGAACAAGCCAGAATAAATACCCCCCTTAAGCCATAGAAATGGAAGAGTTTGGAACAGCAGGCGGCCCTGAACTTCTGGCTCCCAATTGAAGCATAGAACAGGAGTGGATTGGGTAGGTGCTTGTGGTGGGGTGGAGAGAGAGTCTACCCTGGGTTTTGTTTTCATAGTAAGGATTTCCTACTCTGAACATCTTAGTGAGAACTGATAAGGTAACGTTGGTTTACTCTTTGTTCCTTCAGTTAAGCAAAATTTCCCTTTCGCTTCTTTCTTCCCAGGGTTACTTGATCACAAACAGAGAGATCGTTTCAGAGGATATTGAAGATTTTGAGTTTACTCCCAAACCGGAGTATGAGGGGCCTTTCTGTGTCTTTAATGAACCAGATGAGGTAGGTAGGCTTAATTTTGAAGGCCAGTTTCCCCTTAAAATCACAATACAGTGAAATCACGGAATTCAATTGGAGTTGGAGTTGCAGGTCCCGTTTGTTACCTTTAGCGACATGAGTGTGTTCTGCATAGCCTTCGTTTTGCTTGTAAGCCTGAAGGCAAAGACTATCTTGTTTTGTGTGTAAACCACTCAGGGAGCCCTTTTCTTCTTCTTTTGGCAGAAGAGCAGGGTACACAAATGCTGTAAATAAATATAGAAAAGGGGGGTTCTATATATACTGCTCCCTGGTCTCCCCATCCCATTATTTTACCCTCTCCGGTCACCAGACTAGATAATTTGGAAATTTGAACAAACCACCATGCAGATAAATGCACCTTTCCCAATGGTTGCAGAATGTGAGAGGTGGTGTTTGGTGGACACACATGGTACCTTTGGTTCCCTGGCAGAAAAGCTGGTCATCATAAGAACCTAGCAGGAGAGGGGATTATTGGTTTGTTGTTGTTCATATTTTTACTAGGTATTTTGTGATTTTTATATTGTAATTTTATGTTGTGAACTGCCCTATGAGCTACAGATGAAGGGAAGTATGCGCATCTAATTAACAACAACAACAACAAGCATCTGGACCATTGACAATAAATGACCTTTTAAATTTGTTTTCCCTCCTCTTGTTTTAAAATCAGGCCCACCTCATCCAGAGGTGGTTTGAACATGTTCAGGAGACCAAGCCAACCATCATGGTGACATACAACGGAGACTTCTTTGACTGGTAAGAATTGAGCGAACTCAGTTCTTGAGCCTTGTGGGTGTCCAGCTTTTTAAATGTTTAAAAATTATATTGGGTAATTTTCATTTTAATGGGGAAACCATGCTTTACCTTCTGGGGAACCGAGCTGGCCAGCAAACCTGCTTGCTCACCTGCCCTCCCCCTGCAATGACCAGCTGCAGGAATTTTTTGTTGCAATGCCTAAATAGTGAGATCTGTAGAAGCTCCCTGGCTTATTTTGCTTTATCTGTCTCCAGGCCCTTTGTGGAAACCAGAGCAGCAGCTCACGGGATGAATATGCAGCAGGAGATCGGATTCCAAAAGGACAGCCAGGGGGAATACAAAGCTCCTTCGTGCATCCACATGGATTGTCTCAGGTACATGATGCCTAGCCCCGCTCACCAATCTCTTTCTTGGGGCTTAGTCTGATGGAGGTGGGAAAGGGCCCAGCCTTCATGGCACACCCAGAGAAAACAATTTGTATTTGGCACCTCGCTGCACCATGCTTTTGACTGTTGCCCCATCCGCACTCTATATTTAAAGTGATGTCATGCCACTTCGAAGAACCTTTGCCTTCTTCGAAGAACCTCCTCCAAAGAATCCTGGGGAAAGCAATTTGCTAAGAGTGCTGCTGTTCTGCTTTTGGGGTCTTCCATTTGTCACTCAGTAGTTCCTGACAGAGTCAGGAAGGATGGCAACACTGTATATGTTTTTTTCCCCACTGTCCGGCAGTTAATATTGCATGACCGTCCCTCATTTCTGATTAACATGCGTACAAAAGCAAAGGATGCTTCATTGCTACACTTGTACCCTTTGTCTGGGGGACGCAGGTGGCGCTGTGGGTTAAACCACAGAGCCTAGGACTTGCTGATCAGAAGGTCGGCGGTTCGAATCCCCACGACAGGGTTAGCTCCCATTGCTCGGTCCCTGCTCCTGCCAACCAAGCAGTTTGAAAGCATGTCAAATTGCAAGTAGATAAATAGGTACCGCTCCAGCAGGAAGGTACAAGGCATTTCCGTGCGCTGCTCTGGTTCGCCAGATGCGGCTTAGTCATGCTGGCCACATGACCCAGAAGCTGTACGCCGGCTCCCTCGGCCAATAAAGTGAGATGAGCGTCTCAACCCCAGAGTCGGCCACGACTGGACCTAATGGTCAGGGGTCCCTGTCCCTTTACCTTTACCCTTTGTCCAGTGCTGATCTGCCCAGAACAGTACGGATCACATTAGACACAATCCTTTCTATTTCGTGAGTTGTCTTCTCCTTTTGTTTTCCTTTGGCTGGGGTGCGTCAGGGAGAAAACAGGAACCAAGCGCTTCAGTTGTACTTTTTCAATAAATAAATAAATAATACTCTTTGAAAAGAAGCCTCTACCATTTCATTTGACACAATCCCAACTAGACATCATGTTGTGTTAAGATACAGCTTTAAGCAGCCATGGCTACACACACACACACACACACACACACACACACACACACACAAGACACTGGGAACGGTAGTTTGTTAAGGTTAGCAGATCCTATTCCCCTCAGAGCTTCAGTTCCCAGAGTGGTTTAACAACCAATCCCTCTACGCAGGGAACTTTTCACATCAGACAGGGCCACGGTAAGGTGTAACGAACTATCAACACGCCCAAGAAGCACCTACAGCAAACAAAAAGCATGCCAAGGTTCTTCAGTAGATATTTCAGTTGGAGCAGGACAGAAGGTTCCCTGGATATATAGGAAGTGGCCCTAGCCTTTGACTTGTATTCCAAAGTAAGCTTATGTTGACTCTGTCTCATAATACTTCTGCCCTGCTCCTTGTAAACTGGGCTGCCTCTCCCGATTCAGCAACCAGTGCTGTGGCTTCTGTTGGCAGGTGGGTTAAGAGAGACAGTTACCTCCCAGTGGGAAGCCATAACTTGAAAGCGGCAGCCAAAGCGAAGCTGGGCTATGACCCCGTGGAGCTGGATCCTGAAGAGATGTGCCGGATGGCTACTGAGGAACCTCAGGTACTTCGGTTACCCCTGTGCGATTCTGTCGTGTGTTTTCAACTGGGATCAGCCATGGCGGATTCCCAACAATTAACGGCAGAGGTAAAAGAGAAGGGGTACTGGAAGGAGTTCCCTTGGCCTGCTGTGCCCCTATGAGGCCCTGGCCAGAATTCACCCTCCAACATCCAGGAGGATTGGATAACATGTATAGGTATTGTGCAGCTGTGGTTGCAAATGTAACATTTGATGCAGTACACTCTGGCATCCCTGCAGAATCTAGAACAATTTGGCTTTCGCTGTAAAATAAAATGCTAATAGTTTGACAACCAGAGAGAGAGAGAGAGAAATTTCTGCTGTAGACTTAGGAATTGGAGAAGCTCTAAGGGAGGTTTCTGATGTTCAAGGCTTGCTCTCAATTCCAGCCCCATCTGCCTTTGTGCATGTGATACTCCAGAGCAATTTAGAGGGTTTATGTGCTCCACACAGAGAATCATGGCTTTCTAGGTGCAGAATGCTAGATCTTTACATTTAGGGAGCTATTCCTTTAGGGCAATCTTCTTTCCACAATCAGTTTTTGTTACGTGGTAGAATGTCAAGTGCCTCTAAATGATTAAACCACCATCAGCCAACATGCATTGCACAGGCCAGCAAGGGATAGTTGGGCATCTGGACAAGCACCTAGAGACCTGTAGGCCTGGCTAGGGCATAGCCGTGTAGCTTGCCTGTCTCTCTTGACATTCTGCTCCCTGGCTTTCTAGGCTAAAGGCAAGATCACACCAAGAGCTAGAAAAGCTATCAGTCGAGTGTAGCCACTGTATCGTAATTTGAACTTGATTTGTGACTCACTGGCCCAAAAGCTTGATCACCAGTGGATACAGCTTCTTAAAAGGATAGTAATAATTGTGCTATCAAATTGGCTTTCAGCACAGACCATTTTCCATTGTTGCTGTTTTTTTAATTGTTAACTTTTACATGCAGCCAATGATCCTTTTTTCAGTCAGCACTCCCCATATAAATCAAGCTGCTTAAATGAATATTTGCATGTAAGCAACATGCAGACCTTTTCCTTGCTTGGGGAGGAGGCCGCGTTGAACTTACAGCGCCTGCTGATGTTCTCCCTGCGCTCAGATGGCAAGTTGCAAAATGCTTCCATGCTGCTTCCTTCTTTCCTCCAGACTCTGGCCACCTACTCAGTGTCCGACGCTGTTGCTACTTATTACATGTACATGAAATACGTCCACCCTTTCATCTTCGCTTTGTGCACCATCATCCCCATGGAGCCCGATGACGTGAGTAGAGTGGATCCCAAGGCTCAGTTGCTTCCTTATTTTGTAAAATTTAAACACCAGTTGATTTAAAAAAAAAAAAAAAACCCAAAGCAGTTTGCAAAGAGAATAAAACAATAAAATTATTGGCAAAACAGAAGAGGGCCTTCTCGGTAGTGGTGCCCTCCCATTAGATGTCAAGGAAATAAACAACTATCTGACTTTTAGAAGACATCTGAAGGCAGCCCTGTTTAGGGAAGTGTTTAAAGTCTGATGTTTTATTGTGCTTTTAATTCTGTTGGGAGCCACCCAGAGTGGCTGGGGAAACCCAGCCAGATGGGTGGGGTATAAATAATAAATTGTTGTTGTTGTTTATTATAGTAAAAAAAAAAAACTCTTTAAAACGCTTATCAGATAAAATCAGCAATAAGCTACAAACAGATTAAGAGATACACCAACATTCTACATGTCCGAGAAAGCTTGTCTGCACAAAAATGTATTTGGTAATCACCAAAAAGAGTACAGTGAAGGTCTCAGTACTAATGTAGATTATCTCACTATAAGTGGCCCCTTGGTTGTTCCAAGATTCCACTGTCAGACAGATGTTTTTTAGTCTTTCAGGTTGGCCTGGGCAATATATCAAAATATCGCCCAGGACCGGTATGAGGAACAGCCCACGATGTCAGCTTCACTCAGTGGTGTATCACGGGTGAAATCGCCACCCCTCCCAAGTCCCTCTGCTAGCAGCGTCTGCTAGAGTTCCTTCCAGCAGCGCTGCTAGCAGAGGGGACTCGGGAACGGTGGCGGTTTCACACACAATACACCGCTGAGTGAAACTGCCACCACACTGCCCCTCATACGATGCAGAGGAAGAAACAAGCTGTGTCGGCGAGGCACCAATACAGCTTTTTCTTCCTCTGCATCTCTGAACTGCTCAACTGAGGAGTGTACAGCTGCCCTTACCTCAGCTGAACAGTTAAAGGCGCCCCCAGCCCAGCGCTGGCTCCCGTGAGCTCTGTGAAACTGCTCAGCTAAGGGGAGCGTGGTTGGCACTCCCTGCAGCGAGCAGTTAAAGGAGCCCTGAGGCTCTGCCCACTCGCCCGTGAGTGGCAGGAGCACTGGAGCTGACTCAGATGCAGAGTGGGAACCTTCCCGATCCCCAGCTGAGCTGCGCAAACAAGCTGCGTTGTCCGAGCCCATGAGGGCCTGGGGGAAACCACCTCGGTTCCTGAGGTGAGAGCTGGGGCAGTTTCACCAGGTGCCTCACAGGCAGAGGCCGATGCAGCTTGTTTTTTCAACATCGTGGTACAGTGGTAAGAACTTAATTTGTTCTGGAGGTCCATTCTTAACCTGAAACTGTCCTTAACCTGAAGCACCACTTTAGCTAATGGGGCCTCCTGCTGCCACTGCCACGCAATTTCTGTTCTCATTCTGAAGCAAAGTTCTTAAGCCGAGGTACTATTTCTGGGTTAGTGGAGTCTGTAACCTGAAGCGTCTGTAACCCGAGGTACCACTGGATATCGCCAAATCGATATCTTTGGCTGGCGATACACCACAATGTTTAAAAGCTGTTATCGCCCAGCCCTACTTTCAGGTACCTGAAAGCTCTCTGGCTTGATTTCCCCCCTCCCCTGCGAGACACCAAATTCCCCCTCTCTAAGTTCCCTTTTGCCACCAGCCCTCATCTCTCTCTCTCCCTGCAGGTGCTGCGAAAGGGCTCAGGGACTCTGTGTGAGGCACTGCTGATGGTCCAGGCCTATCACGCCAACATCATCTTCCCCAACAAGCAAGAGCAGGAGTTCAACAAGCTCACTGAGGATGGGCATGTGCTCGACTCGGAGACCTACGTCGGGGGGCATGTGGAGGCCCTGGAGTCGGGGGTCTTTCGCAGTGACATCCCCTGCCGCTTCAAGATGGTATGAGTCCCGCCCTGGAAGGAGACTTCTTGAAAGCTCATGGGGGGCGGCAGGGGTTGCCAGGATAAATCCCCACCCTGCCCCTGTGCTTGCCAGACATAAAGCAGGTAGCTACAACAAAGTCCAAATTGCCCCCTCAAATAGAGAAGTGTCTGACCCCATGAGGCTGGTGATAGAACACCTGCTTTGCATGCAGAAGGTCCCAGGTTCAGCATTTCCAGGTGAGACCCAAGAAGAGCCTGCTGGATCAGGCCCATCTAGTCCAGCATCCTGTTCTCACAGTGGCCAACCATTGGGAAGCCCAAAAGAATCTGAGTGCAAGAGTAACTCCTCCGCTGGTGATTCTTCCCGGCAACCGATCTTCCAGAGGGAGGGAGCACACTTCCCTGTAGCTGGTGGCCAACAAAGGCTGCTGGAGGAAGAGCTATGACCCGATCTTGTGGATTACAAAGAGCATAAGACCTTCCTTTGCAGATTTGTTTCCGCCTGCCCCATGTGGCACCATGTTCCCCCATGTTTCAACTGCACTGTCTTTGCCTGGGGAGAATCCTTGGTGAAAATTTGTCACACTCATGTCCTTCCCTCCCACCCCGGTTGTGTCTCTTAGAACCCTGCTGCCTTCGACTTCCTTTTGCAACGTGTGGAGAAGACTCTGCGCCACGCCATTGAGGAAGAGGAGGGAATACCCCTTGACCAAGTGACCAACTTCCAGGAGGTAACCTTGTAGGCCAAACAGCAGTGTCTGCATAGGAGGAGGCAGCAGTAGCAATGGAGTTGTTATTGTCCTGACACAGCTCCTTCACTCTAGTTTCTGTTCATTTTAAGCATCTAGCTCCCCCCGGTCCCCAGGTTATCTTGGCTGTTCCTTCCTTCTTTTCCCCTGCTTCAACCCTTTGCTTCCCCAACCCCTTAGCCTTGGCCACCAATCTGCTGCTATTTACTACATTGAACTGTCCTGGGGGCCACTTGTGGCCTACGAAAGGCACAGTCCTGGTATATGTGTGGTGTAGGGATGCAGGTGGCGCTGTGGTCTAAACCACTGAGCCTCTTGGGCTTACTGATCAGAAGGTCGGCGGTTCAAATCCCTGCGACGGGGTAAGCTCCCGTTGCTCTTTCCCAGCTCCTGCCAACCTAGCAGCTCAAAAGCACACCAGTGCAAGTAGATAAATGGGTATCGCTGCCGTGGGAAGGTAAATGGTGTTTCCGTGCACTCTGGTTTCCGTCATGGTGTCCTGTTGCGCCAGAAGCGATTTAGTCATGCTGGCCACATGACCCGGAAAGCTGTCTGCGGACAAACGCTGGCTCCCTAGTCCCGAAAGCCAGATGAGCACCACAACCCCATAGTCGCCTTTGACTGCACTTTACCATCTAGGGATCTTTTACCTTACCTTACATGTGATGTTCTTTTGCCGGGCTCTATTGCATTCCGAAGAGCATGGTAAAGCATTGCTCTCCTAGGCAAAAAACAACAACCCACCTTATCCTCTTGCCTGCTTTCCACTGCTACCTCTGGACCACAGGTTTGCGATGAAATCAAAGTCAAGTTGAACTCCCTGAAGGAAGTCCCCAACAGGATTGAATGTCCTCTGATATACCACCTGGATGTGGGGGCCATGTACCCGAATATCATCCTAACCAACCGGCTTCAGGTGAGTGAGGAGTTTGAGCTCCTTCGCATTGGGTACTAAAGTCTAAATCTCTGCTGTAAGAATTGTGGCCTCTTAGACTTAAATCTGCAGCCCTCTGGACGCTCTTGGGCTCCCAACTCCCAAAGCCCCAACTAGCACTGCCCAGTGGTCAGGGATTTGATTTAATATTTCTATTCCGCTTTTCCAACGGCCAATGTTGAGCTCAAAAGTGGTTAACAATAAGCACAGTAGCATTAAAAAACAAGCATTGCAATCACAATGGTATCAGACACAATAACAAGCCGCACAGTTAAGATTTTGGAGTGCTATTTCAGTTTGGAATTTTTGGGGTGGGTGGAGGGATGCTGTCTTTCTCTTTGGGAGAATCAGAGTGTGATTTATAACTCGTACTATAAGAAAACTCAACAACATTGTCTTCTTAATAAGAGACAATATATACGGAAATTTCCCTGTGCCGGTAATGGACTCCCAGTTTGGGGTAGGCACTCCAGGCAACCTCTTCCTCAATCTCCTTCACAAAGAGTTGCTGCCTCTCTAGCAACAAGGATAGTAGTAGTAAACCTTTTATTGGCATCACATACAACATCCAGAACAAATCAGTACAGAATTACCACTTCCCCAGTGGCACAAAACATTTACTAAAAGAAAGGAGGCAGAGCAGTCTATCGTCACATCTCTTGGAATAGAGGGGAAAGGCCAGTGTTGCAATGTTCTCCCTAGTAAGAGACTGCTGAATAATAATAATAATAATTATTATTATTATTATTATTATCATCATCATCATCATCATCATTATATCATTTATACCCTGCCCATCTGGCTGGGTTTCACCAGCCATTCTGTGCGCCTCCAAACAGAATATTAAAAATACATTTAAAAAAATAAATCATTAAAAACTTCCCTAAACAGGGCTGCCTTCAGATGTCTTCTAAAAGTCAGATAGTTGTTTATTTCCTTGACATCTGATGGGAGGGCATTCCTCAAGGCAGACACCACTACCAAGAAGGCCCTCTGCCTGGTTCCCTGTAACCTCACTTCTCGCAGGGAGGGAACCGGCAGAAGGCCCTCGGAGCTGGACCTCAGTGTCCGGGCTGAATGATGGGGGTGGAGATGCTCCTTCAGGTATACTGGGTTGAGGCCATTTAGGGCTTTAAAGGTCAGCACCAACCCTTTGAATTGTGCTTGGAAACGTACTGGGAGCCAATGTAGGTCTTTCAGGACTGGTGTTATATGGTCTCGGTGGCCACTCCCAGTCACCAGTATGGCTGCCACATTCTGGATTAGTTTGAGTCACCTTCAAAGGTAGCCCCACATAGAGTGCATTGCAATAGTCCAAGCGGGAGATAACCAGAGCATATGAATAGATGGTTGGTGGTTGCTCTTTTCTTGCTTGGGAGTATGCAGCGCAGGAGGGGAGGGCTGGAATGGAGCTCTCTGTCCTCTGCTGCCCATAGTATCTTTTGAGTTCGAAACACAGGTGCAGCAGGGCTTCGGCACACACAGTATACATCAGGGAGGCTCACCTGGCACCTGCCTTACATATCTTTAGGCACCAGGCCAAAACATTCCTCTTTTCCTTTTAAACTGAGGGTTTCTGTTAGTTGTTATGGTACATACGTTTGTTTTTATATTTAAACTGCCCTGTGAACTTCAGCTGAAGGATGGTGTAGAAATTTAATAATTGAGACTTAACAATCCCGCAAAAGCATCCTGGGTCTACCTGCTGCTTTCCTAGAGGCAGGATCCAACCTTGCCTGGCCTATAAACTTACTTTTATTTATTTAAATGTACTTGTGCCTTTATTCGCTCCCCCTCTGCTTTGCTTCCCTCCCTTCAGCCCTCGGCGATGGTGAACGAGGCCACGTGCGCCGCCTGCGACTTCAACAAACCAGGCGCCAACTGTCAGCGGCGGATGACCTGGCAGTGGAGAGGAGAATTCAGTGAGTCTTTTCCCTTCTGCTGACTCGTATGCAACTTGGCGCGGTTCCTCTGCTGCGTATAAAACCCCCTCTCGCAGTCTGGAGTGATTGTCAGCTGGGTTGTTTCCTTCCTCCCCGCCCCCTTCTCTTTTCCCCTTGCAGTGCCCGCGAGCCGCAGCGAGTACCATCGCATCCAGCAACAGCTGGAGTCGGAGAAGTTCCCCCCTCTCTTCCCAGATGGACCGCCCCGGGTGTTTCATGAGCTGTCCCGGGAGGAGCAAGCGAAATACGAGAAGAAGCGCTTGGCAGGTGAGGGCAAACCTTCTTTTTCGTCTTCTTTTTTGAAATCATTTTTATTTGAATGTATATATAGAGATGGCTTGAATCTCGCGACTTCCCCCCACCCCCTCCATGGTTCCTATTATCAACATTATCAACTGCATATTATTCCATACTCTATATTTTCTATCAAGCCAAATTATCCATGGTATTTGTTACATTACAAGTGGGATTAAAATCCTGCTATTGTTTCCATCTGCTTGCGGTGGTCTCCTAAATAAATTATACAAAAATTTCCCATTCTTTTTTAAAGTTTTTGTCCTCTTGGTTCCTGAGTTTTCCAATCAGTTTTACCATTTCTGCGTAGTCCAACAGCTTGGTTTGCCATTCCTCTCTGGTAAGGACTTTGTCTTCCATCTCTGAGCTAATAAGAGAGCAAACCTTTTTCCGCACCACAGTAGAGCTTGTACATGGTTATGGCTTGGGGTGTCTCGAAGCTTTTATTTTCTTGGATTCAGCCCCTACCTTTTCCCTGCTATGCCCTTTAGCGCTAGAGGACTTGGGGTCTGGGGTCAGCTGCCAGCCCCAAACCAGAGTTCTTTCTAGTGGTGAGCAGAGAAGGTGTTACTACAGTGGAACCTTGGTTCCCAAACTTAATCCATTCCGGGAGGCCGTTCGACTCCCAGAACCGTTTGGGAACCAAGGCGCAGCTTCCAATTGGCTGCAGGAGCTTCCAAAGAACATTCAAAACCGGAACAATCACTTCCGGTTTTCGATTATTCGGGAACCGGAATGTTCGGCTCCCAAGGCGTTTGGGAGCCGAGGTTCCACTGTATTAGTACTTAAAGCCCTTAACAGCTTGTCACCTTAACAGTTTGTCACATTACCCCCATATATTATGCCCACTCGACTGCTTTGATCTACAGAACTGGCACTGTTACAGGTGCCACATAATACTCCTGCATTTGTAAGAAATCAGTCTTTTGGTGTGGAAGCAGCAACACTTTGGAACTCCCTGCCTATTGACGTCAGGCGGGTGCCTTGGCTACACTCTTTTTATTACCTACTGGGCACATTTTTGTTTAGGCACAGCCCATCCAGACATGTAGAATGTCGGCATGGGTTTTGATCTGTTTTCAGTTAATTGATTTTCATTGTTTTTAGCTATTTTTTTTACTGAAAATTTAATTTTTAAACTTATTTTTGCAAAGTGAGGTGTGCGTTTTTTAAACTATCAAGTGGCATATAAACATTTTGAAATGAAATAAGTTTGGGAAGTGTTGAACGTTCCAGAATAAATTGCAAGTGAACCGCCTCTGCCACACCTCTTGCCCAGATTACTGCCGCAAAGCCTACAAGAAAATCCACGTGACGAAGGTTGAGGAGCGTGTCACCACCATCTGCCAGCGGGAAAACTCCTTCTATGTGGACACCGTGCGGGCCTTTCGTGACCGCCGCTACGAGTTCAAGGGGCTGCATAAGGTGCTTTTTATTTTTATTTTGTCAGATTTGCGTTAGAGTAGCAAAAAGGTGCGTTTCTAAAGGTGTTCATGGTGATCTTTACGTTCATAAAGCAATGAGATGCAGGCAGGCATTTATAGCCAGGCTGATGTCTCCTTGCTGGTGGGTGCTGAAAGGGGATGCTGTGGTTCCTGGGGCCAGAATGCTTGAATAGAAATTCTGAATATTGAGTGGTATATAAATACTTGAAATGAATTTAATAAAAAAGCATTGATTTATATCAAGTTTTCATCATATTCATAGATTTAACAGACAAATTCTTGTATATTAGTTGATTGCTAGATACACATAAGGGACGTGAGTGGCTCTAGAGGTTAAACCACAGAGCCTAGGACTTGCCAATCAGAAGGTCGGCAGTTCGAATCCCTGTGACGGGGTGAGCTCCCATTGCTCGGTCCCAGCTCCTGCCAACCTAGCCGTTCAAAAGCACGTCAAAGTGCAAGTAGATAAATAGGTACCGCTCCAGCAGGATGGTATACGGCGTTTTCGTGCACTGCTCTGGTTTGCCAGAAGCAGCTTAGTCATGCTGGCCACATGACCCGGAAGCTGTATGCCGGCTCCCTCGGCCAATAAAGCAAGATGAGCGCCGCAACCCCAGAGTCGGTCACAACTGGACCTAATGGTCGGGGTCCCTTTACCTTTACCTAGATACACATAAAATGTTTCTATTTGCAACTAAGCAGAGCCAAAAAGCTCTGGGCATGCAATCCATGTGCCTTCTGTAATATACAGAAGCTTTTGTCAACATGGGTTTACAGGGGGTGGAGGAGACAGACATCCAAGGAAAGGGCTGTGGAAGGAAAAGACAGAGGATGGAAACCAGCTGAAGCAAAGGTAGACAATAGCCCATGGCTTGCTTGAGTCACAGGCCCTTTTTCCTCTGCCTTTCCCAGGTGTGGAAGAAGAAGCTGGCTGCTGCCATGGAGTCGGGTGACGCCTCGGAAGCGAAGCGCTGCAAGAACATGGAGATCTTGTATGACTCCCTGCAGCTAGCACACAAGTGCATCCTCAACTCCTTTTACGGATACGTCATGCGCAAAGGGTGAGGGGGGAACCAAAGAGTGTGGCTGCTGGTGGATCTTTAAATGGCCCTTTTAAAATCTGCCCCTGCCTCGGCTCCCAGTTGGTGCAGTTTCTGGGCCTTTAAATGTTCAATATTAAGACAAAGAACTAAATCCTAGTACAATTAAATGAAGCATTTCCTCCTATACACATAAAAATATAAGGCTATCATCATGCAGCCCCGGCTGTAGGATTTGTAGTTCTGCATCACAATCCTGGATTTGCATGAAGCCAGGGAGGGGAGCAAAAGAGAAAAGGTGGATTTTAAGCAATGGCAGACGTTTGAATGAAGCAGGGTTGGAGCGACACTGAGGAGCAGTGAGGATGTGGGGCACTTGGATGAGGTGTGAAGGAGGGGGTGGGATTGGCAAGCAATGTGAGCAGGGGGAAGCAGTCCCCAAGCACATAAATAAATACTGCAGCTCCTTGACCAGGAGACCTCCCAGCTCATACTGTTGGCCTCAATTTTGGCACATCAGTCCTCAAGCCAAGTTTACAATAATTAGTTCGCTCAAGCCTTGGTTGCAAAGCTGCTGACCCAGAGCGGCTCTTCCTGTTCTCACTAGTTCTCTCCCCTACGCAGAGCTCGGTGGTACTCCATGGAAATGGCCGGCATCGTCTGCTTCACCGGCGCCAACATCATCACACAGGCCAGGGAGCTGATAGAACAAATTGGGTGAGTAGTTGAATGGTGGCTGGCTGCAGCAGCTGGAGGCGAGGAGATTCTGAGCTTGGATGTTGTGTGCCTGTTGCCCAAAGGTGGTTTGCTCCTTCATGGATGATGGTGCTTTTCCTATGTTTATGTTATGTTATGTTGTTATGTTATGTTATGTTATGTTATGTTATGTTATGTTATGTTATGTTATGTTATGTTTTGTTGTGGTGTGTTGTCCAGGGCTCCTTTAAGAGGAAGGTTGCTATGTGTAAACACAGAAAAGAAAAGAAAATGACACAAAGATGAATTGTCCAGCTCTGGATCTCTTCTGTCTCTAACCACAAGGAATCTGGTCTGGATCTGGACTCAAAGGCACACCGCCCCATGGTCTGCTCCTTACTGCCTTGGCCCAGAAAAAGAAGCAGGTCTCTTAAGCAACTTAGAGAGTGAGGGATGAAGACCCACAGTGTGTCTCTGCAGACTGTTGCTTTTGTAAACTTCATCAGCTTTCATAAGAACATATGAGCCTGCTAGATCAAGCCAATGGCCCATATAGTCCAGCATCCTGTTCTCGTAGTGGTTGATAGATGCCTGTAGGAAACGCTCAGGCAGGACCCAAGCACATGATGATGATGATGATGATGATGATGATGATGATTTATATATACCTCGCCCATCTGGCTGGGTTTCCCCAGCCACTCTGCACGGCTCCCCACAGAATATTATTATTATTAATAATAAAGCAATAAAACATCAAACATTATAAAACTTCCCTAAACAGGGCTACCTTCAGATGTCTTCTAAATGCCAGATAGTTGTTTAGTTCCTTGACATCTGAAGGGAGGGTGTTCCACAGGGCGGGCGCCACTACCAAGAAGGCCCTCTGCCTGCTTCCCTGTAACCTCACTTCTTGCAGTGAGGGAACCGCCAGAAGGCCCTTAGAGCTGGACTTCAGTGATGAGGTCTGAGCGATGGCGGTGGAGACACATTTTCCCATCCTGCAGTTCCCTGCAATTGGTATTAGGAATCATTTGCTGTCTCTGACCATGGAAGCAGAGCCAAATAGCCATCATGACTAGTAGTTATCAATAGTCCTCCATAGATTTGTCCAAACCTCTTTTAAAGCCATCCAAGTTGGTGGCCATAGTTTAACTATGCACTGTGTGAAAAACTCTTTTCTTCTATCTGTCCCAAACCTTCCAACATTAAGCTTCCTCGGATGACCACGAGTTCTAATGTTACGGGAGGGATAAAAGCGTTTCTCTATCTGCTTTCTCTCCTCGCCGTGCATAGTTTTATAAATCGCTACATCTTTCTCGATTTTTCTCTTAAACTGAAAAGCTCCGATTGCTGCAACCATTCCTCATAAGGTGGTTGCTTTTGCAGAGTGCCCTCTGGGCTCCCATATGGAAACGCCTCTCCCATTTTCCCGTTTCCCAGGAGGCCGCTGGAGCTGGACACAGACGGGATCTGGTGTGTGCTTCCAAACAGCTTCCCGGAAAACTTTGTCATCAAATCAACCCACGCCAAGAAGCCCAAAGTGACAATCTCCTATCCAGGTGCTATGCTGAACATCATGGTGAAGGTGAGGAGCCTCAAACCTTTATCCTTAGCAGGATTTTGGAGCGAGTCGAATTGACAGGATTTTGTCATGGGTATGTTTGACATTTAGCTTCCCCCCTGCAGGGATTGCATCATATATAGCTTCCTTCCAGCCCTCCCGTTAAATTGTTCTGAGGTGCAGCATGAGCCTGCAAGGCCGAAGCGCCCAGCGTATGTGTCACTTACTTGCAGGAAGGGTTTACGAACGATCAGTACCAGGAGCTGGTGGACCCGGCCTCGCTCTCCTACGTTTCCCGCTCAGAGAACAGCATCTTCTTTGAAGTGGACGGCCCATACTTGGCCATGATTCTCCCCGCCTCCAAGGAAGAGGGCAAGAAGCTGAAGAAAAGGTGAGGTCTGGGGAGGCAGCTCCTCCTCGGCTCAGGGATACCGGCAGGCAGCAAAGCTGAACCTGGAAGATGGCAGGACTTGAAATATCGCTGCTAGATCCTTAATGGATGGGCATTTTCAGAGCTCCCTCCTTTCTAGTTTGTAAGAAGCCGTGGAGGCTGGTCCATTAGGGCAAAGGGGGCGCCGGTCCCACGTGGTAACTATAGTCCAAAATACCTGGAGGGCAACAGATAGTGGAGGCACTGGGACAAAGTGGGCACTGACCCTCACTCAGCCCCCACCTGCCTTTTTTACTTACAACCAGCCCCAGGGCGTAGCAAGCTTTCTCCTCCTTCCTTTCAGCATTGCCCCTTGTAGAACCCAGCAGGGAGGAGGATGGGGACAAAACTAGTCTTAGCTGCCTCTGCTTCTCATTGGATGTGGCGCCACCTGCTGTTGGGCTCCTTGCTTTCTGCCCTATCGGTCCCAGACACCACTGGTAAAAAGGTTGTGGGGGGTGTTACAGGAGAAGGAAGGTGCCAACCATGCATAGGCTGACTATTTTGCTCCACGCCAGGTACGCCGTGTTCAACGAGGACGGCTCCCTGGCCGAGCTAAAGGGGTTTGAGGTGAAGCGGCGGGGGGAGCTGCAGCTGGTCAAGATCTTCCAGTCGTCCGTCTTTGAGGCCTTCCTGAAAGGCACCACTTTGGAAGAGGTTTATGCCTCCGTCGCCAAAGTGGCTGACTACTGGCTGGATGTGCTCTACAGCAAGGTGGGTTGAGGCTCCAAGGTGAGTCTGCTGGCTTTCCTGGGACGGTATGGTCAAATATATCCACACTGGGCATTTGGGGATGAAGATAATGGGGAATTGGCGGCCAGTTAAGGGCAGAACCACCAATTGGAAAGAAGACGAGGTTCCTGTTGCTGCTGTAAAGTCCTCTTCTCCCCTTCTGTAGTCTACACATGGGCATCTCCCAGGCTTCCTGCGGCCTTCAGAAGCTTTTAGTGCGGCCAACATGGGATGCTGAGCTGCCGTGCCTCCAAAGTGGTCCAGGAGGGGAATGGGCTGGCACATGCAAGCGTTCCTTTCTCTCTTTCTTCCAGGCTGCCAATATGCCTGACTCGGAGTTGTTTGAGCTTATCTCCGAGAACCGGTCCATGTCCCGCAAGCTGGAGGATTATGGGGAGCAAAAATCCACCTCCATCAGCACCGCCAAGCGCCTGGCTGAGTTCCTGGGGGATCAGATGGTGAAGGATGCCGGTCTGAGCTGCCGGTTTATCATTTCTAAGAAGCCAGAAGGATCCCCGGTCACAGAGAGGTATATAACGATCAGAGGGGCACGAGTATCCCACAATGCCGGGCCATTGACGTGAACGGTTCGGTTTCTTGTTGCTGTGAAATGAGCCTTGCCAACTCAAGGAATGACCAAATCTCCTGCAGATGATTTTGGCGGTTGAACTGGAGTAGAAGAGCTCAGCTGGTACCCTGGACCTAAGTTGTTCAGGGCTCTGTAACCTAACGCAAGGACCTTGAAGCTGGCAGATGGGCCGCCAGTGCAGATGTTGTGATTTTTATTTATTAAATTTCTATAACACCCTTCATGCAAGAAGCACAGGGCAGTTTATGAAAACACAAAATGCATAACATAGTAAAAAGCAGAAATGATAACAACCCCACTTTTGTTCCAACAAAATGTTGCATACCGTTGGCCAGATTCTACACCAGCTGGTAATTATACTTTACAGAGTTGTGTGGAAGTTGCCCCAGATCATTTGACCCTTGACCCCCATCGTGTAGCCCCGGACACTGAGGTCCAGCTCCGAGGGCCTTCTGGCGGTTCTCTCCCTGCGAGAAGTGTGGTTACAGGGAACCAGGCCTTCTCGGTAGTGGCACCTGCCCTGTGGAACGCCCTCCCATCAGATGTCAAGGAGATAAGAACTATCTGACTTTTAGAAGACATCTGAAGGCAGCCCTGTTTAGGGAAGTTTTTAATGTTTGATGTTTTATCGTATTTTTAATATTCTGTTGGGGCCGCCCAGAGTGGCTGGGGAAACCCAGCTAGATGGGCGAGGTATAAATAATAAATTATTATTCTTATTCCTATTTTAAATAGTTCTCTCCCCCCCCCCCCCCGGAAAAAGTTTAAAAGTAACATAAAGGCTTTGACTTGCTGTTCTTGTTCTTGTCAGATTGAATGTACAAAAGAGGTAGATAATACTTACGTTACTGAAACATATTTACATGAATTTGTATCTTGAGGCTGACTGATGTTTACAGACTAGCTCTGAGGCAAGCGGCAGCATAACACAACACCCTTGCTGCTCTCACAGTTAAAACTCACACACATAGTTGGTGACGGAACTGGGGGGGGGATGCCTCAATATGACATCACAGGATTTTGTGCTACAGCATTAATCCTTTGCATAGTATTATGGATGCACCATTCCCACTCTTCCATAACAGGACCAAGGACAGCTCCACATAAATCGCATTGCCGTCATACAGCCTTAAATGCCCATGGACTGCAGTGGCCAAGGCTATCCCTGCCCAGGAACAGCCATAGCTGGCAAACCAGACACAGCTGGTAAAAGTTCATTCTACTCAGAGTAGACTGGTTTAAAGTACAGTCGTACCTTGGATCCTGAACACCTTGGTACTCAGACATTTTTGCTCTCGAACGCCACAAACCCAGAAGTGAGCCTTCCGGTTTGCAAACGTTCTTTGGAACCTGAACGTCCTCCGTGGCTTCCGATTATCTGAAGCTGCTCCCTGCAGCTAATCAAAAGCCACAGTTTGGTTTCTGAACGTTCTGGAAGTCGAACGGACTTCCGGAATGGATTCCGTTCGACTTCCAAGGTATGACTGTAATTGTCATGACTAACTTTTGTTTGGTCAACTGAATGGGTTTATTCTGAGTAGAACGAACATCGGATACAAACCATATAGTCTTTAAGATGCAACAGACTGACAAGGCCACTCCTCTTCTGGAAATAGAAGTGATGTGTTTTGATTTATTTTCCCCAGGGCCATTCCGCTGGCCATTTTCCAGGCTGAGCTCTCGGTCCGCAGGCACTATCTCCGGAAATGGCTCAAGAGCCCCTCCCTGCAGGATTTTGACATCCGGACGGTAAGCAGTGTGGGGCTGTCCTGCGGCAGTTTGTGACTCGAGGCTGACTGTGGCACACCTCTTGTCCCCAGCCTTGGACTTGACCCAAATCCTGTCTCTCTGCTTGTAGATCCTGGATTGGGACTATTACATCGAGAGACTGGGCAGCACAATTCAGAAAATCATCACCATCCCAGCAGCCCTGCAGCAGGTAAACTGTCGGGTTGGCGGCTAAAGGGCTGTGGGCTCCCCCAGGATGTTACGAGGCGTAGGAGGTGGCCGCAGAACTCTCACACTTAGTTGCTCTGGTCCAATAGCTAGTTAAAAACTCAAAGCTCCAAAACTGAGTTAGCTCCCTGAGTGTTCCCATTCATTTCAGAAAGGTAGAACCTTCCTGCATGGAACTGACCCCAGCCTTTTCCAAATGCACGAGAGCTCTGTGCACTCCTCAGAGCACACCTGGGACTCCAGAGCTAATTATTTAAAACATTTCTACTCCTCTGTGATTGGTTTTTGGGGACCGGGGTTGTACAAACGAAAGCTAAGAAGCTGGGGTTTCTGCACTACGGGTCTCTGATTTGGATGTCAGCACTGTCAGTGCAAGTGTCTTGTGTTCTAGCATAGCTAGTTTCCTTCTGCTTCTGGTCAAAAACAGTAGTATCCTCGCAGGATGAGGCAGAATGAAAGTCAGAGGGAGCCTCCCAAATAAATAACAAATGTGGTGTCCCGTCAGGTAAAAAACCCCGTTCCTCGCGTCCGACACCCCGACTGGCTCCACAAGAAGCTCTTGGAAAAGAATGACATGTACAAGCAGAAGAAAATCAGTGAGCTGTTCACAAGTGAGGGCAAGAGACAGGTAAGAGGCGCACGGCTCTCCCTGCACAGGGTGGATTAAAAAAATGAATCCAGTTTTTTAATTAAAATGCATTTACACATGCACACAAATGAAATCAGTTGTAGTAAATGTCTGCCTCATCATGTTTACTTGGAAGTAATTCCTACTTTGTTCACTAGGACTTATTTCCCAAATAAATGTGCATAAATTATAGTCCTGGCTTCTAATTGCTTTGTACAGTAGTACCTTGGTTCTCAAACGTAATCTGTTCCAGAAGTCCATTCCAAAACCAAAGCGTTCCAAAATCAAGGCCCGCTTTCCCCTAGAAAGTAATGCAAAATGGATTCATCCATTCCAGACTTTTAAAAACAACCCCTAAAACAGCAATTTAACATGAATCCTACTATCTAACGAGACCATTGATCCATAAAATGAAAGCAATAAACAATGTACTGCAGTCACACAATCAGTAGCTGAACTGGGTTCCACAAAAACAAAAAGCTGCAAAAACATAAAATAAATAGCAAAAACAGACAAACCTCAGTGTAACACTCAGAATGCAAGCGTGGCACTCAAATTGAAAGCATGGCACTCAAAATGGAGCACGTTCGGCTTCCAAAAAAAGTTCACGAACCGGAACACTTCTGGGTTTGCAGTGTTTGGGTTCCAAGTTGTTTGAGTACCAAGGCATTTGAGAACCAAGGTACCACTGTATATAGATTTCAAAATGGTCAGTTTGATTTTTACATCTCATCTGTTCTTTGCTTAAGATGGCAGTCCCTTGAGGCTGTTTTTCATTTTTGTAATAAAAATAAACCGGTGCTTTCTGAGGTGGGCATCTGCAGGTAAAACATACTTTTATCCCAGACCTGAGAAGAAGGTGGAGGCCACGGGCAGTTTTTGTGAGTAATTGGGTTGCTCAGTCAAGGAGGATTCCATCATTGTACTCCCCACCTTCCGGTGTTTCCTCGCAGGTCTCTGCCAGCGTAATCCAGGAGGGCACGCCCTCCACACAGGTGGCTGACATGGAAGATTTTGGGGTTGCCAAGTCTCTGCAGCCGGGGGTCCCCGTGTCGAATAAACGTAAACGCATCCCTACAGCAGAGGAGAGCCAGCAGCAGTCCCAGAATTCGGAACTAACGCAGTCCTGGAGGGAGATCTTGGGCCCGCCACCTCCCTCTGGAACCACCAAGGTAAGGTAGCAGAAGGAGAGAACTTCATTTAAATAGAGGAACAAAGGATTGCTCTGGGGCTGGGGCTGGGGCTGGATGATGGGGAAGCAGCAACATTCTACCGTATATGAACCTTAAAAAAAGCCAGCTGTATCAGGTCAGTGGCTCGACTGGTAGAGCATCCTGGTCAACCAGGGGCTAACTAGATTCCTCTGGAATCCACAAGCAGGACCTGAACACAGCTGACACTCCCCTACCGCGATTTCCATTTGCTGGTATTCAGAAGCATATTGCCGTCAACATTGGAGGTAGAATGCAGCCGTCGGGGTTAGAACCCATTGACAGGTTTACCTGTCTAAGCCATCTGACTTGATGAAAATTCCATAGTTGCAGCTATGCACTAGGGCTTCCTTTCCTGATTCAGCTTCATTGGATGCGCCCATGTTGTGAGAGGGAGAAAAGCTTTTCTTTTATCCGTTCTCTCCATGCCATGCGGAATTTTATCGGCTCCTGTTACGCCACAACTTGCGCGCCTTTTCTCTAAACAAAAGCCCCAAACGCTGTCACACCATAGATCTGTGTTCTTCTTCTTCCTTGGCAATCACTCGTAGCCGAGTAAGATTGTCTTCCATGAACACGATCTTAACAGTGAGTCCATAAGTGACTGTGGAGGCCAATTCTGGATCCACATGTCCTTCCGGGCGTTGATCACGGTGAGGGTTTGCCAAACGTGCCTTCCTCTTAGTATGTTTCTCCCTTTCGTCCTGAGTTTGAGCGTCTTCAAAGCCCATGACACTTTTGGTAAAGGCTGTTCTCCAATTGAAGTGCTCTCAGGCCAGTGTTTCCCAATTTTCAGTGTTTATACTACATTTTTAAAAGATTTGCCTTGAGAGAGTCTTTAAGCCTCTTTTGTTGACCACCAGCATTACACCTTCCATTTTTAAGTTTGGAATAGAGTAGTTGCTTTGGAAGACGATAATGATGATCAGTCCAACAAAGTTGATGTTGAAGAATCATTGCTTCAACACTGGTGATCTTTACTTCTTCCTGGCATTAGTTCGCCTGTCTTCCCAAGTGATGTGTAAAAATTTTCAGAGACACCATTGATGGAATCTTTCGAGGAGTTGGAGATGACGTTTATAAGCGGTCTGTGTTTCACAAGTGTGTGCGGTATAGATATGTGTAATGGCATCATGTTGGCGTAATGCTGACTCCATCAGAAATTACAGATTGCACGACGTTTTCAGGATTCCTGCCATTTGTTCCCACCATTTCCGATTTGAAGAATTTGACTTTCCACCCAAGCTGAAGAAAGTTAGAATGTGGTTTGCCCAATGGTCACTGCCGGTTTCCTACTCTTTCCTGCAGGAGGAACGCCTGGTCTGGCTGTGCTACCACAAGAAGAAGTGGGAGGTTCAGGCTCGCCAGCGCCAGGAGCGCCGCAAGAGGCGGCGGCTGGCAGATGGCGAGTCGGTCCTGGGCGGGGGGCTGATCAGGGCAAGGCCCTCCATGGGGCTCGGCAGCTACCTGAGCAAAACGGCCCGCAGCATCCTGGACATGCCCTGGCAGATCGTGCAGGTAAGGAGCACCGTGGGGCAGGGGGAGCTCTTTGCCAGGGGAGGGGGTTTAAGGCTGCCATTGGCAGAGCATGCTATAAAGTCAGATGCACAGAGGCATAGGTAGATAATAGAGAGCCAGTGCAGCATAGCGGTTAGAGTGTCAGACTAGGATCTGGGAGGGACTAGGGTTCAAATTCCCCACTTGGCCATGAAACTCGCTAGGCGATTTGGGGCCAGTTGCTGTCTCTCAGCCTGACCTACCTCACAGGGTTGTTGTGGTTGAATCAGGAGACATAGAACCACGTATGCCGCCTTTGAGTCCTCAGGGAAGACAGGTGGGACGTAAATGCAATGAAATAAATAATAAAGATGCTGGGTTGTGTTCAACATAGTGCTATGGTGAATGTTCCACAAGGATTTCTCATTGAGCAATTAAACCTGCTTTACACACACACACACACACACACACACACACACACACACGCATACCCCAAAATATTTTTTGGAGGTTTCCCCAACCCTCTCGAACAAATTAAGGGACTGTGAGGGACACATGCAAGAGAAGGGGACCCCGTTGTGTTAGTGGTAATCATATTCATTTAAGCATCCTTAAAATAATCAATGACTTCCCTACTTCCCTTTCCATGGTTCATTTTGCATATCATAAATCCCTGCATATTTTACATAAACTAAACCATTCAGTATTCCATTATTACATTTATCCATTTACACTGTTGAATTTATCATAATGCTGCCGTTTTCAAATGTACGCAATTTCCCCCATATATTCAATAAACATTTTTCAGTCTTCTCTAAATTTATGTTGTTCTTGTTCTCATATTTGATATGTTAGGTCCGCAAGTTGCGCATATCCCATCAGCATAAGTTGCCATTCTTCTTTGGTTGGGACCTCGCTCGTTTTCCATTTGGGGGCTAACAAAACACGGGCTGCAGTAGTAGCATACATAAATAACCTTTTTTGACGCCTGGGAATTTCCATCTGGGTTATCGAAAGGGCTCTCCCCCATAAAATATTTTGGGGAGCCCCCCACAACGTTGAGAAGAATCAAGGCAGAAGAGGCCAATTGTGAAGCCGAGCACAGTGCGATTTCGGTGGCTGGCAGCTCTTCGCAGTGGTGGCAGCCGCAGGAGGAGGCTAACTGCCAGAGAGGAGGAACCAGCCATTGAAGCCGCGCTGCTACCATGTTTGGCTCCACCTCCTGGCATTGCACACACATGCGAACATCACCCCCCAAAAAACCTTCTGCTCGAGTTGGCACCTCTGGTGCTAATCCTTGTGCTAGCGCAATTACTGTTGGCATACTGCCGGGGAGACGGGGGCATTTGGCAGGCCCCCAGCTTGCTCCAGCCACCAGCTGGCAGCCGGTCTCCCTTGGAACAGCATCAATTAGCAACACAAGCCTCAGATACGTTTAGAGACCCATGCATGCTCTATCAGCAGAGTGCGTAAATCTTCTCACAGTAGAAGAGGCGGACAGAGATGTGTGTAAGCATATTTACAAGCGTTTTATTCAGCATGGTTTAGGAACAAAGGAAAACATGTCTGCTTCCCTTCGTCTCCAGCAAAACAGCTATATACAAAACGGAAGTTCCCAGCAGACTGTGCTGGAAATGTAAACAGGCATGTGACACACAATAGTCCTGCCTGTCCCTTTTAAGGTGGAACGTAACTATATCCTAATATTGTCTCGCTCCCCGATTCCCATGATGGTTCCCTCCAGTGGAAGGCAGGGACTACTCTTGGTTCTTCATTCTTGCTTTTTCTTAGGTGTTTGGGTTGCTACCAGTTATATGATCTCCTACTGTTCAAAATCTAGCAATGCGTTGGGGTTCCCAACCCTTTTGAACCCGTGGGCCTCCCCATCCCTGTTCTCCAAGGGCTAAGGAGGTGGAGAAAGCTGACAGGCAGGACCACTCCCTGGACTGCTTGCAAGAAAGAAGGCAGGGAGGTGGAAGTTGGTGGGGCCGTACCCCATTTGCCCTAATGAGCTTTTGAAAGGCCAGCAAATGCCACAGCCTCTGTACCTTTTTCTCACTTTCCAAGCCTTTCCCCCACGCCGGATGAGATCAAGGGCTGCCCCCTGGGTTGTGCTCCCAGCCTCCGCATAGTCCAGGCGGCTTCCTTGCCTCCCTCTGCCTTTGCAAGCCCACCTTGATGTGATCTCTCTTCCCCAGATCGCCGAGACCAGCCAGCCAGGCCTCTTCAAGCTGTGGGCCGTCATTGGAAGCGACCTTCACTGCCTCAAGCTGAATGTCCCTCGTGTTTTCTACGTCAACCAGCGCGTCCCTAAACCTGAAGAGAGCACTGCGTATCGGAAGGTGCGTGGAGTTAGTCCTTTGGGAGAGCAGTAAATGTACTGCGGTAATCTCCTGTTTGCCGCAAGTGATTTGGTCCAAGAAAAGTAGGGTATTAATGTCAGTTTGCATTTCTTAGTGCAGAAAGTATTGATCTGATGTGTAGAGATATTTCCTATTCTACTTAATTCAAGAAGCGTCTGGAAGCTGCTCTGTGTGAAAGAGGCAAGCAGAAGGTTCATGGTGTTTGGGTTATACCTTCAGAGAAGATGAGTACAGCTGGTTTAAACTGCAGTAGGTCTCTTATCCTTTCTGTCAAAGTTATGCTGACTATAAAAGTAAGGCCAGAAGAAGCCTGGGTTTCACTTTCTCTTTCTATTTCCTTCTGGTGTGGTGACTTATTATAAGTTATTGTAAGTTTAAGTTAAGTCTGCCGCAACTGGATTTCTTATGGACAGTATGGATGTCCATACTGAATGTATTGGATTTCTGACCATTATGCTCATTTACCTTCAGTAGCAGTAAAGCTCTGATGGATGAAATACAATCGCCTCTGGTCTATTTTTTGGGAATCCTGTTTAAGTTTTTACTCTGCTAACTATACATTGGAATCTGCTCTGGATCAATATTCATCCTATGACTTTTTCCTTTTACACTGAAAACTTCATTTTTTCGCGGGGGGGGGGGTGGTGGAATGTGGAACACTGGAAGGCAAGGAGAACTCCTGTGAAATATTTTTTCCCCTCCCTTTTAGAATGAGCGAAATGCTTCTTAGAACCAGGTTTTACTCACGTAAAATGCTCAGTATGAAAATTTCTGTGTCGGACAAAATGAGGGCCTGTATGGTGTCGTGGTTAGAGTGTCAGACTAATTGCTTGGAAGACCAGGGTTTAAGGCCTCACTCAGCCAAAATAATAATAATAATAATAATAATAATAATAATAATAATAATTACTATTATTAATATTTTATTTGTACCCTGCCCATCTGACTGGGTTATCTGAAGCTCACTGGGTGACTGTGAGCCAGTCACTGCCTCTCAGGCTAGCCTACCTCACAGGGCTGTTTTGTGGATGAAACAGGGAGGGGAAGAATCATGTACGTCACCTTGTGCTCACTGGAGGAAAGGCAATATATAGACATATTAAATAAACAGCGTGGAAGTATTCAAGAGTTATAATGTATGACTGCACATTACTTTTTTGGCAACTCAGAGCCAGGTTAGTCCAAAAGCGAAAGGCTTTTCGTTTGAAGCCAGTGAGAGATGTCTACAATTCTGGGGCAGAGTTGCCAGTTGACCCAGAACTACTATGACAAGGAAAGGAGAGTGTGGTTGTGCCCACCCATCCACCTACCCATCCATGCCCCACATGGTAAAAACAGGTGCAGATAGACTTGAGGGGGGTCTCACCTGAGTCCTTGTTATCATCTCTGCAGGTAAACAGGATCCTTCCTCGCTCCAACTTGGTTTACAACCTCTATGAGTATTCTGTGCCCGAGGAAATGTACCAGGAGCACATCAACGAAATCAACGCCAGCCTCTCTGCCCCAGATATAGAGGGGGTATATGAGACCCAGGTAACTAACTCCCTTTGGCTGGTCTGATGCGGGAAAAGGGGAGCTCTAGGTCTGGGGATGAGACGTAGGGTTGCACCCCATGCTAGTCCGAGTAGACTCAATGGACACAATTGACACTTGAGGTGTATATTTATAAGACCCGCCTTATTCCTGTGATTATAATTGTTTTAAATGGTTTTTTGTGTTTTAATGTGACCTGCCCTGAGACCTTAGGGTGAAGGGCATGTAATATAGTAAATTCGGAGGGTATACTCAGAGTAGAATTGGCTAGAACCCCTTTTTCTTTCTTTTGAGACTTGAAGTTGATTTGAAAATACTACCATCTGTGTCATTTATGCTTTCTCTTCACTTGCCTTCCATAAATGGGTTTTTTCAGGCTTCTCGTTTCAAAATCCTCTACCTAGGCAGAAGCCACAGGTGAAACCTGCTGCATTCCGCATCCTCCTGGGCTTTCCTTTTGAAACCTCTGAGACAGTAGCACGGAGCATCTTGCTCTGGGTAGTTCACTATGTTTAAATCCAATTTAAATGTAAATAAATCCAATTTAAATTTTTGAAAAATGATTTTTTTGGATTTATTTTTTTTGAAAAAACAACATTGATTTTTATCCACCCTGGTTTCCTGTAACTTCAGTTCTCGTACTGCGGGTTTTTAAAAACCAAAGGGCTTTTCTTCTAGAGAAAGAAGAATAAAAGATGCCCGTACTGTATACCCTTGAGTGCCTCCTGAAAAAAAGCTCTGGGGCCAGATACCCTTGCCGGTTGACTTCAGATCATAGCCGGAGATTTACCAGTAGATCCTACCCTGCCAGAAGATTTGCCAGTTCTTCTCACCCCTGGTGTAACCTCTAGTTCCTCTTCTCCTCCCTGCCCAGATTCCATTACTTCTGCAGGCCCTGATCCGCCTGGGCTGCGTGTGCATGGTCAACAGGAACTTGGTGAGGCACCTCACTGGCCGGGAGGCTGAAACCTTCAACCTGGAGCACCTTGAGATGCGCTCCCTGGCCCAGTTCAGCTACCTGGAGCCAGGTAAGAAGACTCGCCCCCGATACTCGGGTGGCTGGCAAGAACTTGGAAGGCAGTTCCTGCTCTCTAACGTGAGGCTCTGTTCCGTGTCTGTTTAGGTAGCATCCGGCACATCTACCTGTACCACAACTCCCAAGGCAACAAGGCACTGTTTGGCCTCTTCATCCCATCTCAGCGGAAAGCGTCTGTTTTTGTGCTTGACACGGTAAGGTCAGAGGCCAGGGGGGTGGGGCTTGCTGACACTCGTTGAAATATTGTCCTTTCATTTACAGTGGTACCTCAGGTTAAGGACTTAATTCGTTCCGGAGGTCCGTACTTAACCTGAAACTGTTCATAACCTAAAGCACCACTTTAGCTAATGAGGCCTCCTGCTGCTGCCGCGCTGCCGGAGCACGATTTCTGTTCTCAACCTGAAGCAAAGTTCTTAACCTGAAGCACTATTTCTGGGATAGCAGAGTCTGTAACCTGAAGCGTATGTAACCTGAAGCGTATGTAACCTGAGGTACCACTGTATTATATTTCTACGCCACTTTTTCACTCATGTGAGTCACAAAGCAACTCGCGTACAGTAAATATCAACATAGCAGAACATCACAACTGCAACATAAGTTATATACAGTGATACCTCGGTTTTCAAACGTCCCCGATGATGAACGTTTCGGAATCCGGACGCCAAAAACCTGGAAGTAGATGCTTCCGTTTTCGAACGTGCCTCGGAAGTCGAATGGCTTCCGCTGCGTGTTTTTCCATTTTCTCAACTGAATTTGCAGACAACCCTTTTCACCTCGGTTTTCAAACGTTTCGGAACTTGAACGGTTTTCCAGAATGAATTACTTTCGAGAACCGAGGTACCACTGTGTATAAAAAAATAAATCCTCAGTAAAACAACTCCCTACTATAAAGCACTATTAAACAGCACAACCGCAAGAAAAGTCACATTGTAAAATTCGCAAAGCATTACAGCACTCGTAATCCACGAAACGATACGAATGACATTAACAAGCTAACAACCAAAAACAAACTGCTGGATTCACACACTTTCTCGCCACCCCCAGGTCTCATAGTCTTCCATTCAGTTCATGTCAAAAACCCACATTCACATAATGATCTGTGCTCAGCTCAGCTCAGAATGGACTGTTCTAGCTGGGTGGAAATTAGGGTTCTGATAATAACTTATAAATTTCCCCCAATCTTTATTAAATTTTATTTAAAAGAACACTGTAAACAATTATAAACATTGGCAGGATTTTAGAAAACACAGTGAGAACTGTGGTGAGAATGGAGTACAGTCAAACCTTGGCTCCCAAACGCCTCCGTTTTGGAACATTTTGGCTCCCAAATTCCGCAAACCCAGAAGTAAATGCTCTGGCTTTTGAATGTTTTTCAGAAGCCGAACGTCCGATGCGGCTTCCGCTTGAGTACAGGGAAGCTCCTGCAACCAATCAGAAGCTGCGCCTCGGTTGTCGAACATTTTGGAAGCCAAATGGGCTTCTGGAACGGATTACGTTCGACAACCGAGGTTTGACTGTATTAAGAAAATATAGAGAACATTATAAGATGCAGTTGGAAAAGAATAACGATGGAGGGAAGTCCAGGGATCCAGAGAATCCTATGTGTATATGATTTAATTGTGATGATAATTTTGAAGGCAAAAATGAGTAAAAAATATTTATTTTTTTAAAAAGGGGAAATCAGGCTTCTATGGGTATCGGGTTCTGCGGTTTTAGAAGCCCGGTTGTTGGCAGCTGCAGATTCCTCGGCTTCCCTGCCTGAGGGTCCTTTCAGCCAGATCTTTACCTGCAGCTGTGTCTCCAGCATCCTTCTCTCCCCTCGGCTCCAGGTGCGGAGCAACCAGATGCCCAACCTCAACAACATGTACTCGGCGGAGCACAGCGTCATGGTGGCGAAGGTGGGCGAGGAGCTCCTTCCGCCCAACAAGCACGCCTTCGAGGTGCGAGCGGAGACAGACCTCAAGACCGTCTGCAGGGCCATCCAGCGCCTCCTGCTGGCCTACAAGGTAACAGCAGGGAAATCCAGCGCTCGCCTCCGTTCCTTAGCCAACCCTGAGCCCCCCAGCAGTGGCAGACTTTGGGCTCTCCAATTCCAGCGGCGCTAAAATTCAGTGCCTGCCTCTTGCACTCCATTTTCCAGCACTGTTGTGGTGCCCCCTGCAGCATGGCACTCAGTGTGGGCACCCTAAAGCAAGCCCTGCTTGCTGCCAGCCAGGGTGGATTCGATTTAAATCAAATCGATTGAAATCACTAGTCACTAAGACTTGATTTAAATTGGGGGTTTTTTACATAAAGACTCATTCTTGCTGGTTATAATCTTAATATTTGCAACCAGATGAAGGTTTCATTTTTGGAATAATAAATTTTCAGAGTAGCTTTTACAGTTATAGCAAAAAACACTGACTTGGTTATACTATTCAAAATACATAGACCGATAATTATGAAATTATTGTGAAGTTTAATGAGTTAACTATGTTTATATTTGGACAACTTTTCTGCTGTACTTTATTGGGAGAAAAAAAATCATTTCCTTAATAACAATTTAAACCATTTAATTAACTAAATCAGTAACATGATACCATATATATCCTTGTTTGTTAGCTGATGTGGTTTTTTTAAAAAAAAAGCAGACTGAGTTTTAGCACACATGAAAAACTTAAAACAAATCCTTATTTCCTGATGAATAGCCTTTGAACTATAATGTAACTTAAATAGAAAATTATCTTTGGAAATATTTTTCCTTCAAAATTAATTTATTTTTAAAATCCAATTTAAATTTTAAAAATCTGATTTTCTTGATTTTTTTAAAAAAATTAATTGGTTTTTATCTACCCTGCTGCCAGCTCTTGGGAAAGCCCCTACCCGCATCCCTTGAGGGCACCGTCCTACCTTATGCCACCATCCTTTGCGTTCATCCGCTGTCTCCCTATTATCTCAGGACGAGCGCCGGGGCCCCACCCTCATTGCCGTGCAGTCCAATTGGGACTTGAAGAGGCTGGTCGGAGGGATGCCCGTCTTGGAGGAGTTCCCGCTGGTTCCCGTCCAGGTGGCCGACGACGTCAACTACAGCATCCTGGACTGGCAGCGCCATGCTGCGCGGCACATGATCCGGCGCTACCTCAGCTTGGACACCTGCCTTTCTCAGGCCTTTGAGATGAGCAGGTGGGGCAGGCAGCGGCACAGACACATGGGTTCTGGGAAACGGCAAGGGTCGTTTTTATTTTATATTTTATTTCTAAATTCCAAAAGTTTACAAGATGGTGCAAACTTCCAAATACACATCCACTTCTCTTTCGACTTCCCCTCCATGGTTCCTCCCGTAATTTCGAAATTTGCTGCATATTGTAGATATTCTGTGCCTTGCCTATTCCACATTATAGTTAACTGCTGTTCTTCATTCAAATCCTACGTGCATTTTATAAGAAATCAAGATAACAAACTTTTTACAAATGAATGCAAACAGTTTATTGAATATTTACAGATAAATTGCAAACAGATAAAAACATCGGCAGGATTGTTGTAATAACCTGCAGTTTCATAAGAGTTTATATTTAAAGTAGATAATTAAATGGGCAAATTAAATGAATTTGTATTTGCAGAAGATATTAAAAAATAAATTTAAAAATTTGGCTTTGTAATTTGGAATTTATGTGATGTGATTTAATTTGATGTGATTGGCCAGTTAATAAAAATTATTTAAAAAAATAAAAATAAAAAATAAATTTAAGGAAACACAGAAAGAGGGGGAAGGGTGTCAAACTTTGAAATGTTAACGTGATTGTAAAATTAATGAAAAGTATAAATTTGAGAAGTATAAATAAAAACTTAAGAAAACAAAAACAAATCCTAAGTACATTCTAGCATGTGTACAGTAGTTCTTTAAATATTCAACAAAAGGTTTCTGCTCCTGCATTTCTTGATCTCTAACTTTCATAGTTAAGTTTAGTGCTTTTTTTCAGGGAGTACTCCAGGGCACACAGTACCAGCACCTCTTTTTTTGTTGTTGTTAAAAAAGTGTGGCATTTCCTGTAACCATGGTGAGGACTGGCACCTATTTTTCCAGGGGGAAAAGCACTGGTTAAGTTAGAATCATAGAATCATAGAATCATAGAATCATAGAATCATAGAGTTGGAAGAGACCACAAGGGCCATCGAGTCCAACCCCCTGCCAAGCAGGAAACACCATCAGAGCACTCCTGACATATGGTTGTCAAGCCTCTGCTTAAAGACCTCCAAAGAAGGAGACTCCACCACACTCCTTGGCAGCAAATTCCACTGTCGAACAGCTCTTACTGTCAGGAAGTTCTTCCTAATGTTTAGGTGGAATCTTCTTTCTTGTAGTTTGGATCCATTGCTCCGTGTCCGCTTCTCTGGAGCAGCAGAAAACAACCTTTCTCCCTCCTCTATGTGACATCCTTTTATATATTTGAACATGGCTATCATATCACCCCTTAACCTCCTCTTCTCCAGGCTAAACATGCCCAGCTCTCTTAGCCGTTCCTCATAAGGCATCGTTTCCAGGCCTTTGACCATTTTGGTTGCCCTCCTCTGGACACGTTCCAGTTTGTCAATGTCCTTCTTGAAGTGTGGTGCCCAGAACTGGACACAGTACTCCAGGTGAGGTCTGACCAGAGCAGAATACAGTGGCACTATTACTTCCCTTGATCTAGATGCTATACTCCTATTGATGCAGCCCAGAATTGCATTGGCTTTTTAGCTGCCGCGTCACACTGTTGGCTCATGTGAAGTTTGTGGTCAACCAAGACTCCTAGATCCTTTTCACATGTACTGCTCTCAAGCCAGGTGTCCCCCATCTTGTATTTGTGCCTCTCATTTTTTTGCCCAAGTGCAATACTTTACATTTCTCCCTGTTAAAATTCATCTTGTTTGTTTTTGCCCAGTTCTCTAATCTGTCAAGGTCGTTTTGAAGTGTGATCCTGTCCTCTGGGGTGTTAGCCACCCCTCCCAATTTGGTGTCATCTGCAAATTTGATCAGGATGCCCTTGAGTCCATCACCCAAGTCGTTGATAAAGATGTTGAATAAGACCGGGCCCAAGACAGAACCCTGTGGCACCCCACTAGTCACTCTTCTCCAGGATGAAGAGGAACCATTGATGAGCACCCTTTGGGTTCGGTCAGTCAGCCAGTTACAAATCCACTGAGTGGTAGCATAGTCAAGACCACATTTTACCAGCTTCTTTACAAGAATATCATGAGGCACCTTGTCAAATGCCTTGCTGAAATCAAGGTAGGCTACATCCACTGCGTTCCTTCATCCACCAGGCTTGTAATTCTGTCAAAAACGAGATCAGGTTAGTCTGACATGACTTATTTTTCAGAAATCCATGCTGACTATGGGTGATCACAGCATTCCTTTCTAGGTGCTCACAGACTGTTTGCTTAATGATCTGCTCCAGAATCTTCCCTGGTATTGATGTCAGACTGACTGGGCGGTAATTATTTGGGTCCTCTCTTTTCCCCTTTTTGAAAATAGGGACAACATTTGCCCTCCTCCAGTCTGCCGGGACTTCGCCTGTTCTCCAGGAATTCTCAAAGATGACTGCCAGTGGTTCTGAGATCACATCTGCCAGTTCTTTTAATACTCTTGGATGCAGTTCATCTGGCCCTGGAGACTTGAATACATCTAAACTAGCCAAGTATTCTTGTACTATCTCCTTAGTTATTCTGGGCTGTGTTTCCTTTGCTGAATCATTTGCTCCAAATTCTTCAGGTCGGGCATTGTTTTCTTTATCGGAGAAGACTGAGGCAAAGAAGGCATTGAGGAGTTCAGCTCTTTCTGTGTCCCCTGTTTGCATTTCACCATCTTCTCCTCTGAGTGACCCCACTGTTTCTTTGTTCTTCCTTTTGCTACTAACATACCCATAAAAGCCTTTTTTGTTGCTTTTAACCTCTCTAGCAAGCCTGAGTTCATTCTGTGCTTTAGCTTTTCTGACTTTGTGTCTACACGTGCTGGCTATTTGTTTGAATTCCTCTTTGGTGGTTTCCCCTTTTCCATTTTTGTACACATCCTTTTTAATCTTAACTCAGTTAAAAGTTCTTTAGATAGCCACCCTGGCTTCTTTAGGCACCTTCCATGTTTCCGTCTCATTGGTATTGCCTGACGTTGTGCTTTTAGTATCTCCCTTTAACAAACTCCCAGCCATCATGAACTCCCTTTCCTTTTAGTATTACTGTCCATGGGATCTCACCCAGCACTTCCCTAAGTTTTATGAAGTCGGCTTTCTTAAAGTCAAGAAATTGAGTCCTAGTATGCTTGGCTGCTCCTTTCCGCTGTATAGTAAACTTCAGAAGAGCATGATCACTTGCGCCTAATGATCCTTCCACTTCTACCCCACTAACCAGGTCATCAACATTGGTTAGGACCAGATCTAAAATGGCTGTTCCTCTTGTTGCTTCTCCCACTTTCTGGACAATGAAGTTGTCTGCAAGGCCAGTGAGGAATCTGTTTGACCTTATGCTCTTGGCTGAGTTTGACATCCAACAAATATCCGGGTAATTGAAGTCCCCCATTACTACTATCTCCCTTCCTTTTGCATGCTTGGCCATCTGTTCCAGGAAGGCATCATCTATGTCCTCCGTTTGGCTTGGGGATCTATAGTAAACTCCCACAATGAGGTCACTGTTATTCTTCTCTCCCTTAATTTTGACCCAAATGCTCTCACTTTGGCTTTGAGGTTCTAAATCTTGGATCTCTTCACAGGTATACACATCCCTGACATATAACGCCACTCCTCCTCCTTTCTTGTCTGGTCTGTTTCTCTGAAATAGATTGTATCCCCCTATTATTACATTCCAATCGTGGGACTTATCCCACCAGGTTTCAGTGATGCCTATTATGTCATATTTAGTTTGCTGTACCAAGAGCTCAAGCTCATCTTGTTTATTTCCATGCTTTGCGCATTAGTGTACAGACATTGAAGTCCATTAATCATTCCCCGTGACTCTTATTTAAGGATTTTTTCCTCCCACCACTAGGTCTGTGTGCTGTTTGCTCCATTTGGTCTATGACATTTGGATGATCATCTTCATCAATTGATAGACTCCTACCTTCAGGAGCACTATCTCCCTCCCCCAGAAGGGTGAGACGTGCTGGCCGTGGTGGCGGCGGCTGAATCAGTATGCCGAATTCCTAAAAGAAAGTCCAGGTTAAGGCAGTTAGCCTGTTTCTGCAGTTCCAATCCTGCTTCTGGCTGATGTTCTGAAGATCGTCTTCTCCCCGTTCCACCCCTCTCTTCTGCCCAGGTACTACCACATCCCCATCGGGAACCTCCCTGACGACATCTCCACCTTTGGCACGGACCTCTTCTTCTCCCGCCATCTCCACCGCCACAACCACCTCCTGTGGCTCTCTCCCACCTCCCGCCCGGACCTGGGGGGCAAGGAGGCAGACGACAGCCGCCTGGTCATGGAGTTCGATGAGAGGGTCTCCATCGAGATCAATAACCCGGGCTGCTATTCCACAGGTGAGCAACGAGAAAGACAGGACTGCAGTTCTCTGCTCCATGGGTGTTCAAATATTCAAACAGAATATTAGAAGATGACCTGACGAGTCTCTGAGGGTTGCTAATACCAGCATTAAGGAAGGCGTTACCATAACCACCTATCAGGGAACGCGGCAGGTCCAATTTGTCCTGCAGAGTCATTGTTCATATGTTGAGTACATGGCAACCAGTTCACCATGAAAGTCTCTGTTTTCTTTTTCATGGACTCTGGTCGCTTGAAGTTTTCATGTTGGGTTTCTCAGTAAGTGCCATCTCCCAAATGACAGTATGCCATCCTGTATACCTGAAGGAGCGTCTCCACCCCCATCATTCAACCCGGACACTGAGGTCCAGTGCCGAGGGCCTTCTGGCAGTTCCCTCGCTGCGAGAAGTGAGGTTACAGGGAACAGGCAGAGGGCCTTCTCGGTAGTGGCACCCGACCTGTGGAACGCTCTCCCATCAGATGTCAAAAGAATAAACAACTACAGTGGTACCTCGGGTTACATATGCTTCAGGTTACAGACTCGGATAACCCAGAAATAGTACCTAGGGTTCAGAACTTTGCTTCAGGATGAGAACAGAAATCGTGCTCCAGCGGCGCGGCGGCAGCAGGAGGCCCCATTAGCTAAAATGGTGCTTCAGGTTAAGAACGGACCTCCGGAACGAATTAAGTACTTGACCCGAGGTACCACTGTATATGAAATTTAGAAGACATCTGAAGGCAGCCCTGTTTGGGGAAGTTTTTTAATGACTGATGTTTCAATGTATTTTTAATCTCCTGTTGGAAGCCACCCAGAGTGGCTGAGGAAACCCAGCCAGGTGGGTGGCGTATAAATAATAAATTATTATTATTATTATTATTATTATTATTATTATTATTAGCTTCCCTTCTAGTTTCTAGTAGTCAGAGGTCTTCATTCATAGCAAGCCTTTCCCCTTGGGATGGTGAGAGAGATGTTCCTTTTGGCCAGGGTTTGCGATGCAGCTCTGGGCTTTCCTGCCCTTGAACCCAGGACCCTGTCTCACTGTTTTCACTGCAGTCTGCGTGGAGCTCGACATCCAAAGCCTGGCGGTGAACACCGTCCTGCAGTCGCATCACGTCAACGACATGGAGGGGGCCTCCAGTATGTGCATCAGCTTTGACGTGATCCAGCCGGCGTCGCTGGAGGACATGGTCACGGGGAACCAGGCAGCCAGCACCCTGGCCAGCTATGACGAAACGGCCCTCTGCTCCAACACGTTCAGGTCTGGCCCGTGGCTTGGCTTTGCAGGGAATCCTGCCCTCTCCCCTACAAGCTGGCCACCCCCGGTGGTGGAATATGTGAGGTATCCCACCCCACTGGCTCTCCAGACTGCCATAGGCTTGGGAGATTATAGGGTCTTTTTTTAAATGGGGAAAAAATCCTGTTCTTCAGCTGTAAAAACCTCCCAGAACTGCTTACAAATACAGTTGTGCCTTGGTTCTCAAACGACTTGGTACTCGTACATTTGGCTCCTAAACGCCGCAAACCTGGGAGTAAGTGTTTCGGTTTGCGAACATTTTTCGGAAGCCGAACATCCAGCGCGGCTTCCGCTTTACTGCAGGAAGCTCCTGCAGCTAATTGGAAGCCGTGCCTTGGTTTTGGGTTTTGGGAGTCGAACGGACTCCCGGAACTGATGAAGTTCAAGGACCAAGATATGACTGTAGCTTAAAAGGAAAACTTTTGGTTTTTTTAAGGGACCCTCAGACTTCCAATTTGATAAGATGCAGCACAAAAGGGAAAAAGGGTTTGGGAGGGAGGAGGAACTAACCAACCACCTTTTCGGTTTTGGATACCGTATTTTTCGTCCTATAGGGCGCACTGGCCCATAGGGCGCACCTCGTTTTTTGGGGGGGGAAATAAATAAAAAAAATTATTTCCCGCCGCCCCCCCAGTCGCGGGGCTGGGGCGGGGGAAGCCCGAGCTTCCCCCAACCCCAGCCCCCAGAACAGGCTACTATCCGCAAGCCTTGCGAGCCCGCGGCAACTCCCGCCGGGCTCCCAAGGCTTGCGGATAGCTTCCTGAAGCCTGGAGAGCGAGAGGGGTCGGTGCGCACCGACGCCTCTCGCCTCTCGCTCTCCAGGCTTCAACGAAAGCCTGCATTCACCCCATAGGACGCACACACATTTCCCCTTCATTTTTGGAGGGGAAAAAGTGCGTCCTATAGGGCGAAAAATACGGTACATCTCATCGGGGAAAAATAGAAGAATGGGCAGACAGTGGAAAGCAGCAATGGCGTCAGAAGAGAAATTGCTTGGGTTTGTGGGATTTCTAGTTGCAGCTCTGTAGATCTAGTGGTCAGCTTCCACCTTTCTGCTCGCTCGCAGGGTCTTGAAGAGCGTGGTGGTTGGCTGGGTGAAGGAGATCACGCAGTACCACAACGTCTACGCCGACAACCAGGTGATTCATTTCTACCGCTGGCTGCGCTCCCCGACTTCGCTGCTCTACGATCCTGCCTTGCACCGCATGTTGCACAGCATGATGAAGAAGCTCTTCCTCCAGTGAGTCCATATCTCTCTCTCTCTCTTTCTCTTGTGTGTGTGTTTATAAAAAATATAGATAGCCAACTTGCCTATTGTACATTTTGGGGAGTGGTTTGTTCCTCTCTCCTCTTCGCATTCAGATGCCTCATGAGATAAAAAGGTAAAGGGGCCCCTGACCATAAGGTCCAGTCGTGACTGACTCTGGGGTTGCGGCGCTCATCTCGCTTTATTGGCCAAGGGAGCCGGCGTACAGCTTCTGGGTCATGTGGCCAGCTTGACTAAGCTGCTTCTGGCAAACCAGAGCAGCGCAAGGAAACGCCGTTTACCTTCCCACCGGAGCGGAACCTATTTATCTACTTGCACTTCATGCTTTCGAACTGCTAGGTGCAGGGACTGAGCAACAGGAGCTCACCCCGTTGCGGGGATTCGAACCGCCGACCTTCTGATTGGCAAGTCCTAGGCTCTGTGGTTTAACCCACAGCGCCACCCCTGTCCCTCCTCTTTAGATACCATTGCCAAATTTGGCACAAATTTGGAGGAGATTGTTTTTTGGCTATAGTTGGACACCCATCAGGTGCCATTTTGAATCAAGGTGGTGGACCCAAACCATTCTGAATTGCAATGATTTGGACACCTCTGAAGATATTCGCCACCCAATTTGGTGCAATCTCTTCCTGGGATTGAAGAGAGAATATTGATGTACGGATGTATTGCTTCAGGTGCCATTCTGAATCAAGATGGCAGATGAAATGTTCCCAAAAAAATTGTTTCTATGGATTCCCAAGCAATGCTGGTTGATTTCTGGTGGTGTGAAAAACATCCAAAAACTTATTCGCTTCTGTAATCCTGGACTAGCCCACTAGGTGGTGCCTCTCGGCCGTGCTCAGCAATCCCTTTTTATCATTACAACTTTCTGATGTGCAAATTTCTTTTCTTTAAAAAGATATTTTATGTATCACGCAATTATGTGCAAATTTAACAAAGGGGAGGGAAGGGAAAATAGAAGGACCATAAATACATTTTTTAAGAATGGAAAAAGAAATAATAATAATAAATGAAAACCACCATCAACTCTCATGAAATATATAATAACCATCAGTACATCTTTCTTAAGTTAAACATACAGGTTAATATCAGTGTGTTTGGGTGAACCTCAACCTGATGGATTTATTTATTTTTTACAACCTTCCCCCCCTCCAACAACAAACAAATTATAGAGAGAGCAGAGTGGGGGGGGGGGAGAGAATTGGCTGCTCAAGTCCTAAATAGGAGCATTAGGTTTGTGGGAGGTGGTGCATAATGAGGTTTAAAACTCCCTTCCCTGTATCAGACGGTTTCAGGAGGGAGGGATATCTTTTCCTTTCTCCAGACTTAGGACCCCTGGTATATAGCCTCCCCCCCCCCGCCCCCCGCAAAAAAAAGCCCACCAGATTTGGGGCTGGTGACTTTTTACCTCCTAAATTTTCCACTGAGCAAGCCCACAGGAGCCCACTTTCCTATGGAAGGCTGGAACCCTGCATCAGATCCACATTCCTTTTGGAGGGTCAGAGGCGCGCATTTCACATTTTTGTCCCAGGTCACCACTTGTACATAGCATAGATCCATCCACAACTGCAACATCAGCTGCCCCTTTTCTCTTTTCTTTTCTTTTCACCTTCCACTCTCTCTTTTCCCCCAGGTTGGTGGCAGAGTTCAAGCGCCTCGGCTCCTCGGTGGTTTACGCCAATTTCAACCGCATCATCCTATGCACCAAGAAGCGGCGCATCGAGGATGCCCTGGCCTACGTGGAATACATCACCAACAGGTGCTTCTAGAACCCCTTCAATTGTCCACCTGGCCCCCCTCCCTTTCTGACGTTCAAATGCCTGGTGAAGGACCCTGTGTTCAGACGTGCCTTTTGGCTTTGCGCCTAGTCTAAATCTCCCCATTGTCTCCTTCACTCCATTAAGTTCCTTCTTGGTTTCCACTTATTAGCCACCATGAAAGGAGACTGACCTTTTTCATTTTATTTCTATTTCGTTGTAATTTTACCCCGCCTCTCCTCAAAGAAGCTCAAGGAGGTATACATCATCATCATTTTATTCTTTATACCTCGCTCATCTGGCTGGGTTTCCCCAGTCACTCTGGGCAGCTTACAGCACATAAAAAATGGTAGTAGTTCTGTTCCTCCTCCTCCTTTTGCCCTCACAACAACCCTTTGAGGTAGGTTAGGCTGAGGGAGCTTCATGGGGATTTGAACCTGGGTCTCTCAGCTCCTAGTCCAACTCTCTAACCACTGCACCATGCCAGTTCTCTTTTAATATGGGGAGGGTGATAAAGGCACCCCGGACTTGCCAGCCCATGCTCCTTGTAGCCTTGTGTCCCTTCAGGGCCATGGGTGCTACACAACAGACTTGCTTCTGGTCAAGGGAGTGGGCGGCTGAGCTTTTCTCATAATCACATTGTGGCTGTTCTCCTGACAGCTCCATCTGGGGCCGCGGAGGGAGCTCTCTCTCTGCCTCCCTGAGAGATTCTGCATGGCTCACCCTCCTTCCTCTTCCAGCATCCATTCAAGAGAAATCTTCCACTCTTTGACCATTTCTTTCTCGCGCTGCTGGGAGTTCTTGCTGTGGATGGACCCAGCTAATTACGGCGGGATCAAGGGCAAAGTGCCGTCTCAGATCCACTACGGGGAGGTAAGAAAACCAGCAAAGAAGGCGCATTTGGGGAGTACAGTGGTACCTCTGTTGTCAGACGTAATCCGTTCCGGAAGACCGTCTGACTTCCAAAACGTTCGACAACGGAAGCTCAAAGGGAGAATTTCAATTTCAGTGGTGAAAACCATTCAACTTCCAAGGCACATTCGAAAACGGAAACAATTACTTCCAGGTTTTTGAAGTTCGGAAACCAAAACGTTCGGCTTCCGAGACACTCAAAAACTGAATTACCACTGTACTTGATCCCCTGGGATCTCCTGGCTCAGGTCGGGGTGCAGGCTTCTCTGCCTGCCTACACGGAGGAGTGGTGTTCTCTCTCTCCCTAGGTCAGGTGTGGGGAACCCCTGGCCCAAGGCCCCAATATGGCCTTCCAAGACTCTCTGTTTGGCCCTTGTGGCTCTTTCCCAGCCACACACCCCTCTCCAATGTTTCCCCCTGGCTGGAATATGTCCTTGAACTCTAACATTGCCCTTCCTTCTCTGGATGGAGGATAGGGAGTTGTGTTTGTAGCAACTAGCCTACTATACAAAGATTTTTATTTTTATTTTATTTTTTAAAGTCTATTGCTCCGCCCACTTTTTCCTCTGGCCCCCGCCCACCACTGCCATGTGGTTCTGGCAGGTTTCCCAGAAACAAATGCGGCCCTTGGCCTGAGAAAGGGTTCCCTGCCCCAGGTCCAGAAGCCGAGTGGGAAGGGGGCATTTGCCAGACTGTCGGCATTTTGTCTTCCATCCCCTCCTTGCAGGGGATCACTGATAAACAGGCAGTCTCCGTCGAAGGCAGTGAAGAGGAGGAGGAGGAAGAAGAAGAGGAGAAGGAAGAAGGGGCTGAAGAGGACAATGGCGTGGAAGAACTGCTGGAGAACAATTGGAACATCATGCAGTACCTGCCCCAAGCAGCCTCCTGCCAGAATTACTTCCTCATGATCGTGTCTGGTGAGGAGGAGCTCCTAGGTTTGCCCCAGTGATTGAAGCTGAATCCTACCTGGCGGGGAGGACAAAGGGTTTTGCTTCTAGCTCTGAGAGCCCCTCTCCTCCCTCAAGTTCTGCAACACAGAGTCTGCTCAGATTCCATTTGCTGCCTGTTTCCCCTATGACTTGCATGCTTGCTTATTTATTGCATAATTTCCCACCTTTCCAAGGAACTCAAGGTAACATACATGGTTCTCCCCGTCGTTTATCCCCCACAACAACCCTGCGAGGTCATGGTGATGCTGAGAGGCAGTAACTGGATCACCCAGTGACCTGGCTTGTGTTTTTCCAGGTCCTCTTCCGACACTCACCACTATGACAGGGTTTCCCAAACTTGGGTCTCCAGCTGTGGTTTGTTGTTGTTTTTTGGACTACAACTCCCAGCATCGTTAGCTTTCAGGACCAGTGGTCAGGGATGATGGGAATTGTAGTCCAAAACTACTGAAGGCTCATGCCGTGGCTCCCAAGAAGGCCCTGCTTAGGGGAAAGCAGTTGCTTGGGTGGGGGGAGGCGATGCTTGACCCTTCACGTGCCCACCATTCTTTCCACAAACAGGGGTGAAGCAGGTGGGGCTGGGAGGAGCCAGAGAGGTCCCTGTAAGCAGAGTTTGAGGCAAACGCTTCTCTGCTTGTCCTCTCATGACTCCATTGCCATTTCCCCAGCATACATCGTTGCTGTCTACCACAGCATGAAGGAAGAGATGCGTCGGAGCGCTCCTGGAAGCACCCCAGTCAAGAGACGAGCAAGCAGCCAAGTCTCCCAGGAGCCTGTGGGAGAGGCAGGTGTCATGCCTGGTGAGTACCCAGCCATGTCCCTCCCTGGTCTTGCACCCTTGGGTGAGATAGCCCAGTCCTGGGGAGTGCTGGGGCGTCTGACTCAAATCTGGCCTCCACTGTGAATTAACCAAGATGGAAGTAACCTTAGGCCAGTTCCCAGTTCCCTCTGCTGACCAACCAAACTCTTATAGGTAGGGCTTTGAACAATGTTCTATAAATGTTGGAAGTATTTTTAATTATGACTGCTAGGCAAGTCGCTTCTGTCTGTTTTGTGCATGCAGGTAACTTTGACGTTTTTTAAAAAACCCACATGCACAATTTAAAACAAAGCGACAATTTCCTGAAGGGGTAGGCAGATCCCTATGACCAGGTCTCAGTTTCCGCACCCGTGAAATAGAGATCTTGTTATTTACCATATTTTTCCATGTATAAGACAATGCTTTTTGCTAAAAAAAAACAAATTGGCAAAAATTGGGTGTCGTCTTATACACGGATAGTAAATGCAGATTAATGGCGATTAATGGCAGCAGTCCCCACCCCTCCAAAATTGTTTATTTTGAACTGTATAATTGGTTTTGTTGTTTATGTTTTAATGTGGTAAGATTCAGTTTGACTTATTATTAACTGAAATGTCTTTAATTGAAAATTAATAAAAAATATTTACAAAAAAAAGGATTAATGGCAGCAGCAAGCAGAAGATTGGCAGCGGTGATTGGGCGGGTGATTGGTGGCTGCAGCAAGGCCTGCTGGCAATTGGCTGCGGCAACTGGGCAGGCGAAGGGCGGGTGGGTTGTTAGTGGCAGCAAGCGGGTAGCCAATTGGCAGCTGTGGCAAGGTGTCCGATCGGCAGCGGTGGGCAGGCAGGTGAGCGATTGGCGGAAGTGACCCCCACCCCCAATAAAAGCTAAGCAACTTAATTTCAGGTTAAAAAAAATAAGGGTTGTCTTATACATGGGGGTGTCTTATACATGGAAAAATATGGTATTTTCTTTGCTGGCTGAGCCACATCCCGTTTTCAGATACATCTTCTTCCTCTCTCCCGCCCCCTCAGGCATGATCACCTTCTCCCAGGAGTACGTCACCAACGAGCTCACCCAGAGCTTCTTCACCATCACCCAGAAGGTGCAGAAGAAGGTGACCGGTTCCCGACGGACCACGGAGCCCTCCGAGATGTTCCCTGCTCTGCCCGGCTCCCACCTGATGCTCAACAATCCAGCGCTGGAGTTTGTGAAGTACGTCTGCAAGGTGAGCATCACTGTAGGCAGAGGGGAGAGACAGCTGTGACCATGTCAGCGGCGGATGTACTGTGATCTCACAATGGGGCCTTGTTCTCTCTCCTGCCCCCTCCCACCTCACTCTGTAAGAGCCCGGTTGGCTCATCTCCTGTTTCTCTTCTGCCCTCCCACCCCCAAAGGTACTGTCTCTGGACACGAACATCGCCAACCAGGTGAGCAAGCTGAAACGAGACCTGCTCCGCCTGATTGAAGTGGGGGAGTTCTCGGAAGAGGCCCAGTTCCGGGACCCCTGTCGCTCTTACGTCATTCCAGAGATGATCTGCAGGAACTGCAACTTCTGCCGAGACCTGGACCTCTGCAAGGACCCAGCCCTCTCTCAGGTACCAGCTAAGTCGTGATCGCCAATTGACTCCAAAGCAGGGCTTTTTAGTTTAGAGAACAGGCGATGGAAGAATATGCAGCCTCCCCTCTCTGCTTTTGTTCAGGCTGTTTATCCTTGCAGTCCCATACTGTCTACTCTGGGTGGCAGTGGCTCTCTGAGGTTGAATCCTGACAAGACAGAAGTACTGTTTTGGGGGGACAGGTGGCAGGTGGGTGGGTGTGGAGGACTCCCTGGTCCTGAATGGGGTAACTGTTCCCCTGAAGGACCAGGTACGCAGCCTGGGAATCATTTGGGACTCATAGCTGTCCCTGGAGGCGCAGGTCATTTCTGTGTCCAGGGCAGCTGTCTACCAGCTCCATCTGGTACGCAGGCTAAAGACCCTACCTGCCCGCAGACTGTCTCGCCTGAGTGGTGCATGCTCTAGTTATCTCCTGCTTGAACTACTGCAATGCGCTCTACGTGGGGCTACCTTTGAAGGTAACCAGGAAACTACAACTAATCCAGAATGCAGCAGCTAGACTGAAGACTGGGAGTGGCCACCATAGGTAGGTCCTGAAAGACCAATGTAGGTCCTGAAAGACCTACATTGGCTCCCAGTACGTTTCCAAGCACAATTCAAGGTGTTGACCTTTAAAGCCCTAAACAGCCTTGGCCCAGTATACCTGAAGGAGCGTCTCCACCTCCATCGTTCAGCCTGAGGTCCAGCTCCGGTGGTGGCGCCCACCCTGTGGAACGCCCTCCCATCAAATGTCAAGGAAACAACTATCTGACTTTTAGAAGACTTCTGAAGGCAGCCCTGTTTAGGGAAGTTTTTAATGTTTGATGTTTTATTCTGTTTTTAATCTGTTGGGAGCCACCCAGAGTGGCTGGGGAAACCCAGCCTGATGGGCAGGGTTTAAATAATAAATATTATTATTAAATTATTATATATCAAACCCTTGTGTCCCAGCTGTTACCTGGATTTTGGGGTGGCTGGTTGAACCCAGAACCACCTTGTGGGAATGTTAAGGATAGTAGGAAAAGGGTATAATGAATAAGTATTATCCTTCCTTCACTCATGCTAGTGAGGGATATAGCAGAACAGATTCCCCTCAATATAGCAGGAAGCTAGTTTGCATATTTGTTTGAATCTCTTTAGTTAAGTAATCCAGTCTGTCTTGCCCGGATGGATTATTCCTGGTGTCCCCTTTTGATCCCTCTTAAAAGAATAAAGACACAAGAGTCTTTCCTTAAAAATAACAAGAAGTTTACTCACATTTCAGTTCACGATTTGATCCCTGAAAGGCAGGCTTTACTTAGTAGTTACATAATAATCTGTGAGTTCATCTCATATGGACACTGAACTCATGTGCTGCTGGCTGAGAGCCAGCAGACAGCAAAATTATATTAAGAGAACAAAATGGCTGCAGGAGAGCAGCATGGCAGCAAAAGATAGAACAAAACAACAGCAGTATCAAGATGAACTGCAAGACTGAGAAAATGGCTGTGTGACTTGGCTCTTTTGTAGAGTCGGCCAGAGCCATGCCTAGCTCCCAGGTCACATGCAGGGGGAGGACACTCCAGACCAGTGGAACAGGAAGTTATACTGGCTGGAGTAACACCCCCCTGCTGTGCCCACTCTAGGGAAACAAGGAATGTTGCATTTGACTGCACCAATGGATTACATCCCATACTTCTTGCATGCAGCTTCCTGCTCAGCCTGTCCAATTTGGAGCCCTCTCACAGTCATTGCTCTCTCTCTCCCCCTTCCCTCCCAGGATGGCTCTGTGCTTCCTACCTGGGCCTGCTCCAACTGCCAGGCCCAGTACGACTCGGATGCCATCGAGATGGCCCTGGTGGAAGCCCTGCAGAAGAAGCTGATGGCCTTCACCCTTCAAGATCTGGTAAGGAGAGACGAGAGGCAATTCCCAGCTTGCCTGTGGAGCCCCACTTGGCTCCTCAACCACAGTGGGAGCTCCTGCAACCTCCTCGTGCCCCCTTGAATCCTGACCCTGGATAGCACTGAAACACAAGCTAGACCAGGGGCCAGGCATTTAATGAGACTGGTCTGCTGAAGCTTGGTGGGTGCTGGAGAAGTTTTCTCTGTGCAATTTCCATATTAAGAACTGACATATCTTAAAGAAAAGTGTGTGTGCACGCGCACGTATGCACGCCAGTCTTCCCCAACCTGGTGCACTCCAAATGCTTTGGACTACAAATTCCATTGGTGGACATCTGTCAGGAATTCTTTAGCCATGATTCCTGCATTGCAGGGGGTAGATGACCCTTGGGGGGGTACCTTCAATCTTGTGATTCTGTGATCTAGAGGACACGAAGCTGGGAGAGGCTGACCTAGACAGGCAAGGCACATACGCACACCACCCTAGTATACGGGGGAAGCGTTCAGTCATGCAGTTTCACACCTGCAGTTTTGCAAGCGCTTCCTGTGTGCCCCATATCTCATCCTGCCCTTTGCAACATCCTGCGCATTGCAGGGAGTTAAACTAGAAGGCCCTGTGGGTCCCTTCCAACTCTGTGATTCCATGATCTGGACCCACCAAGCCAGGATGGGGGGTGGTGTTTCTTCTTTCTGGCACTCTGTGTGCAGGCATGGGCCTCCTGGTCCTTTTTGGCATTGTGGTTCTGCACTAGAGGAGAGGTTGAGGCTGCTCCACAGCAGGGAGGGCTCAAGCACTGCAAGGTGCGGCAGGGGCAGCATGTGGACCAGGTAGGCAGACAGGCCAGGGCCTTATCCCAAGCACCGCTTGTGTTTCAGGTGTGCCTCAAGTGCAAAGGCATCAAAGACACCCACATGCCTGTGTACTGCAGCTGCGCTGGAGATTTCGACCTCCTGCTGCCCACCAAGGTACGTGTTGGTTGACCCTGCCAACCTCCCCTTTTCCACCCTGTTCCTCAAACCATCACAGTCCCCTTCCCTTGGATGTGGCTGTTCTCCTCCCAGAAACATAGGAAGCTGTCATGTACAGCGTCAATTTATTGGTCCATCTATCTCAAGATTGTCTGCACTGACTGGTAGCAGCCCTCCAGGGTTTCAGAAAGAGGGGATATTCCCGGTCCTGCATGGAGATGCTGGAGATTGAACCAGCGACCTTTTGTATTCAAGGCAGGTGCCCACCCACTAACCTATGTCCCTTCCTGTACCATGACACTGTGGTCTAAACCACTGAGCCTCTTGGGCTTGCCGATCAAAAGGTCGGCGGTTCAAATCCCCGCAACAGGGTGAGCTCCCGTTGCTCTGTCCCAGCTCCAGCCAACCTAGCAGTACGAAAGCAGAGCAGTGCAAGTAGATAAAAAGGTACCACTGTGGCGGGAAGGTAAACGGCATTTCCATGCGCTCTGGTTTCCATCACGGTGTCCCATTGTGCCAGAAGCGGTTTAGTCATGCTAGCGACACGACCCGGAAAGCTGTCTGTGGACAAACGCCAGCTCCCTCGGCCTGAAAGCAAGATGAGCACCCGCAACCCCATAGTTGCCTTTAACTGGACTTAACCGTCCAGGGGTCCTTTACCTTTTACCTTGCCTCAAGCAGATCCATCCTATAGAAACTTCCCTACATTGCTTCTTCTTCTCTTACTTTCACAGGCCTTCTTGGAACAGCTGAAGGTCTTTCAAAGCATCGCCCGGCACTACAACATGGGCTACCTGCTGGAGAATATTAAATGGCTGCTTCAGATGAACCCTCAGCTTCTCTTGTAAGATGAGGATGCTACCGCTGTGGACAGGCTGGCGCACACCTGCACCTCAGCGTCAGAGCCCCCCCACACCTGCCATGGGGTCCTGGGACCTAGACTATTCTCCTGGCCAGGCTGCAGGTTCAGCTTCGCCCGCCCTGGGACAAAAATATTCAGAGGCTTGACGATTGTTGCATGCTGCAGGGAAGCAGGCAACGCCTTCTGGCGAGCGAATCGGGGGGGGGGGGGGGCTACCGTCTTCTGAAACCAAGACCAGGAGCAAGTGAAGAGGCCTCCACAAATCGGCTACCTAACTTGCTGCTTCTTTGATCTCCTTTTGCTGGGATTTGGGAGTACAAGATACAGAAAAAAACCTTCAATTACGGAGCTCTCTTTTTTTTGCCCCAATTTTATTCTGTGTTTGTGTGTGTGTATTTTTAATGCTGTAAATAAATCCTTTTTCCACATTGTTAATGGCTAATGTGCTAGATGCCTAGTCCTACAGACACACACTCTCAATCCTGCTCTTGCTACTCTCCTGCTGTGGTTGGGAAGGCAGCGGCTGTCCCTGTCATTGTTCTGCAGTGAGTATAAGCGAAGCTTTGGCATTTAGTTGCAAGCAGACAAAAGAGCATCATGGAGCCGCTGCTTGTCAGCCGTTGATCAAGGTTGTTAAAGGAGTCCTTTAATAGGGAGATAACACAGGATTCTAGGCAGGCCTGGTCATCCAGTGGACATTGAAGCACCGAAGGAGAGCCTGGCTACTGAATCTTTCCAAAGGCCCATCTAGTCCACATCCTGGGGGGCAATTCTGACCTGGGGAAGTAGTGCGGGCAAGCATCTCCCTGCCCTGTAGTTCTAATCAAGTATGGAGCCACCCACACACCTCTCGTTTGCACGTGAGAGCCTGCCTGCAGGATCAGGCCAGTGGCTCATCTAGTCCAGCATCCTGTTCTCACATTGGCCAACCAGATGCCTGTAGGAAACCCACAAGCAGGATTTGAGCAAAAGAGCAATTCTCCCCTCCAGCGGTTTCCAGCACCGTCTACAAGTGCACCTCTGCCTCCAACCACAGAGGCAGAGCATAACCGTCATGACTAGTAGCAGCCCATGGCCCTCTTCCCCATGAATTTGTCTAATCATTTATGAAAGCCATTTAGGTTCGTTGCCATCACTGCCTCCTGTGGAAGTGAGTTCCATAGTTGCGTGAATGAAGAAGTACTTGTATCTGTCCTGGAAAAACATGGATGTCCTCAAGCTCTAGCATCGTGAGAGAGGAAGAAGAGTTGTTCCCTGCCGTGCATCATTTTATAAACTGCGACCATGTCACCTCTTGCCTTTTCTTTAAACCTGTGGTTCCCAATTTGGGGCACATGCCCCACAGGGGGGCAATTTGATTTTTAAGGGGGGACAATTCGAGAATGAGTTACTAACAGTTAATGGCCTTTTAGGCGTCCTCTACATGGGTAGGAGTTCACTTTTGAAATATAAGAACTATATGTCACAGGTGGGGGGAGGATATCAGGATTTGAGAGATGCTTAGGTGGGGCATGGCCTGAAAAATGGTTGGGAACCACTGCTCTAAAATGCAACTGAAGGCTGTCATCCCTGGCCTTCAACCATGCTAGCCAGAGCTGATGGGAAATGTAGTTCGGGATCTGGAGGGCCAAAGCTTCATTTAATTTCATCAGATAAAATAATAATACTCAATTCTCCACTGCTGCCATGCCCTGTGGCTTTGATCTCTCAATGAAGCTTCCCTTTCCCCATACCTATGATATGCATCAGTGGGCGTGACGATTACAGGAAACCCAGAGCACACCTGGGAGTGGCTCTGGAGGGGCCCCACCTCTGACCTTTTTTATATACTGTATATTAAAAAAACAGCTGAATCAGTAAACATTCCCTTCAAAAAGTCTGAGCAACCTGAGAATTCTCCAAAGAATTCTGGAAACTAATTAGACTGCAAAAGCCAACTGATTCAATTAGTGCCAGTCTTTTTTATCTGCCTGACTCTCTCTTTTTCTCTTTCCCCCTGTCCTTGGGAAGGAGATGGAAGGATGCCAAAAATGCTGCGATGGTTAAAGTTTACTCGGTGTGGAGGGGAAAATCTTCGCCCGCAGTCTCCTTTTGGGTACCTGCGGAGAGGATGCCAAGGGACTTCTTCCTCAGGGGGAAAAGTCCGGCAAGTATGTTTCCATCGCCTTCAGGGCATAAGGAGAGCTCTGCTGGATCAGGCCGGTGCTCCATCTGGTCCAGCATCCCATTCTCACAATGGCCAACCAGGTGCTCATTATGGCAAGAAAAGTTATATTGGGCTGGCTGAGTGACAAAAGTGATTTTCTGGAGGCCTAGGATGAAAAATTTGAGAAAATGCCATTTAGGAGAAAAACTGGGTATTATGCGCAACAAGGAACTACCCTGGAGTGTATGGACTAAATAATTTGAGTAATTGTAATATATATAATTGGAAGATAGAGAGGTGGAAGTATCTTTCTCTCTCCCTCTCTCTTTCCTTTCTCTCCCTCTCTCTTTCCTTTCTCTCCCTCTCTCTCTTCTGTATCTTTTATTTCTCTCTTTTTCTGCATTGTTTCTTTTTTATCTTTAATTTTAACAGTCCTCTGTTTTGGATTGACGAGGACATGCAAAGAAAGCTCAGACAGGTGGGCTCTGTGTTTGAGCAACAGGATAGAAAGAAACTCCCAGGTGAGATCTGAAAAGGTCTACTTTTCTGTAGTCGGTTGTATCTTGGTTCTCGAACAGAATGCATTCCAGGAGTCGGTTCAACTCCCGGAACCGTTCGAAAACCAAGGAGTGTCCTGCAGCCGATCGGAGGCCGTGCCGGATGTTCGGCTTCTGAAAATCATTCAAAAACTGGAACACTCACTTCTGGGTTTCGATCGTTCAGGAGCCAATTTGTTCGAGAGCCAAGGCATTTGAGATCCCATGTATGACTATGGATAAAGGATATGATGCAGTTGAGAGGAGGGGGTTTATATTCCTTTTTTATAGTTGCTTGGTTTTTATTGTCTCATATGTTGAAAACTTTCGATAAAAATAGTTTTAAAAATGAAACTCACAAGCAGGACCCCAAGCCCAAAAGGACTCTCCCCCTCTTCTGAAATTTGTTCCCAGAGAGCCTGCCTGCTGCTGCTTTTCCAGGGGTCTTGCAATGCCCACTTGCTGCCTCTGGAATAACATCACACTCCCCCCCCCCACAAAGATACTGAATTTTTTATATTTGCTGGGAGGGGAGCGGAGGGAACCGGAGAATTATTGTCAGCTGCTGTTCTCTCCTTAATGGGGTTGAGGGGAGCCTATAATGTGTTGGGATTTGCTCTGGGAACAGAAGAGGTGGGCAATCTGATTAGGGGGAGAAATATCTTCCCCCGAGCTGGCTCAATTACCTCTGAATGGTTTTCTAATTGACTTAGCGCTTCTCTGTGAGCACTTAGCTAGGTCAAACGCCTGCCGTCGAGCGAAGCGGCTGGTGGGCTTGATATATGACGTATTCATTTCCAATTCCCAAATGGAACAGAGGAAGTGAGTTTTGATGGCAGAAGCCGGGACGTTTGTGGAGGAGGGGGCGCTGCAAAAACAAGAGAAGGAAGACTCCGCTTAGCTGGTTTTGAGCCCAGTTTTAAAACAAAGGGTATTATCAGGTAGGATTCAATCATACAAGAACAGGCTGCGTCAGACTAGTGGTCTGTCTAACTTAATCTTGTTTACACTGACTGGTGGGACGCGGGTGGCACTGTGGGTTAAACCACAGAGCCTAGGACTTGCCGATCAGAAGGTTGGCAGTTCGAATCCCCGCGATGGGGTGAGCTCCCGTTGCTCGGTCCCTGCTCCTGCCAACCTAGCAGTTCGAAAGCACATCCAAGTGCAAGTAGATAAATAGGTACCACTCCGGTGGGAAGGTAAACGGTGTTTCCGTGTGCTGCTCTGGTTCGCCAGAAGCGGCTTAGTCATGCTGGCCACATAACCCAGAAGCTGTATGCCGGCTCCCTCGGCCAATAAATCGAGATGAGCGCCGCAATCCCAGAGTCGGCCACGACTGGACTTAATGGCCAGGGGTCTCTTACACTGACTGGCAGCAGCTCTTTAGAGTTCCAGGCAAGGAAGATCATGCTATGTTGGTAGACGGAGGCAGTGGGCCTTTGTGTACCAACTACTGAGAACAACAGGTGAGGAGAGCCCTGTTGCACTCAGGCACTGCTTGTGGGCTTCCCAAAAGAGGCTTTGGGTTGACCACTGTTGAGAACATGATGCTGGATTAGATACGCCTTTGGTCTGATCCAGCAACGCTGTCCTTCCTTTGCCCGGGATATAGCCAGGTCTGGCAGGTTGTAGGTCTGCAATGGCTCAGTTCCTCCCTGCTCCTCCCATTCTATCAGGAATTTCGTAGGGCTGTTTTTGTACCCTGAGAAGAACGAATTCCACTGGTCTTGTGGTCAAAATGAGACTCCTCTCCCGACACCTTCAGGACCGACTCGATTTATTGTGCCAGGGGCCACAGGAGAATGAAGCTGCCTTTTATCAGATGCAGAGAAGACCATCCTGAGAAAACGGGACAGGAAAGTAGCTCCTGAACCCTCAGAGATGGATGGGCGCTTTGGAGTCTGCGGGCGAGGAGGCTTGAGTGCAGGAATCGGTGATACTGCAGTCCGTCGTCGGAGTTCCCTCTTGGAGCTTGGGCATCTGGCCGGATGTGGGAGAAGGAACAAGCCATTAGTAGTGTTACAAGAATCCTAAGGCCTCAAATATAAATTAAATGTTCATAAATGTACAAGGCGAACACATACAGAAGTATATAAACCACGTGTCTGAAATAGTACAGGAGAGCAATCCTGAAGCCATGTTGACTCTCCCGGTGACCTCAAATATTCCTCTGCAAGGAGGAAGGAAATGGGGAAACCCTTCCAATTGTCTTTTCAGTTATAAATCCTGTCTTAAGAGCGTATTGGTGTATGAGTAGGGTGAGCCTGTGACCTGGAACTCGGAAACTAAAGTATTAACCATCACAAAAGAATGGCCAGACTGCCCAGGTAATGCAATCAGTGACCATTATCAGGTATCCTGGCAGACAGGATTTCTGTTGTAGACCGCTGCCTTCTGTGATGTATGTATGATGTGTTTTTTTAGGGGGGGGGGTCTTGGGCTAGGAGGGGAAAAGTGTGTCTTATAGAGCAAAAAATACGGTATATATAAGGGCTTGCGCACCATCATTCAGGGTTCTCCCTCCTGCGTGTGGTGAGTGGGGACCCTGTTGCAACAGTTTAAGAAAGATCAGGCTTACTAGCCGCTTTGCTTCTCAATATTCTCTAGTTGGCCTCTGTTATTTTCTCCTACCGATAGGGAACCCACTTGAGGACTCTATACAGGCTTTTGGATACCCCATAAGAGAAAAGGAGCAGTTTTTTCTTATAAAAGTTGCAAGACTGATCAGAGTCCCAACCCAGCCAGAGGCCACCTAGAGACTGGTCGGCAGGGAGGTGGGTAAAGCACTGCTTTGCTCACCCCACCCCCTCAATGGTTCTGCCTGACCTACACTCGCAGGAAAGCGAGATGATGGAACAGACTGTTCCATTTTAGGTGCATGGAGGACTCTTAGCACAAACGATGAAAAAGGCCTTGGGGCTCTTTGGCGCAGGGAGGGGTGCAATATAAATAGGTGGGGGTTTTTTAATCAGAATTATAGAGTTGGAAGGGACCTGAAGTATCATCTCGTCCAACCCCTTGCAATACAGGAAGTGGAACCAATGGCAGGCAGAGACACCAGACTGGTTGTAAGAAAGGAGGCAGGCAGGTCGTGGGGCTGGCTGAGACCGGACTGAGGTTGGTGAGGCAGTGCCTCATTTCCCTTCTAATGGACCAGCCTCCAGGGCTCTTTCCTCTGTGCACTGAGCAACATTTGGGTGCCTTTTGATAGCCCATCGTTGAATGTCGCTTGGCCAACAAGAGCCCCATTTCTGCCAAGGTGGGAGGGGTGCTTTTTGAGAACTCCTGCCCCTCTCGACTGGCCCAGGGTTGGCAGAGCTCCCCAGGGAATTTGTCACAGAGCACGGGCATTTTGGGTCTAGGATCACGGATGGCCTGAGCCCCATCTGTTCCATCCATTCAGGGGCACCCTCCCCGCTACCTGGTCAAACTTCCGGGCACTGTAGACTTCGTTCTTGTTCATGAAGGTCAGCAAGATCCAGTCGCAGAGGAAGGAGCCCTGTCGGAGGAGGAGGAGAGTGATTAATCAACACCAGAGCAGGAAAAGAAAAAACTGAATGAAGCAAGAGAGGAGGCCACGCTCTGCGATACTCACCACTCCCACTGACGTCAGCGCCGTGGCCAGATTAATGATTGTGGGGATAAGGCTGAACTTCCCTGCCTAAGGGGAGAAAGGGACAGAATCGCTATTAGCCCTGCTTGCAGTGACCTTGAAGAATTTAACTGATGTGACAGTATGTCTGGTTTTGATGACTATTTTGACTGTGCGATGCATTTTATTCTGCTTCTACTCTGTTTTGTGCATTTTTTCTTTTGTAGTGGCTTTGGCTAGTCAAAGTAAATAAATAAATGATAACGATAATAGTGCTTTTGACATGTCTGGAACATGTCCTTGAACCAGGGCCATGCTGCTTGCTTACCTGGATGGCAGGTGGGGGACAGGTGTGCATGGAGGAGTGCCCACAAACCTCCCGCAGAATGTAGTCTACTGTAAAGGTAAAGGTACCCCTGGGACGGTTAAGTCCAGTCAAAGGCAACTATGGGGTCCTGGCGCTCATCTCGCTTTCCGGGTCTTGTGGCCAGCGTGAATAAACCACTTCTGGTGCAACAGGGCACAGTGATAGAAACCAGAGCACATGGAAACACCGTTTACCTTCCCACCGCAGTGGTACCTATTTATCTACTTGCATTGGCATGCTTTCAAACTGCCAGGTTGGCAGAAGCTGGGACAGAGCAACGGGAGCTCACCCCGTCGCGGGACCTTCTGATCGGCAAGCCCAAGAGGCTCCGTGGTTTAGACCACAGCCATCCCTGATGTAAGAGAGAGATGTACCTGTTGCACCTCTCTTGTACCTGCCGACCTCACCTTTCACCCCAACCTCTACTGGCATGTGATTCCTGAAGCTTGCCCGTAAGGGAAGGCCGCCCTTAGCCTGAAAACAGTTACTCCAGCCCCCCCCCCCCAAGCCCTACTTCGAAAACTACTTTTGCAACTCGGCGCCTGCATCCCGGTAGCACAGCCCCATGTCTTGTCGGAACTTGCGTACGATCGAGTTACTCCTCCGCGGACATGTCCTCCAACGGTGATTAACGACGTAAGCCTTTGATGAGGCTCCAGGCACTTTCCCATTACACAGAGTATCCATACAGCAGCAGAAGGACGAGAAATATATAAGCTACATTGCTACGTTTATTTCTAACTACGCAGACAGAAAAGAATATACATCCTCTCTCTGTGAGAGACAGTGAACCAACTGCTACAAAGAAACAGGAAACCAGTAACATCAACTTCCGTCTCCCGTGAGACTTCCAACAGTCTGGAATGTAAACAGAGTCTTGTGACTCCAAAAACTGCACAGTGGCATAAACAGAAATCTAACATGTCCCTCCTATAGCAAGCATCTCTGTCCCTTACCTGCCCGTGCACAATCACATCGATGCGGATGCCGTAAGCCTTGATCAAGGTGCGGGTGCTCTTGCCCCTGTGCTTGTAGTACTTGGCAAACCTGGGGGTCAAAAGCAAGGGGTGTGAGCAAGGCTGGCTGCTGCCATAAAATGCCCAGAACCTTGGCAGAGAGAAACCTGGCCCTCCTGCATGGCTGCATTGGCAGCAAGCAAGGCTGTTGAGAAAATACTTACTTCCCCCACCTAAACATACACCGCCTGGTAGAAAATGTTGGAGCTTAAAAGGTCACTATTATAATGGTGAGTGCTGCTCCACTCACTCATTGGCTGAACGCCTGTGATGTCACAGAATGTATGTGTACTCTTCCCTCCCCCGGCCACACCCCTCACTAGAATGCGCCTTTGAACTCTGATCATGCCTCTTGCTTCTGTGGATGGCGGACTGATAGGGAGCTGGAGAAACAAGCCTACTACACCCACTTTTGGCCCTGGCCCTGGCATGTTCCCCCCACCCACCCAGAAGGGAATGTGACCCTCAAGCTGAAAAAGGTCCCCCACTTCCCAGAGCTATGTGTCTTAATGTCAGCAGATCGGGGCTGGGAAGAGGGGCTCCAGGCCTTGGATGATGTGGAACCTGCAACACCCTTTGCAAAAGAAAAACCCTCCCTTGCACGCAGGTCAGCTCAAGTTACATGACCCCCTCTTCCTTCTATTGCTTACATCATAGCTCTGGTTGCCGTGAGATGTGGGAATGGCTGCTATTGGTGGGGGGAGCTTTGAAAGGGGATCAGACAAATTTGAAGGAGGAATAGGGAGGTCCATCTGTTTAGCAAATGGGTAGGCAAACTAAGGCCCAGGGGCCGGATCCAGCCCAATCGCCTTCTAAATCTGGCCCGCAGACGGTCCAGGAACCAGCATGTTTTTACATGAGTAGAATGTGTCCTTTTATTCAAAATGCATCTCTGGGTTATTTGTGGGGCATAGAAGAAAAGGAGGAAGAGTTTGGATTTGATATCCTGCTTTATCACTACCCTAAGGAGTCTCAAAGCAGCTAACAATCTCCTTTTCCCTTCCTCCCCTACAACAAACACTCTGTGAGGTGAGTGAGGCTGAGAGACTTCAGAGAAGTGTGACTGGCCCAAGGTCACCCAGCAGCTGCATGTGGAGGAGCAGGGAAACGAACCAAGTTCACCAGATTACAAGTCCACTGCTCTCAACTACTACACCACACTGGCTCTCATTCATATATTTTTTTCCCAAAATATAGTTGGGCCCCCACATGGTCTGAGGGACAGTGGACCGGGCCCCTGCTGAAACAGTTTGCTGCCCCCTGGTTTAGCATGGTGGCCACATGGAAGCAACAGCACTGTGGGAGGACTATGGCTTTCATGCGCCGCTTGTGGGCATCCTGGAGGCATCTGATTGGAGACTGGAACAAACTGGGTACTAAATTCCAGCTCCACAGCTAAGGGGTTGCCCTGCGGAGTTATCCCTACACGGATCAGTGTGGAACAAGAGGCTGTTCTGATCACCTTCGGGCAGCTAAATGTCTTGAGTTGGCTCTGGCCCTGTACAAGCGAGCCAGGAGATGCATTTGTCCCATGCACACCACACCACAAACACACAAATGCTTCCGGGGAGGCGCCTCCCCGGAAGCAGAATTCCTCTGACCGGGAGGAATCTGCTCCGTGGGAATCTGGGTCTGGCTGCCACAGCGAAGGCGGAGACCCGTTAAAATCACAGGCGGGAGAAGCCTGTGAATGTGGGATTCGGCGGGCACCTTTTGCGCCTCCCCCACTCGCGGGGAACCCTGGTTTTTGGGGCTCCGGAGCGACGTGGGGTGAGCGGCACGGTGCATCGAATCGTCTGCTTCTTCCACGGAGCGAAGCCGCATAGCTGTTGCCGGAGAGCGCTGACCTTTTCCTGTGGACAATTTGACTTTAAAGTAATTACCCGTGAGTAGAGCTGAAGCAGAATAATTGGATTTCTAAATGTTTAATTTGGTACCGTAACGGGGAGGTTCAAAACAGGAAGTCCGCCTTCCCCGTTTGTAAATAGACTGAGGCAATGAAGTTGCAAGCTGGAGTCTTGGAAGGTCTTTTGTAAAAGAGCAAATTTCCAACGGTAAAGAACATTAAACCCTCTCTTGGAGGCAGGAGAAGAGAGGGGGAAGTTGTGGATTGAATATGCCTGCGGGAGAGAGCGAAGAGATTTAAAACACCGCCGCTCTGACCCTGGGAACGGGTTGCTAGTAGGACTGACGTCTTTTGGAATGTTCATTGACAGCGTTTAGAACGTTCATTGACAGCTAGTTAAATAAGAGAAATACATTGTTTCTACTGTCTCCGGCTGCTTTAAAAAGGAGTAAAAGTAACTGAAAATTGAAACTAATTTGAAACTAACTTTGGATTGTTTAAAAGAGGATACTATTGACTATTACAAGTAGAAACTGTTTACCCCTAGTGGAAGCCTTTGAAACCGGTTGCTTTACAAGAGCTGGACTAGGGGAATTTCCAGCTGCAAGTTAAAAACCGTGAGACTCTGGGACTGACCTTGAATCTTTTAAGCGTTATGGTAAATGGAAGAGGAAAAACAGACCAGTCAACTGCTGACAAAACATTAAGGTCTGGGAGGACTTGGTAACAATCCAGGAGAGGTCTATCATTAGGCCCTCCGGTTCTTTCTGTTGTTGTCTTTGTACTAGTATATTTAAAACCAAGAGGAAATGTGGACAGAAGAGGCTTTAGTGGCTGCATTATATAAGATAAATGACTCATTGGATCAGCTTCACAGGAAAATGGACATGATAAACGCGAAAGTGGAGGTTTCAATTACCAAAATTAACTTAAATACAGAAAGTATAAATAATACCAATACAGAAACCACCCAGAAATTGATACAAGAACCCATTTTGATATGGCAAACTGTGGAGGAAGTCAGGGAAAAAGCTGTGGCTGCTGAAGGTAAAGTAACACAACTGGAGAGAAAGAGAAAGAGAGCCCCAGCCCTACAGAGGCAATTGGATGAACGTAAGTTGACGCTTGCTATGACTGAACTTAAAGAAAAACAGAAGAATTTGAGGATTAGAGTCCACCTTTGGTGGACATGCCCAAGGATTAAGACACTCTGGGAGATGATTCATAACGAAATGAAAAAGGTATTTAAATATACCCTTTCGAAGAAACCAGAGGCCTTTCTTCTGGGCATGGTCGGCCAATTGGTGTTAAAGAAGGATAGAATTTGTTTCATGTATGCAACAATAGCAGCAAGAATACTCATTGTGAAGTACTGGAAGACACAAGATTTATCCATTCGGGAAGAATGGCAGATGAAGTTGATGGACTATATGGAATTGGCGGAAACGACTGGCAGAAATCCGAGACCAGGGAGAAGAGTTGGTGGAAGAAGACTGGAAAAAGTTTAAATTTATAGAAATACTGTAAAAATAATGAATGTTAGAAACATGTTGGAATGAAGTTATATGGCTTTAGTAGAAATGCTATAAGGAATCAAGTATAAATAGATTAATAGTGTATTAAAGGGAAAATAAGGCTAGAATATGTTAAGATAATTATAGGATAGAAAACAGAGGAAGATGGAAAGGAATTGCTGAAATAATTAATAGAAGTGGGAAACAAAAAGGGAGGTGTGAGGAGGTCGTGGAAATAAGGGAATGAAAGATAAGACATTGAAATTGTTTTGTGTTTGAAATGGTTTGTGTTTTGCTTTGTCAGTTATATGTTTTTCTCTTTTTTGGTTTTTTTTGTTCTTTCTTTTTTTGGGGGGTCTTTTTGCTTCGTTGTGTTTAAACGGTTGAAAATTAATAAATATTATTTAACACACACACACACAAATGCACCAGTGGCATCTGGTCAGTGGACCAGGGGGATTAGACTAGTCCCCCAAATGTTCCAGGTAAATTAGTGTATTAAAGCCTGGTGCCTTCTTCCCGGAGCCCAGGAAGCTTCTGCCTGGCTTAGGGAAGAGGCATGATGCTCCGACAGGGTCCAAGAGCTCTCCTGCCATCTTCCCAAAGCCTGTCCAGCTTTGGAAAGGAGGCAGCAGGGCTCCATAATCCTGTCAGAGGCCTGGCGTGTCCTTCCCAAAGCACAGGAAGCTTCTGCCCTCCCCAATCACCATTGCATGCTGGCACCTCTGGCCCTACGAAAAGTTTCACCACACACCACTGAAATGCACCAATACATCCCACCAACACAAACAATACAAGTATTATAAGAATTCTAAGGTCCCAGATACAAAATAAATGCTCACAAATGTACAGTGGTACCTCGGGTTACAGACGCTTCAGGTTACAGACACTTCAGGTTACAGACTCCACTAATCCAGAAATAGTACCTCAGGTTAAGAACTTTGCTTCAGGATGAGAACAGAAATTGTGCGGCAGCAGGAGGCCCCATTAGCTAAAGTAGTGCTTCAGGTTAAGAACAGTTTCAGGTTAAGAACGGACCTCCAGAACGAATTAAGTTCTTAACCTGAGGTACCACTGTACAAGGCAAACACATACATAAATATATAAAGCACGTGTCTGAAATAGTACAGGAGAGCAATCCTGAAGCCAGTTTGACTCTCCCAAATTGACCTCCAATATTTCTCTGCAAGGAGGAAGGAAATGGGAAAGCCTCTCCACTGTCTTTTGCTTACCTGTCTTAAGGGTGTATTTGTGTATGAATAGAGTGAGCCTGTGCCCTGGAACTCAGGAACTAAAGTCTTAACCATCACACAAGAATGGTCAGGCTGCCCAGGTAAAGCAATCAGTGACCATTGTCAGGTATGCTGGCAGACAGGATTTCTGCTGTAGACAGCCTCCTTCTGTGATGTATGTATGATGTATTGGGGGGTGGTCTTGGGCTACAGGGTGGGCGATTTCAGAAGTCTATATAAGGGCCTACGCACCATTGTTCTGGGTTCCTCCCCCCTCCTGCGAGTGGTGAGTGGGGACCCCGTTGTTCCTTGAATAAAGATCTGGCTTACTAGCCGCTTTGCTTCTCAATATAGTTGGCCTCTGTTATTTTCTCCTACCGATAGGGAACCCACTTAAGGACTCTATATGGGCTCTTGGATACCCCAGAAGGGAAAAGGAACAGCTTTTTCTTATAACACAAGTAAGGGATCCTCCTTTGCCAAGATAGCAAAACAGCTGGAGCCTTTCCTTCCAGAACAAGGATGTGCTGTTACCTGTAATTGTATCCAGAGGAGGCCTGGGCCCACTTGGGGTCCAGCCTGCGGAAGGAATAGCGGGGGTTGCACATCGTATCCGGCAGGTCCAGGTTGCAATTCCAGTTAATGATCACCCCAATCACGCCGCCCTGCCAAGGGAAAGCGGGGTCAGCAAAGGGAGAGGACCTCTTTCCAAACACCTAGACCCAAAATTTGGGAGAAGTTTGAAGGGATAATGAAAATTGGGCTACTCAACAGAAACCTGGGACTCTCGCTGGAGTGACTGGAAGTCATAATAGAAGTTGTGTTGTAAGAAATTAATGTATTTTTTGGTAATTTGTATCATCCTTTGGTTTTTTTTCTTTGTTGACTGTTTTTTCTTTCTTTCCAATCAATAAAGCAATTAAAAAAAAAGAAAAGAAAGTGGAGGTGCGAGTTTGCAGAAAGGGATCATAAAATGCAATTTGATGATAGTACTCTTGGCTCAGGCCAACAACCTGCCTTTTCCCATCTTCCTGCTCTCCTCCCATGGGCCAAACAGAAGCACATTTGGGCAGCCCAGGAGCAGGACCCAAATTGAACAGCATCCTCCCACTTTGCGGTTCACAGCAGCTGGTATTTAAAGGCATGATGCTTCTGTCAATGGAGGTAGTGCACAGCCAGGGTAGCTGGGAGCTGGTGAGAGCCTTTTATCCTCCATGAATTTGTCCAATCCTCTTTTAAAGCCATCCAAGTTGGTGACCACTGCTGCCTCCTGTGGCAGTGAGTTCCACAGTTTAACACAGTGCAGCACGGCGAAGTTCTTTCTTTTATCTGTCCTGATTTTCCAACATTCAGCTTCATGAGGTGTCCACGAATTCTGGTGTTATGAGAGAGAGAAACTTTTCTCTGTCCGCTCTCTCCAAGTTGTGCGTAATTTTATCAGATTCCATCATGTCGCCTCTTACCTTTTCTCTAAACTAAAAAGTCCCAAAGGCTGCAGACTTTCCTTGCACAGGAGTTGCTCCAAGCTCTTGATCGTTTTGGTTGAAACTTCTCCAACTCAGATTAAATCAAATAAACAAGGAATATTTGGTGCTATGTTGGAGGGGATGCCAGGAAACAGGGAATTATTTTCACATGTGGTGGGAGTGTAAATATGTACAATTTTTTGGCAAAGGGTGTTTAAGGGAATAACAGAAATCACTGGGTTAAAGCTGACCGAAAGTCTAGAGGTAGCATTATCATCAATTTAAGATGGGGTGGAAGGTTCACAGGTTACAAAGGACTTGCTCACAAATTTATTGACAGCTGCACTAATTATTATAGCTAGGAAGTAGAAGGGGCAAGCAGAATATAATATACTGTTGTTGTTGTTGTTGTTGTTAATATCCCACCATCTGGCAGGGTTTCCCCAGCCACTCTGGGCAGCTCCCAACAGATTAAAAACAGAATAAAACATCACACATTAAAAAACTTCCCTAAAGAGGGTTGCCTTCAGAGGTCTTCTAAAAGTCAGATAGTTGTTTATTTCCTTGACATCTGATGGGAGGGCATTCCACAGGGTGGGCACCACCACCAAGAAGGCCCTTCTTCCTCTAAAATGGAAAGGTGGTATAAAGAGGTGTGGGATATAGCTATTAATGAAAAATTAAAATGTGCCATTAAGGTAAGATGGGGAATATGCCGGAGAAATGATTTTGAGGAGATACAGAGGGTGTTTGTAGAATTTGTACTGTTAAAACGGAAAAGGGCCAAATGGGTGGCGCTGTGGGTTAAACCACAGAGCCTAGGGCTTGCCAATCAGAAGGTTGGCGGTTCAAATACCCACGACGGAGTGAGCTCCCGTTGCTCGGTCCCTGCTCCTGCCCAACTAGCAGTTCAAAAGCACATCAATGTGCAAGTAGATAAATAGGTACCACTCTGGCGGGAAGGTAAACGGCGTTTCCGTGCGCTGCTCTGGTTTGCCAAAAGTGGCTTAGTCATGCTGGCCACATGACCCAGAAGCTGTACGCCAGCTCCCTCGGCCAGTAAAGCGAGATGAGTAAAGCAACCCTAGAGTCGGTCCGACTGAACCTAATGGTCAGGGGTCCCTTTACCTTTACCTTTTACTGCAAGAGGTGTTGAAATTTTGGGAGGTCAGATGGTAACAATGGAATGGTCTCGGTGGTGGGGTGCACTTTATTTATTTATTTATTATATTGTCAAAAAATAAAAAGAAAGAAACTTCTCCAACTCTACAGTATCCTTGTTGAGGAGAGGTGACTAGAATGGCACACCATATTCCCAGCACAGCTGCTCCATAGATTTGTATGGTGGCCTTAGGATATCGGCAGTTTCATTTTCAATCCTGTTGATACGGAATCTACTGCCCCTCACACCCTGGTAGCATTTGTTTATTGCATTTATATCCCACCTTTTTCACCCCAGGGAGCTCAAAGTGGCATATGGGGTTCTCTTCCTCCTCATTTTATCTCCACAGCAACCCTGCAAGGCTGAGAGCAAGCAACTGGGAAAGGGCCACAGCTCACCTGTCTTGCATGAGGGAGGTCCCAGGTTCAGTCCCCAGCATCTCCAGTAGGGTTGGGAGAGACTCCCCTGCCTGAAATCCTGGCGAGCTGCTGCCAGTCAGTGTAGACAATATGGAGCTAGATGGACCAAAGGTCTGGCTCGCTATAAGGCAGCTTCTCATGTGCCTACGACTGGCCCAAGGTCGCACCTAGAGAGCTTCACAGCCAAGTGGGGATTTGAACCCTGCTCTCCCAGGCAATAGTCCAGCACTCTAACCACTAGGCCACACTGACTCTCTGCCCCACTTCATTACTCCGCTGGTCAATGAAATCCTTGCTGGGGTAAGTAAGAGTGTGGAGTCCATCTAGCCGAAGAGCTAATCCCACGGGGATTAGGAGCAGCCGGGATGGCTGAGAGATGAGCTTCACTGAAGCAACCGATAATATACCCTCCATCCCAGGAGAGCGATGAGAGTCGATTGGGGCTGATTGATATGAAGAGAAAGGCAATTAGAGGGCGGCCAGCTACCCGGAATTGGCAACCTGAGGGAGGTTGTGGGCATCCCACAAGTTGGCGGGGGTTGTGGAGCAGGAAGCATCAGGCTGGAGCTTCCAAAGGGGGCAAACTTGCCAAGCTGCCAGAAGATATGACGACGGGCAAATCCGTCAGTTTCTGCTTCTCTCAGTGTGAGAATTTTTCCAAACTTAAGTTCAGTTCTCCGTGTTTTCAAACGAGTTTGTGATTTATGAAAATCCATCAGCGTTTTAATGTGATTCCTGCCCCCCTCCTATTATATATACAGTTTGCATTCTGTGCATTATTTAAGCTAACATTTGCGATTTTTTGCACCCGTTATTTAGGGGAAATCTGCAGGTATGCAAATTTCAAAGGACGGTTGTTTCGGTTTGAGTGTTGTTTTGGGAAGTGTGAATTAGGCAGGCGCTCCTTAAATTTGAATTGAATTGAATAGAATTGAATTTCTCTCCTCTGTACCCAGACAGAGGTTCTAAGCCATGGGTAGGCAAACTAAGGCCTGGGGGGCGGATCCGGCCCAATAGCCTTCTAAATCCGGCCCATGGATGGTCGGGAATCAGCGTGCTTTTACATAAGTAGAATGTGCCCTTTTATTTAAAATGCATCTCTGGGTTATTTGTGGGGCCTGCCTGGTGTTTTCACATGAGTAGAATGTGTGCTTTTATTTAAAATGCATCTCTGGGTTATTTGTGGGGCATAGGAATTCATTCATTTTTTTTCTTTTCCAAAATATAGTCTGGCCCCCCGCAAGGTCTGAGGGTCAGTGGACCGGCCCCCTGCTAAAAAAAGTTTGCTGACCCCTGTCTAAGCCATCCTTTCAAACCTGCTGCCCTCCAGAGGTCATTGGAGTTCCATCAGCCTCATCCAGCATGACCAACATTCAGGGACGATGTTTGCTGTTGGTTTTCAACACTTGCAATGGGGCTTGCATTTAGCAATGTTTAAATTTGCTGCCCGACGCAAGTCCTGTTAAGAACGCTTCCACTCAGGCACTCCTGATCTGATCCTGCCCCTGACAAAAGCAAACGACTTGCTTTCGGTACTGAGTTTGTTCCCAGTCACTCCTTCGATTGCATTTGGCACTGTTCAAGTTCAGTGCAGAATGCAAGCCTCCAAGCTCGGAGGCGCGAGGCGTCGGGTGAATGACAGGTGAGCAGCATGTTGCCAAGAGTCTCCTCAAACCCGAAGCCGTCCTTGTTATTATGTACAGCACTGGCCCCAGCACTGCATCTCTCCTCTGCAAAATCATCTGCCCTTTTAAAGAGATCAGAAGAAGAAGAAGAAGAAGAAGAAGAAGAAGAGGAGGAGGAGTTTGGATTTGATATCCCGCTTTATCACTGCCCGAAGGAGTCTCAAAGCGGCTAACATTCTCCTTTCACTTCCTCCCCCACAACAAACACTCTGTGAGGTGAGTGGGGCTGAAGGACTTCAGGTCACCCAGCAGCTGCATGTGGAGGAGCGGGGAAGCGAACCCGGTTCACCAGATTACGAGTCCACCGCTCTTAACCACTACACCACACTGGCGAGTGGCCTTCACTAACCGCTTGCTCATGAAAGAACATTCCACCAGGAAGGCCTGGCTGGAAAGAAGGCACCCCTGATGCAATAGCGGAAGGGTAGCTCAGTGGCAGAGCACCTGCTTGGCATGCAGAAGGTCCCAGGTTCAATCCCTGCCAGCATCTCCTGGTAGGAAAGACTCCTGGAACCCTGGAGAATCATTGGAAGGATTTGAATACTAATTCATTGGATCTATTTGAATACTAATCTACATGTTTAGTTCAGCACTACAGTGGTACCTTGGCTCTCAAACTTAATCCGTTCCAGAAGCCCATTCCAAAACCAAAGCATTCCAAAACCAAGGCGCGCTTTCCCATAGAAAGTAATGCAAAATGGATTCATCCGTTCCAGACTTTTAAAAACAACCCCTAAAACAGCAATTGAACATGAATTTTACTATCTAACGAGACCATTGATCCATAAAGTGAAAGCAATAAACAATGTACTGCAGTCACACACATCAGTCAGTCAGTAGCTGAACTGGGTTCCACACAGTCACAAAAACAAAACAAAAAAAGAGACACAAAAACAAAAAAGCAAAATAAGTAGCAAAAACAGACAGACCTCAGTGTAACACTCAAAATGGAAGCGTAACACTCAAAACGGAGCACATTCAGCTTCCGAAAAAAGTTTGCAAACCGGAGCACTTACTTCCGGGTTTGCAGTGTTTGGGTTCCAAGTTGTTTGAGTACCATGGCGTTTGAGAACCAAGGTACCACTGTAAAATATTGGGGGGCCCATGTAAGCCCCACTATGGATGTAGCCAAGGGGGAGGCAGGTGAGCAGCTGCCCACCTAAATCGATCAAAAGCAATACAAATCAATACAAATCTGAGGTTCTGAACCAAGGTACCACTGTATTTTTCTTACGATCATAAGGACTAGAAACCTAACTTCTCTTTCAGGGTACATACAACATGTTCTTTGCATGCAGAAGGTCCAACGTTCCATTCCCAGCAGCACCTCTAGGTAGGCTTGGGAGATACTGCCTGCCTGAAACCCTGGAGAGACACGGCTGCCGGCCAGTTCTGAACCAGATGGACCTGACTTTCTACAAAGCAGCTTCCTACATTCCTACACGACCTTTACCTTTTCAGCCAGCTGGGTGAAGTTCTCTCCCGCTTGCTCCACAATGAAGCCCAGCTTGAAGATGGGGCAGTAGAGGCCTGTGGTTTCGTTGAAGGTGCAGCTCTTCAGGTAGCTGTCGTCGTTGTCCTTGACGTTCCCTCTGGAGAGAAGACGGAACAAGGATCAGGAGCAAAAACTCTCCGCCTATTTCCTGCTGGACTTTTTCTGGCACAGCAAAAGTGCATCAGAAAAAGCCAAGTTGACACACAAGGGTGAATCCGCCCTCAGACATCATCCTGCATGCATCGCAGTCACTGGGCAGGTCAAGATTTCAGGACCCAGTTTGGGAACTTCCCTTCAAGGGCCTAGGACTTGGGTCAGGTGACCAACCCTACCTGGATGCGCTGGTGCTCTTACTTGGTAAACCGGAAGCGAGGGAAATGGATGTTGTTCTTTATGAGGATGGTGAACTCTGGGGCCATCTTTGACAAGTTCTCACTAGGAAACAAGGATGTCTGCTGTTAAAGTCAGGGTAGAAAAGATCTCTCACACACAAACACACACACACAAGCATACACATATACAGTGGTACCTCGGGTTAAGAACTTAATTCGTTCTGGAGGTGCGTTCTTAACCTGAAACTGTTCTTAACCTGAGGTACCATTTTAGCTAATGGGGCCTCCTGCTGCCGCTGCGCCGCCACCGCACGATTTCTGTTCTCATCCTGAAGCAAAGTTCTTAACCAAAAATAGAGGTACTATTTCTGGGTTAGCAGAGTCTGTAACCTGAAGCGTCTGTAACCTGAAGTGTCTGTAACCTGAAGTACCACTGTAACACTGTTCCTGAAAGACCTACATTGACTCCCACTACGTTTCCAAGCACAATTCAAAGTGTTGGTGCTGACCTTTAAAGCCCTCAACGGCCTCGGCCCAGTGTACCTGAAGAAGCGTCTCCACCCCCATTGTTCAGCCACTGAGGTCCAGCTCTGAGGGCCTTCTGGGGTTCCCTCACTGCAAGAAGTGAAGTTACAGGGAACCAGGCAGAGGACCTTCTTGGTAGTGGCGCCCGCCCTCCCATCAGATGTCAAGGAAATAAACAACTATTTGACTTTCAGAAAACATCTGAAGGCCAGCAGTGGAGGAAGCCGCTTGGGTGCCTGGGGCCGCACGCCCAGGGTGGGGTGAGCTGCCCGTAGGGGTGGGGCACACCGCAGGACCTCTGGAGTCTGCCTGCCTCCTCCCACTCAGCTGCCCTACAGCTAGGGGGGAGGCAGCAGGCAGACCATTTGGGCAGCGCAAAGCCTGCATGAGCCTAAGCCACCGTGTCTCTCCCAGGAGGGATGCGTGGCTCAGGTGCGCTGCAGGCCCTGAGGTGAGAGCCACCTGGCATTTTGTCACCCCCCTCAGTGGTGACACCCGGGGCGGCCTGCACCTACCACACATCCCTTCCTCCGCCCCTGCTGAAGGCAGCCCTGTTTAGGGAAGTCTTTCATGTTTGATGTTTTATTGCACTTTTAATTCTGTTAGGAGCTGCCCAGAGTGGCTGGGGAAACCCAGCCAGATGGGCAGAGTATAAATAATAAATTGTTATTGTTATTGTTATTGTTATTATCTCTGTTTATCTCCATGTCCCTCCTTACCTGACAGATGCTGCGTCCTCCACGGGGCACCAAGCTCTAATCTCACAGGTTTTCATGCTGTAGTTATAGGAGATACAGCGCCCTGTCTTCTCTCCTATAAGGAATGAAAGAACAGGGGCACAGGTGAAAGCTGGCCACCCCACAACCACATTTTTTGAGCCTGATGGGGTGTTGTCACCTCAATATTGCCAGGAGGAATGGCATCTGGGAGAATGGTTTCTGCACTAGAAAGCCTTCCCCAACCTAGTAACTGCTGGATGTTTTGAACTACAACTCCCAGCAACCCCAGCCAGGGTAGCTGTGCTCCCATCAGCCATAGTGTCATGCAGCTGCGGAGGCCGGAGCTGATGGGAGTTGTAGTCCAAAATGGCTGTACTGACTGGGGCTAATAGGAGCTGTCGTAACAAATAATGTTGCTGGCTGGGGCTGATGGGAGTTGTAATCCCAAATGGCTGTGCTGACTGGGGCTAATAGGAGTTGTAGTCACAAACGATGGTGCTGGCTGGGGCTGATGGGAGTTGTAGTCCAAAATGGCTTTGCTGACTGGGGCTAATAGGAGTTCTAGTCACAAATGATGTTGCTGGCTGGGGCTGATGGGAGTTGTAGTCCCAAATGGCTGTGCTGACTGGGGCTAATAGGAGTTCTAGTCACAAATGATGTTGCTGGCTGGGACTGATTGGAGTTGTAGTCTCAAATGATGTTGCTGGCTGGGGTTAGTAGGAGTTGTAGTTCAAGAACATCTGGAAGGTAGGAGTTGTAGTTCAAGAACATCTGGAAGGTATAAGATTGGGAAGTTTGTAGTTGTGGGTCCCAAGACATGGTCTGGAGAGGCACCACCTTGCTGAATGTCTAAACCTGCTCAGTGCCTGGATGGGTGGCCACCTGGGAATTGCATGCACACCTGGGAACAACCCAAGGTTCCACAACAGGTGAAAAGCAGAGTACAGATGCAAGAAAAGAAATAAATGGCTAAAAACCCAGGAGAGAGCCAAGCTAGGGATTTCACAACTCGCTTGCTTAGAGCCTGAGTCACGCCGGTTCCTGTCACGAGACAACCCCATTGCTCACCATTCCCCAGCATATCCATCTCTCCTGCATGGCAGTCCCTGTCAGAGCGGCACAGAGCCCTCATATTCTGCAAAAGGCGGACAAGAGAGAGTAGTTAGTGTGGGATATGATACATAAGTAGCAGTCAAGTACAACATTCCTTGTTTTCCTAGAGTGGACATGCGGGGGAATGTTTGGTCCAGCCAGTCGAAAACTCCCTGTTTCCTCCTGGCTGAGACATCCTTCCTTTGCATGTGACTAGAGGTGGGCATGACCTTACCTGTCCAGGTAACAAAAGGGCAGGGCACGCTGCACACACTCTCTCTTTGACTTCCTCCATCGTTGGAGCAGCTTTTTAGCTAGAGATGCTCTGTTGGCTTCCAGCCAACACTGGGATTATCCCAATATGGGATAGATCCACATGTATATGCTTTGTAACTAAGTCTGCCTTCAGGGATCCAACTGATGTGAGTAAACAACTTTTATATACTTTACACAAGATTGTGGTGTGTTTATTCTTTTAAGAGAGATATAAGGGAACTTACCAGGAACCTAACAGTGAGAGGCTTACACAAGCCTGCAACCAGTTATCCACTGTGAGTTTAAAAGGGGGGGGGGGTAAAACTCTGCTAAGTTAAGGAACTTGCTAGCGCAAGTTAGGAAGGATATTAATAAACAATATATCCTGCCTCCCTGAATAATCGCACAGTTAGAAGCACAGCAAGATTCACAGTTCCTGGGGCACAACATCTGCCTCGACAGGATGCTTCGTAGTGCCTCTTTTGATGAACGGGCAAACTTTTGAGATAAAGGAATCGGGAAGCGGATAGCCAATCAGGGATGTGAAATATTTGGCACGGCCAATTCCTACCTCAGGGCAGGTGTCCTGAGTCTGTGAGGGGGTGACTTGGACGCGGGTGATGATGCTGAAAACACTGCCTCCCTGCAGACGAGACGGAGAGTTAGAGGTGTTACACGAATTTTTATAATGATGGGGGGGGGGTTGCTGCTCCAGCACACAGTGTGCAACCCGCCCTCTTTGTTCACACACACAATGTCTCCTCAAAGCACCACATAACGCACGACACCACACCATTCCAATTTCATTTGACTCAGGGAAAGGAATGGCTGCCAAGGGGAAACTTGGGAAATGAGTAAAGACAGCCCTAATCCCTGAAACCTGGGATCATGTACGTAGCAGCCCCAGCACAAGAGAGAATTACTGGCATCCTGGCAAATGGGTGCCAGACAGGTAGTCATCCCATGGAAAATAGCAAACCGTCCAGGAATGGATTAGCTCTCAGTCTGGACAAAGAAGTGAGATTACCTGGCCTGGAAAACCAGGAACTTGTAAATATTTCCATTGTATCACTGGATGGGTGTAAGGTGGAGAGCAAGGGAGGGTTAGAGGCAAACCTGATGAACCAGTTTCTGCCAGATGACCCTTCCCTGTTTGTGACATATCTATGATGTATCTGTGATGTATGCATGATGCTTCACCAAAGGTGTTTGTGGGCAAAGCATCCAACCAATCAGCCTCGTGAGAATCCTGGGCACTTGAAGAACATGAGAAGAGAACCTGGCTGCTGGATCAGGCTAAAAGGGGGAAGGGGTCCCTCTAGCCCATCATGCAGTTCTCACAGTGACCAAACAGATACTTCAGTGTTGGGCCAGCTCAAGACATTTTGGAACCTGAGGCAAACCACAAAATGGGTGTCCCTTTCCCACCAGGTAAGAAGAGGTGAGTGATGATCTACAAAGGGGGAATAAAGATACAGTTAGGATTTGTTGCCCCTGTGGATTCTGCCACCTGAGGCAATCGCCTCAACTTGCCTCATGGTTGGGCTGGCCCTGCCTCAGTGAAAAGCCTGCAGGCAGGACCTAAGTACACAGCACTCTCCCTATTTGAGTTACCCAGTAAACATAATTGAGTCTCCCCCCCCCCAAAAAAGGGTTCTGGAGTCCCCCTCCCCTCCAAAAAAGAATGGTTCTGGAGGCAGATCATTTGTTCCATTTTTGCCCCAAAGGCTCTACACGATGTCCCTGTGACGTTAACATAGGAGAGTGCTGGAGGTGAAATAGTTAAACAGGTTACCCAATCAGAACCCAGGGGGTGGAGTCAGAGGGACTATAAAACCAGCTCTGGGAGGGGCGAAGGGAGAGTTCGTTGGGAATTGGGTGGTTGGTTGGAGTGGGAGTGAATTGGGATAGAGTCTGTGGGTAGGCTGAGTTAGTGTAGCGAAATAAGCTGAGTCAGGAACAGTTAGAGGCTAGGAAGACAAGTAAATATCTGAGATGTGGTTTAGTGAGTAAGAGCAGGTAGCGGAAGTTATAGGTCTGGATAGGCACCCCATAATTGTAATGGACCGATACCATTTATGAAACCACACGCTTGTTAAACTGCAATAAATAAACAGAAGTTTATGTTCCAATTTAACCCTGGCTGGACTCAGTATTGTACCAGGTAGGGCCTGGGTGGTGGCAGCAAGAAATAAAGTGGTGGCACAGGGATCAATAGACGGTGAAACGTCCGGGGACCCTGTGTGATCGCCACAGTCCCACACAGGTTTTTATGACATGGCATTGTTGGAGACCTTATCATCGGGGAGAACGATTGTGGTGCCCTGCAGAGGCCGGGTTTCCCAGCATGCATCAGTCCCAGCCAGCAGGGCCTGTGGCCACATCAGGAATCATGGGAGTTGTAGTCCAGAACCACCTGGAGGCCTAGGAGCCAACTCCTTGGAGTCCCCTCACACACACACCCCCAATATAATAGGTGAGGGTGCTGGGCCACCCCAAGTTACTGGGCATTGCCATGCAAATGGTACGCGTGTGTCATGTCATGTGATTGATTATGCAGCCCCCCCAAATATTCTATTCGAGTTGGCACCCCTGACAGGAGGACACCCATTTGTCTCCTTTTGCCTCCCGTAATCCGGAAGCAACATCCCTGTGTTTCTTCCGCCGCTGAGTTCAGGTGTGTGTTCCTCGCCCTGTCTGCAGAGGGCGCTCTCGCGTGCTCACCTCTGGAGGCTTCACATATTCCTCCACATCCCAGACCTTGTGCTGAGAGCGACTGACACCCTTCACTTTAGTGATGACGGAGCTTTCTGGGCCCGACTCGCTCTCCTGGTAGCCCTTCTGGATGATAAACACGTACCTGTTGAGAAACCAGCAGAGTCTTGTAGCACCTTTGTTATAAGAATTCTAAGGTCCCAAATATAAAATAAATGCTCATAAACGTACAAGGCAAACATATACATAAGTATATAAACCACATGTCTGAAATAGTACAGGAGAACAATCCTGAAGCCAGTTTGATTCGCCAATATTTCTCTGAAGGGGGAAGGAAATGGGAAAGCCTCTCCACTGTCTTTTGCTTACCTGTCTTAGGGGCATATTTGTATATGCATACAGTGAGCCTGTGGACTGGATTCAGGAACTAAAGTAGTTACCATCACACAGGAATGGTCAGGCTGCCCAGGTAAAGGAATCAGTGACCATTGTCAGGTATCCTGGCAGACAGGATTTCTGCTGTAGACCGCCTCCTTCTATGATGTATGTATGATGTTTTTTGGGGTGGTCTTGGGCAATTTCAAAAGTCTATACAGTGGTACCTCTGGTTACGTACTTAATTTGTTCTGGAGGTCCGTTCTTAACCTGAAACTGTTCTTAACCTGAAGCACCACTTTAGCTAATGGGGCCTCCTGCTGCTGCCGCGCTACTGCTGCCCGATTTCTGTTCTCATCCTGAAGCAAAGTTCTTAACCCGAGGTAATATTTCTGGGTTAGCAGAGTCTGTGATCTGAAGCGTATGTAACCAGAGGTACCACTGTATAAGGGCTTGCGCACCATTGTTCGAGGTTCTCTCTCCCTCCTGCGTGTGGTGAGTGGGGACCCTGTTGCAACAGTTTAATAAAGATCAGGCTTACTAGCCGCTTTGCTTCTCAGTATTCTCTGGTTGGCCTCTGTTACTTTCTCCTACCGAGAGGGAACCCACTTAAGGACTCTATAACGGGCTCCTGGATACCCCATAAGGGAAAAGGAGCAGTTTTTTCCTAGAACACCTGAAAGACTAAAACCTTGTATTAACAACATAAGGACAGCCTGGTGGGTCAGGTCACTGGCCCACCTACTCCAGCCTCCTGCTCTCACAGTGGCCGCCGAGATGCCTGGGGGAAACCCCACACGGAGGACCTGAGCATAAGAGCAACATTTTCCCCACCTATGGTTCCCAGCAACTGGGATTCAGAAGCACTGCTGCCTCCAGCTGTGGAGACAGAGCATAGCCATCATTGCTAACAGCCATCGATAGCCCTCTCCTCCCTGAATTTGTCCAATCCTCCAGTCAGTGGCCATCGCTGCCTCCTGTGGCAGTGAGTTCCAAAGTTGAACTATGCATTGTGTGAAGCACTTCATTTTATCTCTCCAGAATCTTCCAACAAAGGGGATGTCCACTAGTTCTAGTGTTCTGAGAGAGGGAGGAAAGATTCTCTCTATCCATCCTCTCCATCAGATGTCAAGGAAATAAACAACTATCTAACTTTTAGAAGACATCTGAAGACAACCCTGTTTAGGGAAGTTTTTAAAGTTTTATGTTTTATCGTGTTTTTAATATTCTGTTGGGAGCTGCCCAGAGTGGCTGGGGAAACCCAGCCAGATGGGTGGGGTATTAATAATAATAATAATAATAATAATAATAATAAGATGATGATGATGAAGAAGAAGAAGAAGAAGAAGAAGAAGATTATGCCATGCATAATTTTTAAAAATTTCTACCATGTGGCCACTTACTCGCCTGCTCTCTAAACTAAAAAGTCCCAAACACTACAACCTCTCCTTGTCTGTAGTCAGTCCATCATTACCTTGATCTCTTTGATTCTCCTTTTCCAATTCTACAATAGCCCTTCCGAGGTGTGGTGACCAGAACTGTACTCTAAATGTGGTCACACACCATCAATTTGTATCAACGGGGCTTTTTTATCCCATTCTAGCACCACTCAGGAGGGCGCCGTTGCCATTACAGTGGTACCTCGGGTTAAGAACTTAATTCGTTCTGGAGGACCATTCTTAACCTGAAACTGTTCTTAACCTGAAGCACCACTTTAGCTAATGGGGCCTCCCACTGCCGCTACGCCGCCAGAGCACGATTTCTGTTCTCATCCTGAAGCAAAGTTCTTAACCCGAGGTACTATTTCTGGGTTTGCGGAGTCTGTAACCTGAAGCGTTTGTAACCTGAAGCGTCTGTAACCCAAGGTACCACTGTATAAGAGAACAAGGGAGGCATTCATGGTGAGTTCCGGCCCCTCTATTTCTAGAAAAATAGCACTGATTATGATACTGACAGTTTTATTTTCGATTCCTTTCCGAATTATCTGTAGCATGGACTTTGCCCATTTCACAGCAAAACCACACACTAGGTTGACATATTCCCCAAGATATCTGGTACAATCCCAAACTCTCCTCCCCAGTCTGTCGCTGCCAGTTCAGATCCCATGAGTATCTATATGAAATTAAGATTATTGTTTTTTTGCCCTGACTTTAATTTGATGACACTGAATTGTATTTGCCATTTTACTGCCCGTTCGCTCAGTTTGGAGAGAGGTCCTTTTGGTGCTCTCAGCAATCTCTCTTTCTTCTAACAACCTTGAACGATTTAGTATCATCAGCAAACGCCCCCACCTCACTGCTCACCCCTAATTCTAGATTAATCGATGAACAAGTTAAAAAGCACATATAGGAGCCCACTAAGCAAGACAAGCAAAAGTCACTGCCCCTCCTCACGCAAAATGCAGCAGGGCTCACTTCCCACATTTATAAGAAAGTTAACAGAAAATATATTTTCCCATCACTGGCCACCCCATTCAGTTCTGATCCTAGAACTGTAGAGTTGAAAAGGACCCTGAGAATCTTCAAGCCAAATCGTCGGCAATGCAAGAATATGCAGCTGGGATCAAACCTGCAACCTTGGTGTTATGGCACTCAGTGCTTTTTTTTTTCGGGGGGGGGCGCATAGGTATGCATACCCAAAACATTTTGTGAATCTTTGCACTTTTTTCCATTTATTGTATTTATTTTCCCCGATTTGAACTATAAAATTGTGATTTTCTGGAGTCAAAATGAGAGGAGTACCCCTAAACATTTTTTTTGGGGGGGAGCACTGTCGGCACCAACTGAGCTCTATCCAAATGCTCAGTTCTGAGTCTCAAAAAAAATCACCGGATTGCACCACTTCCCATAGACAGCCCAGACTTACCAGATGAAATAGACCAGGATGAGGAGCTGAACAAGTCTATAGATGACCCCAAGGTTCCTGTTCTTCACCACAATCACCTTGGGAGTCTCGTAGTTCCAGAACTCCCAGAAATAATCCAGGCACCCCATCATGTATTTACCCCCAGGATTGGAAGCGTGGGGGTGGGGATGGGGGCAGACTCCAGGCAAACAGCAGCACACAACCCCCCTGAGGTCTTCTTCTGAGGAGGTGTGATGGTGATGATGTGGATCTAGCTCTCCCTGCTGCAACCGTATAGTGTTTCACTCCATCAGGCTCTGCTCACCGTGTCCCAGCAAGAACCACCCCATCCTCAGTTTCCACATTCTGGTCCACGCCAGGGAGACCACCTCCTCCCTGCTTGCTCCTTTTGCAAGGGCCAAATCACATCTGCCTGGAGGCTCCTTTGGAGCAAGACAATAGACTCTCATCCCTGTGGCCGTGGCGCCCTCTGTGGCCAGAGAGCAACAGTGCACCTCTGACCCAGCACCTCATCCATCTCTCGAAGGTGGTGCATACACTAGAGGAGTCTCAACAAAAAATAATATTTAGAATATACTGGACTGTTGGGAAAGAATCATTCTGCACAGAAACATGTTTGTACCTTTAAGAACAGTTTGTGTGAGCTCTGGGCTGATTGGGTACAGCTGGCCGTGACTACAAAAGGAAAAAAGCTGCAGTTTGAACTCTGCCTGCAGGAAAAACATCCCCACAAGCTTTGCTGTTTGTTGTTTTGAAATACAACCTTTATTTAGTTTGGTTTTACACCGGTCTCATGGTGTCACAGTCTTCTGTCATCTGCCACCAGTGGAAAATCCCCCTCTAACACTACGCCCCCACTACATTTGTTTAAAAAAAAGGGCTATCTAAGGTGTCTAGCTCTTGGAGATGCAATAGGGATAATGATTCTCTAAAACATATGTTTTTTCATTGTCCCATACTGAAAGATTTTTGGCAGAAGGTAACTCCACAGAGCCTAGGCCTTGCTGATCAGAAGGTTGGCGGTTCGAATCCCCGCAACGTGGTGAGCTCCCGTTGCTCGGTCCCTGCTCCTGCCAACCTAGCAGTTCGAAAGCACGTCAAAGTACAAGTAGATAAATAGGTACTGCTCCGGCAGGAAGGAAAACGGCATTTCCATGCGCTGCTCTGGTTCGCCAGAAGCGGCTTAGTCAAGCTGGCCACATGACCCGAAAGCTGTCTGTGGACAAATGCCGGCTCCCTCCACCTATAGAGTGAGATGAGCGCACAACCCCAGAGTTGTCTGTGACTGGACCTTACAGTCAGGGGTACCTTTTTCTTTACCTTTTAACTGAAACTCTCAACAGAACTGTATGGAACAACCTTATGTTTACAGAGCAAAAGGTCCTCTTGAATTACATACCCAGCGGGGTGCAAAGAGGCAAGTGGCAGCAGGGGACCTTACAGAAGGACAACACAAGTGGACTCTCCGTGCCTTTACCACAGCAAAAAGACCGATACTGATGAATTGGAAAAATAAAAATGTGGCTCCCTTCTAAGATTGGATTAAAGATTTATACCAAGCATGTCCAACAGGTGGCGAACAGCGGCCTCTTGATCACTTGGACTGCCAGGGCGAAACAGGTGCAAAATGCCGGCACCCTGTCGCCTACAACTTCACTGTCTACAACTTCATTAACATCTATCTACAACTCCACTAGCACATCTCGGTATTGTGAATAACACCGAACTTACCTTTTGTTGGCATCTTCATGAACTTATCTAAAAGACTGAGTTAAGCATTTGAAAAATCTATTGAAACCGGATATTATAAGTTCATTTTAGGCCGGGTAGTTCGCAAGTCTCTGTGGCTTTGTTTAATGTTTTGTATTTTTCTCAGGTTGATGACAAGCTGGCTGCTTCCTTGATAAGGTGGTAGACACAAAGGGGAGTCCTCTTCCTGTCTGGTTCTCAGTAAACAGCAGCTGGGCTGATAACCACAGTGCTCTTGACTCTTGCTAATCCTGAGTCACCAAGATGGCAAAATCGTTGAGAGATCTGTCCCGCTCCCTTCTCCATCTTAGAATCATAGAACTGTAGAGTTGGAAGGGACCACAAGGGCCTTCTAGTCCAACCCCCTTCAATGCAAGAACATTTTGCCTAATGTGGCGCTCAAGCCCAGTAAGCTCTGTGGCTAAATGAGGATTCGAACCCAGGTCTCCGTAGCAGAAGTACAACTAACAGTCTTTGCCAACCTGGTGACCTCCAGTTGTTGCAGGCTACCATCTGACCCGGGCATCAAACACCATATTGACAATGCACATCTCCATGGAGAATGAAACTGATGGAATACGCAGAAATGGACAAATTAACGGGGGAAATTCGGAACCAACGCGATCAGAGATTCACCGAGGACTGGAATAAATTTACAGAGTATATCAAAAATGTATGCGATGAGCAATTAACGCTTGTTGGCTTTCAAGAAGCTCTGTGAAAATGATTGATAGAAATGTTGCTTAAAAGATATGATAAGATTAAGATTGTTAAAGCGCAATATAAATTTAAGAAATGTGAGTAATTGTGATAATATGGAAAATTGTCAGACAGGCTGAGGGAAGTCTAAAAGATGTATATGTTAGAAGTGGATGTTAAACATGGATGGAATGCATATTGGAAATTGAATAAAATTAATTATAAAAAAAAGACAATGCATATCTCCAACTCCCCCCCCAATGAATCTTGGGAACTGTAGTTTGCCCCTCACAGAACTACAGTTCCCAGCACTCTTGACAAACTACGGTTCTCATGGGTCTATGGAGATGGGGGAATGCTCTTTAAATGTATATACCCATCCCATGTCAGCTACCACACCCATAATTTCACAGTGTGATCACCCCAATGCCCTAAAATGACTCACTGGGACCAACGACGTTGCCACATTTGACAGCTGTGCAAACCACAAAAAAGTCTTTGTCAGCAGGAAGAGCAGCAATCAGACAAGTCATTTTTGTGTTTTCTTGTATTTATTTTTGAAAGCAGTGTAAAAGCAAGTACATAAAAGCTCTTGAGTACAATACGGAATCGAAGCCACAGAAGGACAAAATAATAATTAAAAAGCCAGTTAACACTTGCTATTTATTTTAAGCATTTTTGCCCCACTCTTCCCACCCCCCAAAAAAGGCTCCCAGAGCAGCTTACATAAAACAACGAAAGGAAAAAGGGATGCTGAGGGAAGAGGAAAACAAGCAAGCCCAGGCAACCAGTTGTTGGAAGTTATAATTTCTGACAATATCCAGCCTGAATGGAAAGAATTCAGGGCAAGGAGAAGCCAAGTGGCTACAGAATGGCTACAGAGCAGAATGGCTACAGCCATGTGCGATGTCTGCAGCTAGATGGAATACCTGCTGCAACATTTCTATAACACTGAGCTCTATTGGCAATGCTCTCTGTACCTGCGCTAGCTGGATTTTCATGTTGAGCAATGGAGGAATTCAACTCAGCAGTTGCACTGGCGGAAGCTCCTTGCGCAACAGGTGGCTCAACAAAGTTTCCAAAAATGCTCGGTACTGCTGCAAATACATAGAGCAGGGGTAGGTACCCAAGGCCCGGGGGCCGGATGCGGCCCAATCGCCTTCTCAGTCCGGCCCACGGATGGTCCGGGAATCAGCGTGTTTTTACATGAGTAGAATGTGTCCTTTTATTTAAAATGCATCTCTGGGTTATTTGTGGGGCATAGGAATTTGCTCATATTTTTTTCCAAAATATAGTCCAGCCCACCACATGGTCTGAGGGACGATGGACCGGCCCATGGCTGAAAAATGGTTGCTGACCCCTGACATAGACCGTAAGGCTGGTGGCATGCTGAAGATGGGGGCAGAGCGTGACCTAACTTAGAAGCGAGTCAGAAAAAGCAGAGAGGAAACAGCCTGGGGGGTCCCGAGGTCTGCTAAGCTGGCCCACCCCCCAAATTGCAACCCCCTCGGAGGCGGAAGTTAAAGTAGACGGTGCCGTGGGGAGCGATGTTGTAGTCAGACAGCTTCTTGCCATTTTCCAGGGGTTTCCCTTCATACGTCAGCCAGAACTGATCAGGCTGGATGTTCTCCTGCTGCCGAATTCGAGCTTTGAACTGGTCCACCGAATCCGAAGGCATGACGTGGTAGCTTCTGGTTTGGCCCCTGGCGTTATGCAGGAAGATGGGGATGGACTCCTCGCTCTTGACCACCAACAGTATGGTGTCCCCGGATTTCAGCCCGAATCTGGAGAGCTGGTCGCTGTCCTGAAGGTTGATGTTGCCGTTAGACTGGCAGGCCAGCTTCTGCTGATATGGGGACAACCCTGTCTTCTGGGCTACTTGGATTTTGAAATCCCAAACAGTTTTGCTGGCATGCGTGTCCAGGGAGTATTGCTCTCCTGACAGGAGTTTTACATTCAACCGCAGGGCCTGGGAAGGAAGCAGAGAGTGTGGTGTAGTGGTTAATGTCAGATTAGGACCCGGGAGATAAGGGTTATCTGTTGCCAAAGGAGCATGTGAGCCTGCTCTCAGGTGTTTCTCTTAGCCTAAACCAGTGTTTCTAACCGCAAAGCGCTCTATGTGGAGCTACCTTTGAAGGTGATCAGGAAACTACAACTAATCTAGAATGTGGCCGCTGGACTGGTGACTGGAAGTGGCCGCCGAGACCACATAACATCGGTCCTGAAAGCATCTCGACCCCCATCATTCAGCCCCAGACACCGGGGTCCAGATCCAAGGGCCTTCTGGCAGTTCCCTCACTGCAAAAGGTAAGGCTGCAGGGAACCAGGCAGAGGGCCTTCTTGGTAGTGGCACCTGCCCTGTGGAACGCCCTCCCATCAGATGTCAAAGAAATAAACAACTATCTGACTTTTAGAAGACATCTGAAGGCAGCCCAGAATAGGGAAGTTTTTAATCTTTGATGTTTTACTATGTTTTTAATATCTTGTTAGTAGGTGCCCAGAGTTGCTGGGGAAACCCAGTATAATAATAAATTGCTGTTGTTGTTGTTGTTAGTGGCACTTGCCCTGTGGAACGCAGGTTTTACTAGGTTTTTAATATCTTGTTAGTAGCTGCCCAGAGCGGCTGGGGAATCCCAGCCAGATGGGCACGGTTTAATAATAAATTGTTGTTGTTGTTATTTCCTGAACCAGAGTATCCAGCTTTTTTGGACTACAACTCCCATCATTCCTAGCTAGCAGGACCCGCGGTCAGGGATGTTGGGAATTGTAGTTCAAAAACAGCTGGAGACCCCAGTTTGGGAAACACTGGCCTAAACAATATCTTTGTTCATAAGTGATGTCAGTATCCATAAAACCAGAGAGTACTGCAAGGCAGCATAACATAAAATTCAAATCTCTCTCTCTCTTTCACACACACACACACACACACACACACACACACACATTGTTCATGCAACCCACTCTCATTCGCTATCCATTCCACACAAAGAGCAATTGGTGGTGTAATGGTTAGAGCAGTGGACTAGGAGCTGGGAGACCAGGGTTCAAATCTCCACTCAGCCGTGGGGAACAGTCACTGCCTTCTCTCAGCCTTACCTACCTCAGAGGGTTGTTGTGGGGGTTAAATAAGGAGGGGGAAGAACCGTGACTGCCACTCGTTAGAGAAAAAAGGTGGGCTAGAAATGCAATAAAATAAAAATTAGGCTCCATTATTGTCAGTGGGTCTACTCAGAGCAACAGAAATAAATAAAACTAATTCTTTCTCGGGATGAAGATCTCAAAGTTAAGCTGCTCTTAAAGCCACAAGCGCTGTGGGTAAAACCTCAGCGCCTAGGACTTGCCGATCGTATGGTCGGCGGTTCGAGTCCCCGTGACGGGGTGAGCTCCCGTTGTTCGGTCCCAGCTCCTGCCCACCTAGCAGTTCGAAAGCACTCCTGAGTGCAAGTAGATAAATAGGTACCGCTTTATAGCGGGAAGGTAAACGGCGTTTCTGTGTGCTGCGCTGGTGCTGGCTCGCCAGAGCAGCTTCGTCAAGCTGGCCACGTGACCCAGAAGTGTCTCCGGACAGCGCTGGCCCCCGGCCTCTTAAGCGAGATGAGCGCGCAACCCTAGAGTCGGACACGACTGGCCCGTACGGGCAGGGGTACCTTTACCTTTACCTAAAGCCACAAGAGCAGTACAAACCCGTTTTTTCCGAGTCAGTTGGCAGCCCCATTTCCTCCTCTTCCTCACACACACACCTATGGATGTTGGGGGAGGGGGCAGGTTAGGGGACATCTGAAGGCAACCCTTGTTTAGGGAAGTTTTTAATGTTTGATGTTTTATTGTGTTTTTAATATTCTGTTGGGAGCTGCCCAGAGTGGCTGGGGAAACCTAGGCAGATGGGCAGGTTATATATAATATATTATTATTATTATTATTATTATTATTATTATTATTATTATTACAAAGATTTTGACAGATTTTCCTGAGCACTTGGGGTCAAAAGAAAGTAATTTAAAACAACTGTTGTTGAGATATTTCATTCCGAATCTGCTAGACACAGCCAGAAAGAGGATGATGACAGACGGGTCTCCTGCCCCACCGCCCCCCCCCCCCCCAACCCCAGAAATCCTGGCTACACCCATGCAGGCACCCACACTCCGCTAGCGGACCTTTCCCTTACCATCCTGCACTTTTGCCGTCTGGGTCGTAGCAACGCCTGAAGTCAGCGATCGGGACACCGAAGCCAACAGCTGCCGTCGGATGCTCAGCTGACGCGGTCTGGCAGCAGCTCTCCCTTCGACTGGCCTTTTATAGCCGCCTCGCTTTCGCGATTTCACCGGCAGGGGGCGCTTCTTAGGAAAGCAAAACGGAGCGAAGCGTCTCCGGGAGGATTTCGCTTTCATTTTCCTGGGCAGGCAAAGGAGAAAACGAAACCGATTAGAGACCTTGACGATCTGGTCATTGTTTTGATCTTGCAGCAAAGAGCAAGAGAGAGAGAGAGAAGATAAAAGGGACGGAGCGGCTCCCGCAAGAGGAAAGATTTCGACACCTGGGACTTTTTAAGCTTAGAGAACAGGCTCGAGTAAATAGGGAGACGATGATGAGAATCGCTATACAGGGAGATAAAAGTGCATTTAAAAAAATGATGCGTGGCATGGAGAAAATGAAGTTTTTTCTCACGCTCTCACAACACTATAACTCGCGAGCTTCCCATGAAAGGGAATGCTGGGAGAATCAGGGAGATATTTACAGGCAGCACGTAGTTAAACTATGGAACTCACTGCCACGGGAGACAGCGACGGCCGCCCGCTTAGATGGCTTTACAAGGGGATTAGACAAATACATGGAACAGAAAGCTATCCATGGCAGCTAGCCACGAAGGCTATGCTCTGCCTTCACGGCTGGAGGTGGCGTTTGTTTGTTTGTTTGTTTGTTTGTATTCTGCTCTATAGGGACACGGGTGGCGCTGTGGGTTAAACCACAGAGCCTAGGGCTTGCCAATCAGAAGGTCGGCGGTTCGAATCCCCGTGACGGGGTGAGCACCCTTTGCTTGGTCCCTGCTCCTGCCAACCTAGCAGTTCGAAAGCACGTCAAAGTGCAAATAGATAAATAGGAACCGCTCCAGCGGGAAGGTAAACGGCGTTTCCGTGTGCTGCTCGGATTCTTCAGAAGCGGCTTAGTCATGCTGGCCACATGACCTGGAAAAACTGTCTGTGGACAAACGCCGGCTTCCTCGGCCAGTAAAGCGAGATGAGCACCGCAACCCCAGAGTCGGCCACGACTGGACCTAATGGTCAGGGGTCCCTTTACCTTTTATTCTGCTCTATACCCACAGGTCTCAAGGGCAGTCCACAACATAAAATCCCAATACAGTGGTACCTCGAGTTAAGTACTTAATTCGTTCCGGAGGTCCGTACTTAACCTGAAACTGTTCTTAACCTGAAGCACCACTTTAGCTAATGGGGCCTCCTGCTGCTGCCGGAGCACGATTTCTGTTCTCATCCTGAAGCAAAGTTCTTAACCCGAAGCACTATTTCTGGGTTAGTGGAATCTGTAACCTGAAGTGTATGTAACCCGAGGTACCACTGTATATAAACCACAAAATACATACAGTGGTACCTCGGGTTACATACGCTTCATGTTACAGATGCTTCAGGTTACAGACTCTGCTAACCCAGAAATAGTACCTCAGGTTAAGAACTTTGCTTCAGGATGAGAACAGAAATCGTGCAGCAGCAGCACAGCAGCAGCAGGAGGCCCCATTAGCTAAAGTGGTGCTTCAGGTTAAGAACAGTTTCAGGTTAAGAACAGACCTCCAGAACGAATTAAGTACGTAACCAGAGGTACCACTGTAATCAAAACAAAATCAAAACAAAACCAACTCAATAATGCCCCCTGCAAACACATTTTAAAAGGGCACTGGATGTCAATCAGCCAAAGGCCTGGTTCAAGGGGAATGTTCTTGCCCAGTGCTAAACTGGGTGCCACTGCAGAAAAGGCCCTTTCTTGTGTTGCCACCCTCTGGTGGAGGAGGGTCTCAAGGAGATGGGTTTTGAGGAGGTGCTTAAAACCTCCTTCTGCCACAGGTTCACCATCCCTGGTTTAAAAGACAAAACCGGCATCAGGATTGGGAGGGGGGGTGAGGGCGACAGTGCTCTCATCCTCTGTTGAAGCAGCCCCTGGACGTGAAAGAAATGGGCATGCGATTCTCTGAGTTCTCTGTGGTTGCCATTGTTATAAGAATATATATATATATATATATGATAAATGTTCATAACTGCATATATAAACCACATGTCTGAAACCCCACAGAAAAAGTCCTGAATCCATTTTGTTCCTCCCAAATTAACCTCAAATATATCTCTGCAAGGTCGAAGGAAAATGGAAAAGCCTCCTCCTTGTCTTTTCGTTCACAAATACTGTCTTAAGGGTATGTCTGTGTATGAATAGGGTGAGCCTGTGACTTGGCTCAGGAACTAAGTATTTATCATTACAAAAGGCTAGCCAGGCTCCCCAGGCAATCCAATCAAGTGACCATTAGCAGGTAACCTGCCAGACAGGAGATAAACAAGGCACTCAGATTTCTGTTGTAGACCGCCTTTTCTGTGATGTAGGTATGATGTATCTGGGAAGGGGGGTCTTGAGCTACACCCCTTCTGTGATGTATGTATGATGTTTCTGGGGTGGTCTTGGACTCCAGGGCAGGCAAATTAAAATGTCTATATAAGGGCGGGCACACCTTTGTTCGGGGTCCTCCTCCATCCTCCTGCGTGTGAGGGGAGCACACTGTTGCAACAGCTTTAATAAAGATCAGGCTTACTAGCTGCTTTGCTTCTCAATATTCTCTGGTTGGCCTCTGTTATTTTCTTCTACTGATAGGGAACCCACTTAAGGACTCTGTACGGCTCTTGGATACCCCAGAAGGGAAGAAGGGCAGATTTTGTTTACAGCACCATTGAGGATGACGACACAGTCTTGCAATTTTGACCTTGGCCAAAAGCACTTGCTTCATTCGGATCTACTTTAACTTTCTGTTTCTATTTCCCCATTCCATTTCCCCCAACTGACTGGCACAAAAGAGCAGTTAGCCGTCAACCATTCTAAAAACAAAGTGGTGATTTTGGGGAAGAAGAGAAAACCTCACAGATGGGAGTTTGGACAATAAACCTCTTGAACAACAATGCTATTATAAATACCTGGGCTTGGGTTCTGGAAGCCACACATACTTGCAGCTAAATTGAAATCCTCTCACTCTATTCACTCTTTATTGCAGTTTTCCAGAGTTCGGGGGGGGGGGGAGTTTAGTTGCCCCCACCGTTGAGGTATTTCAAAAGAAGATTGTGCCACAATTATTATACGGTGCAGAGATTTGGGGATATATTAATGTCTTCCCGTTAGAAGTGGTGCAGAACTCTTTCCTGAAATCACTGTTGATTGTCCCCAAAGGTACACCCGCCCCTCCTTTTAAGAGCTGAAACAGGGCTAATCTCCTTACAAACCAGTGTACATGTAGCGCTAGCCCTATACTGGCTGAGGTTGTCTGGCATGATTGATTGTGTGACTGCGGAAAGGAATAAAAAAACCCCATCCAAACAATGACTATCGGCAGTGCAGGTAAGAAAAATAAATAAATTTTAATTTTTATAATCTACAATACTGTCTTGTTTATTTTATAGTACAGTACATTGATTATTGCTTTCATTTTATGGATCAATGGTCTCGTTAGATAGTAAAATTAATGTGAAATTGCTGTTTTAGGGGTTGTTTTTAAAAGTCTGGAACGGATTGATCTGTTTTGCATTACTTTCTATGGGAAAGCGCACCTTGGTTTTGGAACACTTTGATTTTGGAACGGACCTCCGGAACGGATTAAGTTTGAGAACCAAGGTACCACTGTACTTGGCTTTATTTGCTCTGAGTAATAAAACTAAAAGGTTAAGAACAGTTTCAGGTTAAGAACGGACCTTCGGAACGAATTAAGTACTTAACCCGAGGCACCACTGTATCTGAGAAACCATAAACTTGTTGATACTTATAAAATAAACTTGTTTATCTGGTTCAATTTTAACAACTGTATGAACTCAGTGTGTACCCGAGAGTAACGGGTTGGTGGCAGTGGGGAAGCGAGCACAGTGGTGGCACAGGGATCAATAGACCGTCAAACGTCCGGGGACCCTGTGTGATCGCCACACCAAGGTATGACTGTATTTGCTTTTATTCCTTTGGTGGTGTGAGATGTTGGGGTTGGTCTAGGGCAGGGGTAGTCTGCCTTTTTATACCTACCACCCACTAATGCATCTTTCTCCATGGTAAAATTTCCTTACCGCCCACCAGTGCTTGATGGAAGGAGGATTCAGCTTGTCCCGTAGAACCCGCTGCCGCCCACCTAGAATCCTGAAACGCCCACTAGTGGGCAGTAGGGACCAGGTTGACAACCCCTGGTCTAGGGTGTGGTTGTTTGTGATTGGCTATGGTGAACTTTGTTTTCATGTGTGTGAGTGGGGTGTGTGTGTGTGTGTTTGGATCAGGTCAGCCAGATTGATTTGAATGCTGTCAGAGGGTTCTTGTTGTCTTGTTGGGCTGTGAAAGGGAAACCATACCGGGGTGAAGATGTCGTCTTCTGTTTGTCCCCATGTCAGTTTCAGTTTGTTGGTTAGTTTTTCTAATAAGGCTGTTTCCCATACTATTTGATACCATTGGTCCATGCTTACTTCTGACAGGTGGAGTTTGGATTTGGATTTGATATCCCGCTTTATCACTACCCGAAGGAGTCTCAAAGCGGCTAACATTCTCCTTTCCCTTCCTCCCCCACAACAAACACTCTGCGAGGTGAGTGGGGCTGAGAGACTTCAAAGAAGTGTGACTAGCCCAAGGTCACCCAGCAGCTGCATGTGGAGGAGCAGGGATGCGAACCCAGTTCACCAGATAACGAGTCCACCGCTCTTAACCACGACACCACACTGGTCTCTCTAGTGTCTGGCTATGATGTTTCTGGCTGCTGAGAGAAGGTGGGCTATGAGCTCTTTGTGATGTCAGTGGGCATCCACTTCTATCCAGAAGAGACCAGAATGTTCATGGCTTTGGGCCTAGAGACCTCAGGCAGCTACAGTGGTACCTCAGGTTACATACGCTTTAGGTTACAGACTCTGCTAACCAAGAAATAGCACCTCGGGTTAAGAACTTTGCTTCAGGTTGAGAACAGAAATCGTGCGGCGGCAGCACGAGGCCTCATTAGCTAAAGTGGTGCTTCAGGTTAAGAACAGTTTCAGGTTAAGAACGGACCTCCGAAACGAATTAAGTACTTAACCCGAGGTACCACTGTATTAGCATTCAGAAACCCAGCTCCCAAGATGCATCTGTTGTAAACAAAATCTGCCCTTTCCCTTATGGGGTATTCAAGAGCCCATATAGAGTCCTTACGTGGGTTCCCTATTGGTAGGAGAAAATAACAGAGGCCAACCAGAGAATATTGAGAAGCAAAGGAGCTCGTAAGCCTGATCTTTATTGAACTGTCGCAACAGGGTGCTCCCCTCACACGCAGGAAAGGAGGAGGACCCAGAACCAAGGTGTGCCTGCCCTTATATAGACATTTTAAATTCCCTGCCCTGGAGCTCAAGACACCCCTCCATACATCATACATACATTACAGAAGGGGTGTAACCCAAGACCACCCCCCACAAACATTATACCTACATCACAGAAAAGGTGGTCTACAACAGAAATTTGAATGCTGTTGTTTTTCCTGTCTGCCAGGTTATCTGATAATGCCTTATCCGATTGCCTTTCCTGGTAGTCTGACCATTCCTTTGAGATGGTGATATCTTAATTCCTGAGACAATGGGAAGGTTCCCTCACCCCCTCCCTCCTTGCAGAGAAAACATTTGGTCAGTTTGAGAGTCAAAATGGTTTCAGGGCAGTCTTCCTGTGCTGCTCCAGACATGTGGTCCACATATCTATGTACGTGCTAGATTGGTACATTTATGAGCATTTATTACATATATAAGACCTTAAATTTTTTATTTCAATAGCTTGGAAAGCAATATAAGCCTCTTCAGACACCCACGGAGAGCTTCTCTTACGACGAGGCTGGAAGGGGTCTCCTCAGAGTATGGTGCAAGAGTACGGTTCTTCCCAGGGCACTTGCAGCTAGAAGGAAAATGAACAAAAATGTAGTTTCCAACTTGCCCACATTTCGAGTATTTTACACCCCACTTAATACTGGAACACTCTCTCAGAGGTTTATCCAGCAGAGCTTTGGAAATCTACACCTCGCAAACAGAGACCTGTCTGTGATCCCTGGTGAATCCACAAGGTATGCTGGAATTATAAACATCCCTAACACAGGCAACAGTCACAGCATCCATTTAGAAGCACTGTGACACCACTTCAAGTAGCCATGGCTTCCCCCAAAAGAATTCTGGGAGCTGTAGTTTGTTAAAAATGCCAAGACCTGTTAGAAACCCCCTATTCCACTCAGGGCTACAATTCCAGAGTGGTTTATAGTCAACCCCTCTTCACAGGGAACTCTGTTGAAATGGTTAAGATTTTTTTGTTTTGTTGACTTTGTTTGTTTTAAATATGTATTCTGCAGTTGACCTCCTTTGTAATGTTTTATTTTGAAATCTTTAAGATAATAGTATTTTAATTTCCTGTTAATTATGTTGCTTTGACTGTATACTTTATATCTGACTTCCTTCAGAAATGTTTGATTCTGGGTTGTTTTATTGATGTTTAATATGCTGTAAACCGCTTTGTGATTTTTCTTTAAAATATAAAGCGGTATAGAAATGAAATTATTAATAATAATAATAATAATAATAATAATAATAGCAGCTCTGGAAGGGAAATATGTTTGGAGGCCCCTCTTCTCTCAGCAACCTCAACAAACTACACATCCCAGGCTTCTTTGGGGGGAAGCCCTGACTGTTTAAAACGGTGTTGAAATATACTTGGAGTCGAGAGTGGATTTCATGCTCTTTATTCAGCTCATAGTGGTGAGGAAGAATGGAAGTTCCCCCAGAATGTCTGCTTTATATACATTATTTACACAATGGGCCCCACCCACGTGATTGGCTAATTCCGGAATTCTCCTGTAGGCCAATCAGGTTGTGGATTCACTTCCACCTGGAGCTGGATTGGGTGGCTCCTGCGGACCAGTTATACTGCTGCATTGTTCTAGGACCAATCAAACTGCTGCATTCTGAATCCTATTGTTCTAGGACCAATCAAACTGCTGCATTTTGGATCCTATTCAACTCAGTACATAACAGTTGTCCTAACACTTTAAATGCATTGTGCTTGTTTACATCAGTGTGAATGTGGCCCTAAGAACTCCAGTTCCGTTCAGGAGAGATGTTGGGGAAACAAAGCATTTCTGTGTACTGTACAAAAATTGAGGGGAAAGCGTCCTTTTCCCCATCTGTTGCTTTTATTAGGGGAGGACTTGGAGGATGATTAAACTTTGGGTGGGAATAAGGAGGAGATACATAAATGCAGACAATATAGATTGGAGTTTCTGTTGAGTGTGCTCACCTGGATTGCAAATCCTCACTTAGCAGAGGTCAGTCCATCAGGGCAAATGGGGCATTGCCCCACAAACCCCCTGCTTCCTTACTTGCAACCAGTCCAAGGGGTGGCCACACCCACCAGCTCCCTCCTGAGTATCAGTGTTACCCTTCTAGGACTCAGCCGAGATAATATCGCTGCTTCTGGCTCCGACTGTTCTTGGCTAGGGCGCCACCTACTGTTGGCCTCCCTGCCTTCTGCACTACCAGTAATAAACACATTCCAGCCACCTTTGTCCCTAGCAAATGTCACCCACATCACACATTCTGTCATCTCAGTCCGTGAGAGCTGGTGGCTCTTTGAGGGCCACACTTAGGGGCCACATATCACCAGCACAGACTTGACAAGCTGGAATGTGAGCAGAGAAGGGCGACCAAAATGCTTAAGGGCCCGGAAGCCAACCTTATGAAAAGTGATTGTGGGAGTTAGGTATGTTTAGCCTGGCAGAGAGAAGATTGAAATATGAGAGCCGTCTTCAAATATCTGCAAGGCTTGTTTTCTGCTGCTCCAGTGGGTATGAACCAAACCAATGGATTCAAATGACAAGGATATTCCAACTCAAGTTTAGGAAGAACTTTCTAAGGATCAGAGCTGTTGGACAGTGAAACGAAATCCTTCGGAAGGTGGTGGGCTCTCCTTCAATGGAGGTTTTTAAACAGTGGCTGGATGGCCAACTGTCAGGGATTATTTATTCCTGCATTGCAGGGGATTGGACTAGATCAGTGTTTCTCAACTGTGGGTCCCCAGATTTTGTTGGACTACAACTCCCATCATTCCTAGCCAGCATGACCAGTGGTCAGGGATGATGGGAGTTGTAGTCCAACAAAATCTGGGGACCCACAGGTTGAAAACCGCTGGACTAGATGGTTGGCTTGAGGTCCCTTCCAACTCTACTGTTATAATAATTTTAAGGTCTCAAATATAAAATAAATATTCATAAATGCACACATATCTAAATATATGAACCATGTGTCTGAAATAGTACAGGAGAGCAATCCTGAAGCCATTTTGACTCTCCCGATGACCTCAAATATTCCTCTGCAGTAAGGGAGGCCAATGGGGAAAGCCTTCCCATTGTCTTTTCAGTTATAAATCCTGTCTTAAGGGCATATTTGTGTATGAATAGGGTGAGCCTGTGGCCTGGATTCAGGAATTAAGTATGAACCATCACAGAAGAATGGCCAGGCTGCCCAGGTAATGCAATCAAGTGACCATTATTAGGTATCCTGGCAGACAGGATTTCTGCTGGAGACCGCCTTCTTCTGTGATGTATGTATGATGTATTGGGGAGGGGGTACTGGGCTACAGGGTGGGCAATTTCAAAAGTCTATATAAGGGCTCGCGCACCATTGTTCAGGGTTCTCTCCTCCCTCCTGCATGTGGTGAGTGAGGACCCTGTTGCAACACTTTAATAAAGATCAGGCTTACTCGCCGCCTTGCTTCTCAATATACAGTCACACCTCTTGTTACGTTCGGTCAGGTTACATCTTTTCAGGTTGCGTCTCGCGGCGACCCGGAAGTACCGGAAAGGGTTACTTCCAGGTTTCGCTGCTCACACATGTGCAGACACTCAAAATGATGTCACACGCATGCACAGAAGCGGCAAATCGCAACCTGCGCGTGCACAGATGCGGGTTGCGTTCTGCTCATGTTGAGAATGGAGCTCCGGAACAGATCCTGTTCGCAACCAGAGATACCACTGTACTTTGGTTGGCCTCTGTTATTTTCTCCTACCGATAGGGAACCCACTTAAGGACTCTATACGGCCTCTTGGGTACCCCAGAAGGGAAAAGGAGCAGTTTTTCTTATAACACTACAATACTATGGTTCTATGCTGCCCTCACCGGCACATTCCAGGGTTGAACCATGGAGCCATCGGGTTTCCTGAAGAAGCACGCCTGCCTAGCACAATCCGCAGCCTTTTCTGCGAGTAGATCCCAGCGTTTCCCCTCTCCTACGTTCCCGGTTGGATCTGCTGGGTCAAGAATGACAGGCCTAAAATACAGGGACAGGAAAGATTCATTAGCCTCAGGCAGGAGCGAAAGAGCCGTATCCTAGAAGCCAGGCCCACCTCCCACCAAGCAATTTTGGGGAGGGGTATAGGGTCCCCCTCCAAACCCACTCATGGTGGTTGTGGGAAGCCAGAAGTATCAGGAGATGAGGAATCACCAGCCCTGAATAAAGATACCTCTCCTCACCTCTCACCACCACTGCTACGGTCTGTATTTGAATAGAAGCCCACACTGAAGATCTGCTGCATATATGCTGGTTTGTTTGTGATGTGCCTGTGTGTTCATGGGTTTGAGAGTGTGGGAAGGCAAGGCTCGCTTTCACCATGTCCATTTTCTGGCTCTGCTTGTTCTGAGCTCTGGCGCCACCTACTGTTGGCTTCCCTGCCTTTTGCCCAACCAGTCCCAATAAGCCACACCCACTCTAGCCACACCCACTGCAGCATGTAGACCTCACAAAGCATGTAACCCCACCAACAGAAAAGGATTAGCAACCTCAGCCTAGGGATTTGCAGAATCTCCCAGTGTTGAATAAATAACAGTGACACTAGATTAACGAGGGGACCCTAAATAAAACTCACAGGGCCCACACCTCTGTTGATCCCAGTTTTAGCCAAATCATGTTCACTGACTCACCCCAAGCCCCTTTTTCAAGCACAATCAGAAAGGGCTCATTCCCAGTTTTGTTAGACTTGTACAGTGGTACCTTGGTTCTCAAACACCTTGGTACTCAAACAACTTGGATCCCAAACACTGCAACCCCGGAAGTACGTGTTCAGGTTTGCAAACTTTTTCAGAAGCCAAACATGCTCTGATTTGAGTGTTGCACTTCCAATTTGAGTGCCACACTTCCGTTTTGAGTGTTACTCTGAGGGCTGTCTGTTTTTGCTATTTATTTTGCATTTTTGCGGCTTTTTTATTTTTGTGACTGTTCAGCTGCTGATTGATTGGTGACTGCAGTACAGTGGTACCTCGGGTTACATACACTTCAGGTTACATACGCTTCAGGTTACACACTCCGCTAACCCAGAAATAGTACCTCGGGTTAAGAACTTTGCTTCAGGATGAGAACAGAAATCGCGCGGCGGCGGCAGCAGGATGCCCCATTAGCTAAAAGTGGTGCTTCAGGTTAAGAACAGTTTCAGGTTATGAACGGACCTCCGAAACGAATTAAGTACGTAACCAGAGGTACCACTGTACATTGTTTATTGCTTTCATTTTATGGATCAATGGTCTTGTTAGATAGTAGAATTCATGTTTAATTGCTGTTTTAGGTGTTGTTTTTAAAAGCCTGGAACAGATTAATCCATTTTGCAATACTTTCTATGGGAAAGCGCACCTTGGTTTTGGAACACTTTGGTTTTGAAACAGACTTCTGGAACGGATTAAGTTTGAGAATCAAGGTACCACTGTATTTTGATTGTATTGTAGATTGATTGGTTACGCTGGGTTCAATAGCTTCTCTCTTTGTTCCACAAGCTGCATCTTGTAAAACTCAGATCTTACACACTGAGATCTTAACAGATGCGCAGAAAATCCGAAGATAGATTTGGCTTACAGGGCATCTGATTCAGTGGGTAAGATCAGGTTTTCCCAAGGCACAGCTGCGAAAGAAAGAGAAATTGATCTCAGATCTGGGGGAATTAATCGATACACAATACATGTGACTGACCCTTAAGGCAGGTCATCCAGGTGTTTTTCAACTTCCATCAGCCCTAGCCAGCACAACCATTTTGGACTGCGACTCCCATCCGCCAGCTCTGGTTGATCTGGAGGGCACCGGGTTGGCAAAGCCTGCCCTGAGTGGACACCCACTTTGCTTCCATAATGGGATCAGCCCTGTGTTTGAGATTGGGTTGCCATATGTCCTCTATTTCCAGGACACGTCCTCCTTTTCATGGGTAGAGTCCTCATAGTGATCCATAGTTAAAAGTAGAAGTTGGCAAATGTGTCGTCTTTTTTGCTCTTCGAAATATGGCAATCCTAGAGATCTCCTGCATCTCTCAGAGAACCACTGTTCTCAGGATTTCAACTCTCACTTTAAACCTACAACAGATTTGCCCAGGAAACGGAATTGTTGGACTCTAAAGTTAAAATTTTTCTAAAATGTATAATTTATTGTTGGAATGGCATACAAAGGATGAACAAGTTAAATCCGTGATAATAGACTGGGCAAGAGATGTGGGACATAACATAATGTTTGAACACTGGGAAAGATTGTGGAAGAAAGGGGTCAGGTTCACTGCATGTACGGTGTTAAAGGAAAATATTATGAAAATGATGTATAGATGGTACTTAACCCCTGTAAAACTGGCAAAGATTTACCACAATAGTGATAATTTATGTTGGAAACGTAAAGAAAAGGAGGGTACCTTTTATCATATGTGGTGGACCTGCCCTAAAGTGAAAGACTTATGGGAGAAGATTTATAACGAATTGAAAAAGATGTTAAAATATATATTTATTAAGAAACCAGAAGCCTTCCTTCTTGGAATAGTAGGTCTGGAATTGCCTAAGAAAGATGTTAGATTGTTTTTGTATGCCACAACAGCAGCTAGAATTTTGTTAGCTAAGAGTTGGAAATCACAAGAAGTTCCAACAGTGGAAGAATGGCAGATGAAGATGATGGACTTTTCGGAGCTAGCCGACCTGACTGGAAGAGTCTGCGACCAGAAGGAGGAGGAGTACCAGGAGGAATGGATAAAATTTAAAGACTATCTAGTTAAATATGTTAAGATAACTTAATTGAAAAAACTTGCAAATACCAGATAGGCCTAGGATTTAAGTAGGTGATGTTTAGAGAATAATATGTTTAAAGTTAAAATGGAAAGATTAAAAAAAGAGGGGTAGTGATTTATGCAAAGGACAGATTATTACCGAAATTTATCTTTAAAGATGACCAAGGAAGATATGTGGGAATTGAAATTCAAACACAAGGAGAAAAATTTTTGATAGTAGGAATTTATGCACCAAATGAGGGGAAATCCGATTTTTTTAAAAAGTTGCATGAGACCCTGATGGACTATTTGGATTATAATATGATTTTGATGGGAGACATGAATGGAGTGGTATCTACACATATGGACAAGGCACAAAGACAGGTAGTCACCAAGGATGGTAGACTACCGAAAACTTTTTTTGAGATGACAGACAACTTGGACTTAATTAATATTTGGAGAACAAGGAACCCCATGGCTAAAGAAGGAACCTTCTTTTCTGAAGCCAATATGACATGGACAAGAATTGACCAAATATGGGCAACTAGAGGAATGGCACCAAAGACAAGAAAAGTGGAAATTTGCCGAAAAACCTGCTCCGACCATAATGCTGTTAAGATGGAAATGAAACTAACACCAACTGGCTCCTTTAGATGGAGGATGAATGACACCTTATTTAGAGATGAAGAAGTGCTTAAGAAGGCCCAAAAAACCTTGAGAGACTATTTTGAGATAAATATGAGCACCAATGTGGAAAAAAGAGTAATCTGGGACGCAAGTAAAGCGGTTATGAGAGGGTTCTTGATACAACAGAATGCATTAAAGAAGAGAATCCAAAATGAGAAGAAGGATAAAATTTTGGAGAAAATAAAGGAAAGTGAAAAAAGATTGAGAGCAAAACCAAAGTCTCAAGAGATTTTGAGAGAAATAAAGTTATATCAAGTGCAATATATGAAAATGATGAATCAGGAGATAGAATGGAAAATTAAACAAATGAGACAAAAGACATTCGAGTCGGCTAATAAATGTGGAAAATTGTTGGCTTGGCAAATGAAAAAAAGACAAAAATTAAATACAGTTACAAATTTAGAAGTGGAAGGAAGGAACATACAGAACCCAGCTGAGATTAGAAATTGTTTCCAGAGGTACTTTAAACAACTATATACACAAGGGCCACAGAAAGAAACTGACGTAGATCGATTTTTGAAGACAAATGGATCACAAAAAATCTCTCAAGAAAATAAATTAATGTTGAATTACAAAATAACTGAACAGGAGATAGAAGGTGCCATTCAGAATATGCAATTGGGTAAATCTCCAGGACCGGATGGACTGACTTCTAGATACTACAGATCCCTAAAAGAATGGCTAGTACAACCTTTGAAAGAGGTCTGTAATGAAATAATGGAGGGGGAAAAGGGCACCAGAGTCGTGGAAAGAAGCATATATCACACTTGTACCGAAAATAGAGACTGAAAAGACGCAGCTTAAGAACTATCGCCCCATATCATTGCTTAATGTGGATTACAAAATTTTTGCAGATATTTTGGCTAAAAGATTAAAAAGAGTGTTAGTGGAAGAGATACATAAGGACCAAGCAGGCTTTCTCCCAGGAAGACATCTATCTGATAATACGAGAAACATAATTAATATTTTAGAAAAATTGCAAGTGAATATAAATACTAAGGCAGTTTTAATATTTGTGGACGCGGAGAAAGCTTTTGACAATATTTCTTGGACTTTTATGAAAAAAAACCTACAGGGTATGGGGGTAGGCCAAGGTTTTGAAAATGGTATAGGTGCAATATATTCTGAACAAAAGGCTAAATTAATTGTAAATAATGTGGTGATGGAAGAATTTAAGATAGAAAAAGGGACACGACAAGGTTGCCCAATCTCCCCATTGCTTTTTATATCGGTCCTGGAGGTTCTGCTGAATATGATAAGAAGGGACCAGTTGATTAAAGGTATACAGGTCGGAGCCAAACAGTACAAATTGAGAGCATTTGCAGATGACCTAGTATTGACGTTACAGGAGCCAGAATCTAGTACCAAAAGGGTTTTAGAACTGATTCAAGAATTTGGTCAAGTTGCAGGATTTAAATTGAATAAGTTAAAAACCAAGGTCTTAGAGAAAAATTTAACACCAATGGAGAGAGAGAGGTTTCAGAATGAGACAGGTTTAACAGTGGTTAAGAAAGTTAAATACCTGGGGATTAACATGACAGCAAAAAATGGGAATTTATTTAAAGACAACTATGAAAAATGCTGGGCTGAAGTGAAAAAAGATTTAGAAATTTGGTCAAATTTGAAGCTTTCACTGATGGGTCGTATTGCTGCGGTAAAAATGAATGTATTGCCTAGAATGTTGTTTTTGTTTCAAACATTGCAAATTGTGGACAAAATGGACTGTTTCAAGAGGTGGCAGAGAGATATTTCTAGATTTGTCTGGCAGGGCAAGAAGCCTAGAATAAAATTTAAAATACTAACAGATGCAAAGGAAAGAGGTGGGTTTGCCCTGCCAGACTTTAAACTTTACTATGAATCAGCAGCTTTTGCTGGTTGAAAGAATGGCTGCTTCTTGAAAACACTGACATTTTGGATCTAGAAGGCTTTAACAATGTATTTGGATGGCATGCATATCTGTGGTATGATAAGGTCAAAGAACATAAAGCATTTAAAAACCATATTGTCAGGAAAGCATTGTTTAATGTTTGGATAAGATATAAGGACTTATTGGAAAATAAAACCCCAAGGTGGCTGTCACCGATGGAAGCGAAAGCTCTGAAAAAGCTCAATATGGAGGTCAAATGGCCAAAATATTGGGAAATTTTGGAACAAGATGGAGATAGACTGAAATTGCAGAGTTTAGAAAAACTAAAAAACAAAGTGCGAGACTGGCTTCATTATTATCAGATAATGGAGGCATACAATTTGGACAAGAAAATTGGCTTCCAGGTGGAAAAATCAAAACTAGAAACAGAATTGTTAGAACCCAAAACTAAGATTTTGTCAAAGATGTATAACTTGCTGTTGAAATGGAATACTCAGGATGAAACGGTGAAATCTGCTATGATTAAATGGGCACAAGACGTTGGACACAACATAATGATGGCTGACTGGGAACAGTTGTGGACCACAGGTATGAAGTTTACGGCATGTAATGCCTTAAGAGAGAATATTATGAAAATGATATACAGGTGGTACATAACCCCAGTCAAGCTTGCAAAAATCTACCATTTGCCCGATAACAAATGTTGGAAATGTAAAGAAACTGAAGGTACATTCTTTCACCTTTGGTGGACGTGCCCAAGGATTAAGGTTTTCTGGGAGATGATTTATAATGAATTAAAAAAGGTATTTAAATATACCTTCTTAAAGAAACCAGAGGCCTTTCTCCTGGGCACAGTCGGCCGATCGGTGTTAAAGAAGGACAGAACTTTCTTTATGTATGCTACAACAGCAGCAAGAATACTTATTGCAAAGCACTGGAAGACACAAGACCTACCCACATTGGAAGAATGGCAGATGAAAATGATGGACTACATGGAATTGGCGGAAATGACTGGCAGAATCCGAGACCAGGGAGAAGAGTAGGTGAAGAAGATTGGAAGAAATTTAACGACTATTTACAGAAATATTGCAAAATTAATGAATGTTAGAATGATGTTGGATTGAAGTTAAGTGGTTTCTAGCTGTAATGGTAAAAGAATATGGAAAAATTGGATTTTCAATAGGTCAAAATTTAATGCTATAATATATTAAGATTAAAGATTAGGATAAAATAAGGAGGGAAAGGAATTGCTGAACTAATAATTTGAACCGGAATACAAAAAAGGGAGGCATGAGGAGGTCCGGGAAACAAGTAAATGAAAGATAAGTGATGAAAAGATTGAATTGTTTTTAATTGTGTTTTTTTTTGTATTTTGTATTTTTCTTTTCTCTATTTTTCTTTTTCTTATCAATGTAATCTTTTTTTTAAACTTTAATAAATATCATTTTAAAAAAAAGGAAACGGAATTGTTGGACTCTAAAGTTAAAATTTTTCTAAAATGTATAATTTATTGTTGGAATGGCATACAAAGGATGAACAAGTTAAATCCGTGATAATAGACTGGGCAAGAGATGTGGGACATAACATAATGTTTGAAGACTGGGAAAGATTGTGGAAGAAAGGGGTCAAGTTCACTGCATGTACGGTGTTAAAGGAAAATATTATGAAAATGATGTATAGATGGTACTTAACCCCTGTAAAACTGGCAAAGATTTACCACAATAGTGATAATTTATGTTGGAAACGTAAAGAAAAGGAGAGTACCTTTTATCATATGTGGTGGACCTGCCCTAAAGTGAAAGACTTATGGGAGAAGATTTATAACGAATTGAAAAGATGTTAAAATATATATTTATTAAGAAACCAGAAGCCTTCCTTCTTGGAATAGTAGGTCTGGAATTGCCTAAGAAAGATGTTAGATTGTTTTTGTATGCCACAACAGCAGCTAGAATTTTGTTAGCTAAGAGTTGGAAATCACAAGAAGTTCCAACAGTGGAAGAATGGCAGATGAAGATGATGGACTTTTCGGAGCTAGCCGACCTGACTGGAAGAGTCTGCGACCAGAAGGAGGAGGAGTACCAGGAGGAATGGATAAAATTTAAAGACTATCTAGTTAAATATGTTAAGATAACTTAATTGAAAAAACTTGCAAATACCAGATAGGCCTAGGATTTAAGTAGGTGATGTTTAGAGAATAATATGTTTAAAGTTAAAATGGAAAGAAAGAAAGAAAGATGTTAAATGAATAAGTTAATATTACGATAAAAATTGGTTTTGGAAAACTGTTACAATGATATACACTGAAATTCAGCTAGGGGGATTCGAGGAAGTCACGTAACAATGTAACTAAGATTGGATTAAGTTCAGTTATGATTTATGTTTGCTTTTCTGTTTAAAATTTTGGAAAATCAATTAAAAAATGGGGGTGGGGGTACCAAACAGATTTGCTCAAAGAACTCTCTCTATGCAGGAAAACTCTATGGGGAAGGATGTAAAGTTGGGATATATAGATGGAGGAGTTGCTGTTCATTTGATCCATGGTGCAGGAATAGGAGGGGTTACTAGTCCATAAGAGGTTCCCTATTTTCACCTGCAAAATGGCAGCGCATAAGAGAGAGGCACAGAGAATACTGACCTGGGTTTTCGGAGTTGAGTATGCAGGTATTTCTTGAGAGTCTCATTCTGAAAGTCATAGTACTTTGTCCAAAAGATGCAGAGGTCTCTGTACTGTTGGATGAGCCAAAGGACCGTCCGGAAACCTTCCGCCATGTTGAAAGAAGTCCTCTCACCGTCTTGTTCCCAGGCGTAGACAGCCAGCAACTCGAGTGCATACTTTGGGGGCTTCGATTGCAATTTCGGCAGCTACAGTTACATGGGAGAACATATTAAGTATAGCCCACAGCAATACAATGGGTAGCACCAATGGAAGAATATGAAAGGATCAGGCAGCGGAATGGGATATACAGCTTAAGACCAGAATTCACAGCCATACCCCCTTCTAAGATTATGCAACCATCTTATACTTATACACTAATAATAATAATTAGGGATGCATCAAAGTTATCAGTGCAGATCTCCAGGTGTTGCCTTTTGGCTAGATTTACTATTTTCTGTACACATAGATGGGCAAATGATTTGGAGTGTTCCAATATCCCCTTTTGGAAAGACTTAAATTGTGTTTGATGTGAAGTTCCATTGTACATAACAGAACTTGCACCCTATTCTCTTGAAACTGAAGAACCTGGCATTTTCAGTGTTCCAAAACGCTTTCCTTTAGAACAGGGTTTCCCAAATTTGAGTCTCCAGCTGTTTTGGGACTATAATTCTCATCGTCTCTGATTGCTGGTCCTGACACTTCAGTGAAGACCTTTCCTTTCCAGCAGGTTTTTAAACCGAATTCTGATTTTTAGAGTTTGTACTCATTTTTAGTCTTGGGTTGTGTCCGTTCTCCCACTTGGTTTCCAGTGCTAGGCTTTTAATTTGAATTCACACATGATCTGAAATGTGTGTGTGTGTACCTGTTTGTACCAGTATTTCACCAGACGGATGAGACTTTTCAGTTTGGCAGGGCGCTCCCTGATGAAGTCTTTCTGCAACTCGGTGAAGCAGGGAGAGAACTGACCCCCCTGGCCTCTGCTGCTGTCAATCAGTCTGATGTACACCTGGGGGTCAGGCATGCCACCCCAGTAGTGACCTGTTTTTCAAAACAAAGACGGGGTCACAGATACAAGGAGTAGCAGGTGATTCAGGCTCCACCTGCCCCTTTGAACAGCCATGGCTTCTCTTCCTGGGAACTGTAGTTTGTTAAGGGTACTGAGGCCCCATTCTCCTTTGCAGAACTACAATTGCTACAGTTCCCTGTGATGTGGGATTGACTGTGTTATAAGAATTCTAAGGTCTCAAATATATAAATTAAATGTTCAAAAATGTACAAGGCAAACACATACATAAGTATATGAACCACTTGTCTGAAATAGTACAGGAGAGCAGTCCTGAAGCCATTTTGACGCTCCCGATGACCTCAAATATTCCTCTGCAGTGGGGAAGGAAATGGGAAAAGCCTCCCCATTATCTCTTTGCTCACAAATCCTGTCTTAAGGGCGTATTTGTGTATGAATAGGGTGAGCCTGTGACCTGGACTCAGGAATTAAGTATGAACCATCACAAAAGAATGGCCAGGCTGCCCAGGTAATGCAACCAGTGACCATTATCAGGTATCCTGGCAAAACAGGATTTCTGCTGTGGACCGCCTCCTTCTGTGATGTATGTATGATGTTTTGGGGAGCTGGTCTTCAGCTACAGGGTGGGCAATTTCAAAAGTCTATATAAGGGCTTGCACACCACTGTTCAGGGTTCACCTCCTTCCTGTGTGTGGTGAGTGGGGACCCTGTTGCAACAGTTCCTTGAATAAAGATCAGGATTACTAGCCATTTTGCTTCTCAATATACTCTGGTTGGCCTCTGTTATTTTCTCCTACCGCTAGCGAACACTTTTAAGGATTATATACAGGCTCTTGGATACCCTATAAGGGAAAAGGAGTTGTGTTTTTTTCTTATAACAACTGCTAAACCACTCTGGGAATGGTAGTCCCATGAGGGGATTAGAGGGACTTCTGGCAACTCTCGGTGCCCTTTAATGAACTACAGTTCCCAGGATTCCTTGGGGGAAGCCATAACTGCTCACAGTGCTATCAATAGTGTTTTAAATCATAGGTGGTGTGAATGGGGCCTCCATCCCTAGGCAGGTGGACTTACCAAGAGCATCAAAGGCCGGCAGGACATCAAAATCAATGTACTCTGTGAAATCGCCAGAACGAAGTTGGAAGCTGAGCACCCGTGGGTTGTCCCACTTTGGTTTTTCAATCCGTACTTCTAAATCGCTCCGTATTCGTTCCCGGCATTGCTTGAGCCTCTTCTCAATCTCCTGGATGATAAACCACCTGTTTGTCTCCTGGTCTTCGTAGCCATTGAAGATGTCAAGGAACAGCACAAGGTCAGCATCCGATCCCCCTTTCAGAGCTGTGCCTCTGCCAGATGAGCCACCCTAGGGAGGGAAATCCGATGATGCCTCGTAGAATATCCTTGTTTCCCTGCACCCTGATGAATGAGTACCAGGGGCTGATTCCAGGCTGGTCAATTTCTAGCTTGTGTCAATTTCGCACGTATCAATCAATCATAGAATTCTAGAGTTGGAAGGGAGTCAAAGGGTCATCTACTCCAACCCTCTGTGATACATAGATATTGGAATCAGGCTTTTGCGTGGGGGCAAGTACACTTCGAAATCCTCCACCCCATTGCTAGGGCTATACGCCTGAGCACTGGCGGAGGAAGAGGGGTGCGAGGGGAGCGTACCGCTCCCAGCGGCATGATGCCAGTGGGGTGCCATCACGGTCCCCCCCCCGGGCACACCACACCCCCAGGATGCATGCTATGCCCCCAGGATGTGCGCCAGCCACACCCACACCTGCTCTCTGCTCCCCTGCCAGAGCATGAAGCTCCGCCACTGCGCCTGAGTCATCCAAGGCCTGAATCAGCTGAGCCACGTTCAGACAAACCACAGATCGCTGCAGGTTGGATTGAATGACCTAGAGAGGTTTGGGGTTGCCAGGGGATGGAGCATCAGGAAGGAAGGATGGGCATGCATCAGGTTCCGCCTCTCCCCCCCCGAAAGGGCCGCAACCTACCTAACTTCTCAGGAGAAGGTAGGATCCTGATGCCACCTGACTCTAATGCCTCCCTGTAGAGCAGGAGACTCTTCATGGGAGAACTAATTCCAGACTCAATCCAGAATGGGGGAAATCCTGGGTTCGTGCAGGGTGTAGGTTTGCTTGAATGGGGCATGGGAGACATGGGGCAGATTCACTGGGGTGGGGGAGGCTATGCACTGTCCTACCCATTAGACACCTTCCATTCTGGGACTGCAAGACAGTAGTGGGCGGGTCCAGGGGCAAAAGTGGGCGGGGCAACCCAATGCAGGTGGTAGCTTTGCAGGTAAGAAGAAGAAGAAGAAGAAGAAGAAGAAGAAGAAGAAGAAGAGTTTGGATTTGATATCCCGCCTTTCACTCCCTTTAAGGAGTCTCAAAGCGGCTAACATTCTCCTTTCCCTTCCTCCCCCACAACAAACACTCTGTGAGGTGAGTGGGGCTGAGAGACTTCAAAGAAATGTGAATGGCCCAAGGTCACCCAGCAGCTGCATGTGGAGGAGCGGAGACGCGAACCCGGTTCCCCAGATTACGTGACTACCGCTCTTAACCACTACACCACACTGGCAAGTTACTACGCACCACGCACCCCGTCCTGCATTGAGGCAAGTGAAAGGGATGGTCAGAATTCGAGGATGCATCCCAGCCAGGGGAATGATTGTTAGAATTCCTGCTCCATGATTGCAGTCATGGGATTGTTGTCTATCACATGACGGTGTATGTTTTGACTCCACAGAGTGGGAAGTGACGGAGACAGGATGTTTGTGTTACTGTGTTCCGTGAAGTGGGACTATTGTCCTTTGTTCTTTTTCTCTTTGCTGTCTGATGCTAGAGAGAGAGGGAGCCATGTTGCAGTGCTCCGTGTGTGTTTATATGTAAATAAAGTAGATTAGCCAAAATGCTGAGTTGCGTCACGCAAGGTGCGCAAACTCTGAGGATTCCTAAGTGTGCCGGTGTCTGTTGGCATCGGCCGCTGTGATGTTCGGGCAGAAGAAAGCTTTTGAAGTTCCCGAACAATCGACCAGGAGGGAGAGAACATGCCAGTCGGGCCTGTGTCTCTGCTAGGGTCCTACTCGAATGTAAGCTGAACTCCTGACAATGATCTGGGGGGAGTTCCAAGAGCCACATAGAGTGGCCCTCATATCTCCCTTAAATTTCCATCCACTATCGGAGCTGGGCTCAGTGGAGACTTGGTAGTGGCTCACTCACTGTCAAAAGTAAATATCATTTAAGTGTTTATCTACAGATTAGGCTTGCTCTGACAATGTGTCACCAACTGGGAGTGGGTCCCACCCATTCTGGCTCCGCAAGTGGACTTTCCCGTTCTGCATTTTGGGATTCGTGACTCACATTGTTATACAGTGGTACTTCAGGTTAAGTACTTAATTCGTTCCAGAGGTCCGTTCTTAACCTGAAACTGTTCTTAACCTGAAGCACCACTTTAGCTAATGGGGCCTCCCGCTGCCGCTGCGCCGCCGCCAGAGCCCAATTTCTGTTCTTATCCCGAAGCAAAGTTGTTAACCTGAAGCACTATTTCTGGGTTAGCGGAGTGTGTAACCTGAAGCGTATGTAACCTGAAGCGTATGTAACCCGAGGTACCACTGTAACATCTTGGGTCCTCCCTCCTGATTCATGAAAGGGCTACAACATTTAACCAATTAATTGGCTAGATTGTGTTAAATTAAATAAATTTGGTTTGATTTGTATTAATCTGGAAAACTAATAAAGGGCACTTTTGTGGGGAAGGAATTCCCCAGCTCAGGGAATGTCCTCTCCTGGGCTCTCTTCTGAGGACGGTGGAGCTACCAAGAGGACCCTCTGCCCGCCTTAATAAGAGAGTCACTTAGCAGCTCTGTGTACAACTGAAAGAATTCTGGGAACTCTAGCTTACCCATCACAGAGCTGCAACCTACAATCTACAACCTTAACAATCTACACTCTCGTTCTCTTCCCCACTCCCATCGCTCTCTCTTTGAACCTGCCCACACTCTGGCACTGACCTTGACAATCTTCAGCACCTTGGGTCGAGGAGGGGTCATATCCCTGAAGCAAGTGGATTTCAGGAATTCACAGATGATGTCGATGGCACTGCGCACCTGCTGATTAAATTCCTTATTGGGCTGGAGATTCTGCAAGATGAAAGTGTCCAGGTCTTTTGGTCCACAACTGCAGAGGAGGTCCATGGTAGAGGGGTTGAGGCAGGAGAGACGATCCAGCAGCTCCTGGGTCCGCTTTCACCTCCGCTGGCAATAAAGAAGGAAATGCCTGCTTTTTGACCCTGTCTTTTGTCTTGTCAGTATTTGCTCTGCTCTATCCTGTTCAGTTTCGTTTCCTTAAGTTTCACTTTGCTCAAAACAGCGGCTTTAATCTTAGCATAAACAGGGCAGAACAGAAAGCAGGAGAGCCATTTCCCTAAGGCTCTTATAATAACAATAATTTATTACTTATACCCCACACATCTGGCCGGGCCTCCCCAGTCACTCTGGGTGGCTCCTACAGGGGATAGGGCAGAAATGTTGATTTGTTAAAGGCAAACTCTCTCTCTCTCTCTCTCTCTCTCTCTCTTTCTTTCTCTCTCTCTCTCTCTCTCTCTCTCTCTCTGAGTTAAAGGCAAATTTCTTCCATTCAAAACCAGATGAGAACTGAAATGCAAGCCTCCATTGAAACGTGGAATTTCAAACCTTTCTGTGCTCTGGTCCAGTAAGGGTGGTGGTGCATGGCCGTTCTTAGTTGGTGGAGCGATTTGTCTGGTTAATTCCGATAACGAACGAGACTCTGGCATGCTAACTAGTTATGCGACCCCCAAGCAGGCGGCGTCCAACTTCTTAGAGGGACAAGTGGCGTTCAGCCACCAGAGATTGAGCAATAACAGGTCTGTGATGCACTTAGATGTCCAGGCCTGCACGCGCACTACACTGACTGGCTCAGCGTGTGTCTACCCTACGCCGACAAGCATGGGTAACCCGTCGAACCCCATTCGTGATGGGGATCGGGGATTGCAATTCTTCCCCATGAATGAGGAATTCCCAGTAAGTATGGGTGATAAGCTCGCGTTGATTAAGTCTTTTGAGAGCCAGTGTGGTGTAGTGGTTAAGAGCGGTAGATTCGTAATCTGGTGAACCGGGTTCGCGTCTCAGCTCCTCCACATGCAGCTGCTGGGTGACCTTGGGACAGTCACACTTCTCTGAAGTCTCTCAGCCCCACTCACCTCACAGAGTGTTTGTTGTGGGGGAGGAAGGGAAAGGAGAATGTTAGCCGCTTTGAGACTCCTGAAGGGGAGTGAAAGGCGGGATATCAAATCCAAACTCTTCTTCTTCTAAGGTGCTCCACTATGCATGTACTAAGGCAGAGGATTCCAAATGTTTTAGGTCCACCTCCCCCTTGCTACCACAAATTCATCCCCAGTGCCTTACCCTCAGGGCTGGATCTACAGTCATACCTTGGGTTAAATGTGCTTCAGGTTGAGCGTTTTCAAGTTACGCTCAGTGGCGACCCGGAAGTAACAGAGCGCGTTACTTCTGGGTTTCACAGCTCGCGCATGCGCAGATGCTCAAAATGATGTCACGCTCATGCGCGGAAGCGGCAAAACGCAACCCACGCACGCGCAGATGCGTCTTACGTTTTACTCAGGATGTGAACGGGGCTCCAGAACGGATCCTGTTCGCATCCAGAGGTACCACTGTACTATGAAACTCAAACATATAAACCGTGGTACCTTTGTTCTCAAACGCCTTGGTTCCCAAACACCGAAAACCTGGAATTAAGTGTTCCGGTTTTTGAACGTTTTTCGGAAGCCGAACATCTGATGCAGCTGTCGGCTATTGTTTCCGGGGCGCCTGCACCAATCAGAAGCTGCACCTTGGTTTCCGAACATTTTGGAAGTCAAACGGACTTCCAGAATGGATTAAGTTTGAGAACCAAGGTACCACTGTATTTGGCGCTTTTGTTTTTGCTATTTACCGTATTTGGCGTTTTCGTTTCTGAGGCTTTTTTGGTTAATTTGTTTTTGTGACTGCATGGAATCCAGTTCAGCTACTGATTGATTGATTGATTGATTGATTGATTGACTGATTGATTGTGTTCAAAAACCAAGGCACAGCTTCTGATTGGTTCAAAAACTGGTACACTTACTTCCGGGTTTTCAGCATTTGAGAACCAAGGCATTTGAGTACCAAGGTACCATTGTATAAGGCACAGGAGCAGGGGTTGGTAGAAAAGTTGACAACGCGTTCATTCTTTCAGCCTTAGTCAGGGACAGTTCCTTTCCTCCTCTTTCCATGAATGTAGTTGAACAAGATTCTCCATGGTGGCCTTCCATTCTATTGTTCTTCTTTATTATCCCTCCTTTCAACTAAGAAAATACATCCGTGCCTTTTCTCAAAACAGGCCCTGCCTGTCCTGGGAGAGTCAGTCAGAGCCAGATAACTAAAGCCCAGCTGGAGAGGATGCAATTTAACATCTGAAGTTGAGGAGGGGAGAGAAAGAAGGACTTTTCTGTTCTCACCCACAGTTTGTTGGGCAGGTGCAATTCAAGACAAGCCATGATTATACCGTTTGAGGACTGTGTCTGCAGCAAGGGGGAAAGAGGAGTATTTCAGGGCAAACACTCAAAGGAGGAGACTGTTTAATTAACTTGTTTGCTCCAGGCTTTAGGGAAAAGTCTGGTGGTGGTGGGAGTATATTTTAACTGATTTTAACTGATCTTCAGTTGAGTTTCCCATCTGATAATAAAGTTGGGACCTTTTCCCTTTGCTCTGCCTGGTGCACACAAAATTAAGCCAGGAAGGACAGATAAGAAATCCAGTAAGTAATTTTTAAAAATACAAAAAGAATCAACATTACCATGTCATGTGAGCAACTGAGCTAATTTGGGTAAGCACATTTGGTATGGGAATCTGGGTCCACTGGGGCTGACCCCAGAGGTGTCTGGCACAGCGTGTATTTGGTTACAGATGCTCATTTCATTATTTTCACTTTCAGGATACAGTACTGTGTACATAACCTTTCCTGCAACATAAGGGTACTTCATCTGCAGTAAATGTGTTCAGCCAGGAGAGGGCAGCAGAGGAGAATTCCTTTTTATTCTTGTAAGAAGTCACGATTTTGCTATGACTTATTGCATCCAGATGACCTGTTTATTGAGCGTTCATACTGATTTGTTTGACAGTCAGCTTAACTTTTGAATAAGCATGCTGTAAATCTGAAGGGTGGTTGGACTGAACTATAACATTTTCAAATTACCAGAAGGCTCGTTTTTGGTTCATGTTTGTTTTTTAGGGAAAGCTACTAGCAAATTCCTCATTACGTTGCATATGTTTAATTAGACTCCCCTTCATTAAAACAGCACTTATCTTTTAAGTATGACCAATGACATGTCTGGGTATTCACTGTATCTTTAAAAATAAACCTCACAAGATTTGCTCACCCCAAACTGCTCCCTTCCTTGGGAACTGTACGTGTTTGTATGTTAAGAGGCAATTTGGAAGATAACACATTAGAAACACCAAGCAATTATAACGTAAATGAATCATTGAATGAGATTCCTGCATTGCAGGGGGTTGGGCTAGATGACCCACAGGAACCCCTCTCAACTCTCCAATTTACAGTGGTACCTTGGTTCTCAAACACCTTGGTACTCAAACATCTTGGAACCCAAACACTGCGAACCCGGAAGTAAGTGTTCCGGTTTGCAAACTTTTTTCAGAAGCTGAACGTGCTCCGTTTTGAGGGTTACACTTCTGTTTTGAGTGCCACACTTCCATTTTGAGTGTTACACTAAGGTCTGTCTGTTTTTGCTATTTATTTTGTGTTTTTGTGACTCTTTTTTTTAAAAAAATGTGACTGTGTGGAACCCAGTTCAGCTACTGATTGATTGATTGATTGATTGATTGTGTGTCTGCAGTACATTGTTTATTGCTTTCATTTTATGGCTCAATCATCTCGTTCGATAGTAAAATTCATGTTGAATTGCTGTTTTAGGGGTTGTTTTTAAAAGTCTGGAACAGATTAATCCATTTTGCGTTACTTGCTTTGGGAAAGCGCACCTTGGTTTTGGAACGCTTTGGTTTTGGAACAGACTTCCGGAACAGATTAAGTTTGAGAACCAAGGTACCACTGTACCTTATAAATACTTGCCATTTCTGGCAAGAGATTTAGGACATAACATAATGTTTGAGGACTGGGAAAGATTGTGGAAGAAAGTGGTGAAGTTCACCGCATGTACTTTGTTAAAGGAAAATATTATGAAAATGATGTATAGATGGTATTTGACTCCTGTAAAATTAGCAAAGATGTATCATAATTGTGATAATACATGTTGGAAATGTAAAGAAAAGGAAGGAACATTCTTTCATATGTTGTGGACCTGCCCCAAGGTGAAAGACTTCTGGGAAAAGATTTATAATGAATTGGAAAAAATGTTGAAATATACATTTATAAAGAAACCAGAGGCCTTTCTTCTTGGAATAACAGATTCGGAATTGCCCAAGAAAGATGTTAATCTATTTTTGTATGCCACAACTGCGGCTCGCATTTTGTTAGCTAAAAAGTGGAAAACTCAAGAATTACCAACAGTAGAAGAATGGCAGATGAAGATGATGGATTTTATGGAGCTAGCCGATCTAACCGGAAGAGTCCGCGACCAGAAGGAGGAGGAATACCATGAAGAATGGAAGAAATTTAATGATTATTTAGCTAAATTTGTTAAGCTAAAATAACTGGAAATAGCGTCCAGATACTTAATGGGCTTAGGATTGTATTTATGTTACGGTAACTGATAAAATAATATGTCTAATACAAGAAGGAGAAGATTTAAAGATGTTAATGTTTAATTTAAAGGGTATTAAAATTGGGATTTGGAAAACCGTTATAAGGATATGCAATGAAATTCAACTAAGGGGAAACGAGGAAGTCATTTTACAAAGTAAATAACTGTTATTTTCAATAAGGTTATGATTTATGTTTGTTATGTTTTGTTTGTTTTATGTTTTTGTTTGTCGTTGATATTGTAAAAACTAATAAATTTTTTGCAATAAATAAATAAATAAATAAATAAATAAATAAATACTTGCCATTTCAAATGTGCTCCCTTCCGATTTGCCTTGTAACACACAAGCACGCACATCCAGATGGTTCCCAATGAATAGAGCAGGATGGGACAAGTAAAGAATTTATAGAAACCACATGGCTTGCAACTAATATGTCAACAGAGTATTCCCACAAAGAATCTGGCAACTGGGGGAAAATTATATCATTCTCACTCCTGTGTTCTAGCACAACCCTCCAACCCCCTCAATTGAGCAGGGGGGTGGTGAGGGTGCCACTCTTTTTGGTTCACCTCAGGCAGCAAAACAACTTGGGCCAATTGTCATGAGAGCGCTTGGACTAGAACTGTCAACCAAAAGCTTTATTTTTCTGGCTTATCACCACAACAGTCATTAACGCTGAACTTCAGTAAAGCAAATAATCTGATTAGACAGCGCCTATATGATACTGAGCGGCAGAATAATTCAGCCACAATAAGGAAATTTTTTCCACGGTATAATTCTTTTCCGCCCAGTCATTTTGGCACGTTGGCACCCTGTTTGCAAAATTTAACAATTCCGAAATACAGACACGCTTTCACTTACGCAGGATTAAATATGCTGCCTTCAGCTGTACCTGAGGGTCGATTTCAAAAAATCCCGCTGGAAAAATGGTAATGTCCATGTGGAAATAACCATTTTTCCAGCAGATTTTTTTTTTTGAAATCGACTGTCATGTCCCTGTGGAGATGGCAGTATTGAATGAGTAGCTCATGCGTTTCTGGCTTGCACTCCTTATAAAGATTTGAGGAGTGAGGTTATTACCCCTCTATTATTGTCCATGCTGGGTCGCTCAACCATTGCTACTGTGTCCTTTCTTCTAGCAGATCAAAATAATCAGGTGACAGCAAAAACTGCAAAAAAAATTTTTTAAAAAAATAGCAGGGGCAATTAGAATAAGATCTATTATTTGATTATTGATGTAAACCTCCAGAATGTATTTTGTATAGTTAAGTTTTTAACCTCTGTCTTCAGTGCATTT